GTTATTTATCAAGATAAGCATTTCATCATTGATAAATTCAGATTTCATAATTTTTTTTTTCAGAACTCGAAAAAAGCCTACTCTTTACAAGTTTTTGTAAAAATATTTTTTGAAACAGTAGGAAACTCAAGAAAATGTCCCTATTTGGCCTTGAGCCAGTGATGAAATAAAACCAGCAACAGGCTCGTCATACGGGTTCCTCCACTATTTTCGACTTTTTCTTCTTTTTTCTTTATATCAGCGTTTGTGTCGATTATAATTTGGTTAAGGCTTTGGAGGCGGAGCATGTGACGCGCATACGGGCGGACGCATGGGCCGCCACTATTTCAAATCTCGGCTCATTCTTCGTTTTCTGTTTTTTTTTCTTTCTTAGTCCTGTTTTTCAAGTTGAAAATTCCTGAAATTTTAATTCTCCACAGAACCAAAGTTTTTTTAAGAGGAAATAATAAATAAGGTCATTACGACTTTACGGTAGCCACTGCAACTAATAAGATGTAAAATGCGTGCACATGTTTTAAGCACATGGTTTCGAAAAAAAAAACCTTTGAAGTCCCATTTGAAGATGAAAAGACTCATTTTTTTTTGTTTCGAAGCCTCAAATCCAAATGAATCAGTTCAAATGTTTCATTTTTGACATTCAATCCTTATCCTTTTTACGTAGATCACTGTTAACGTTTTTCGAAATTGTCTTTTTTTGATCTTTCTGAACTTTTGAAACAGAAAGATTTTACTCGGAGCAAAATTTTCATTAAACTCAGAAATGTAATTAATCGAGCACAAAAACTTTTTCTCATTCCAAATTGCCCAACGGCAATAAAATAATCTGAAATGACAAAATGCACTGAACGGATCTTCCAGAAAATTATTGGGTTTCTAGAAAAAGTTTATTTTTTTCCATAGTTTCGCAAAAAAACAGTTGACTGAATGTAATCTGAAAAATCCTCAATCAAAAACGCTACAAAATTGCCTGATAAACGGTCACTCCAATAGTCATGAGTTTGACTTCTGGACGTTCATAAAATAATATACAACTTTTTTTTTGAATATGAAATTGTTGATTTTTGCCGCCTTTTCAAGAGACTTTACAGATAATTTATAGGCAAAAAACCAAAAACCAAATATTTTCCAAAGCCACCCAAAAAAATTTGGAGATGGTCTTATCACGTAGCTTTTCAATCTGAATAGTTTTTTGACGTAGTTTGGTGATTTACTCTCAAAAAAATTTCTTCGAAGTCAAAGGCCGAAAATTCCCTTGGAAGTGAAACTCGTGTTCGAACTTCAAAAAACAACCGCTTTGTTCCTAATTTTGATGAATGTGTGGTTGAACAGAGCAAATGCAATGATATATAGCCTCTCGCAATAAAAAGCCGCTCGTCTCAGTGCAACTTCTTTCAAAGTTCTTCCTTTCCTCGTCTTCCTTTTTTTTTGGATGCTATCAGTTGAACTTGGTGTCTTGGATCGTCCTCTTGGGGCATTTTTTCGGACGATTTCTAACGAGGTCTCTGAATCTGTGGCTTCTTGTGTTCTTTAGCTCTTCCGGGAGCACACGAAGAAACGAAGAATAACTGCCGGCGGAACGCTTTGTTGTTTCCATATTTGTCGAACGAATATTTGATGCGACGCCGCCAATGTTGCGGAGTGTGTAAAAAACTTGCTCCAATGAGCAGGAACCTACCAAATTTATTATTTTTTATCTCGTGACCCTCGAAAACTGACTTTTTTGGCGTCGAAAAAGTAATCTTTTTATTGCTTGTTTGATTATTCTGGGTATTTCACGGCTTTCGAATGAATTTGACGTTTTCGGGTAGCTGAACAGAAAAAAAGCTCACGATTCATGTTCTCTGGCTTTGTAGGATGCCGCCATCAGAAGTTATTTTTTTCTATTTTTCTTTTTCATATTTTTACACCATTCCAATGAAAAAAAAATTTTTTTAGGTTTTTTTGGGCAAAAAGATGTTTACTTCTGATATTTTTCGCTTTCTCTGGGAAAATGATAAAACAACTTCTTCAGATTTTTTACACTTTCCTTTGATTTGATGAATTTCAAGACTTTCAGACCACTCAGGCTACGGAGCAAGGTCTTTGAGTTTTATTCGAGTTTTAACTTTGAAGTCAATTTTCCTCCGAATCTCTTGAAAATTTCCTATATTTTAGTATTCTTATTTCTAGGTTTTTTGACGCACAAAAAAGATAACTCACAACAGTTTTTTTCTCGTTCGATTAGACCTTTGGTAAAATTCATTTTATTTTTTGTAAATCACATTTTTGCCCTTTTCATTCTCAAGAATAAACCTCTGTCATCATATAAATATACCAAGACTCACCGGAAAAATGTTCATCACATCTGATTCCAAGAACAAAGCGCCGCAATACTAAAAGAAAATGGGCCTGACAAGAACGCGAAGGGAATTCTCATCTTAAATCCTGAGGGTGAAGCTTATACGACTTATCTTTCCTCAAGTTTTCCTTTTGTTTTGTTTTTTTAGTAATATTTTTTTAACAAAAAAGAAAAGAAATAACATAGGCAAGGACTTCTTCATTCTTTCAAAACAACAATGCAGCTTTCTCTGTAACAATAGGAAGCCCCACTCTACCTCAATTTCCTAAGGACTCTGCCAATTTAGTTCCCTCCTGAATTTATTCGGAACGTTTGAGATAGTTGAAAGTGTTGGCAAGTCGGAGCCAAACTCAGCAATCGGCGTTCATTTTCGAACGCTTTAGACGACAATTCATTGTGCTTTTTCGCGCCGCTATTTATCCAGCCAATATCTCCAGACGTTCGTTCCGCGTTTTCCATTATTTCCTGGTCCCAATGGCACTTGCACTCGTCACCAGTGTCCTTTAGGGAAAAAAACCCAAATCGGTAAAGTCTGATGTTTGGTAGCCTATCAGCTTTGTTCGGTAAATCTCCTCAGATGAAGAACTCTGGAGCTTGACCTTTCATTGTCAGAAAAGAGGTTCTTTTAAAGTACTAATCGATCATTTCTAATTATGAATCTGCACGAGTTCCAACTCTATGACAATTAAAACTCAGAAGTTCCACTCAACCGTCCTATCTTCTGAAAAATAACTGGAAGGCAAATTTTCTCGAAAAGTTACAGGTTTCAGCCCATGTCGCTTCAGAAATGAGGACTTGATAGGCTTTGACTCAGAAATTCTTCCTCTTATTCGAAAGAAAATTTTCATTTTTTCATGACTCTGAAAGGTTCGATGCAATTGTAGCTTTCACATATCATTCAAAAAATTAAGATTTTTCGGAACTTCAACTGGAATTTTGAATTATTCCAGTTATCTCATTCTTGCAAGTTTTTGAGAGCAGACATCTTTTATCTTTTCGCAGATTTTTTGTCATTGTAGAATCATAATTCAACCGAAAGGGTTCGTGACTTTTGAACCTTTTGCGTAGTTCCTCCAGCCGAATTTAGCACGGAGACGTAATTTGGTATTTATCACTTTGTAGCGTTGCTACTTGAACTCATGAAAAGTCTTGTTTCCCCCGCTTTTCGAGTTATTTATCACTGGGTCACTGCAGCAAAAACCATTTTGACCAAATATAGACTATTTTGAGCCATTTTGTGACGGTGAGCGAAAAAAAACGCCATTACCTCCGCCTTTTCAAGATGGAGCAACCGTTTGTTTTAATCCACATGTCGCTCGGAAGAAAGTGGCCGATTTGTAGCTGATCCCTGATGATCTTCGCAAAAACCTCATCCTTCGCTTTTTTGCACTTATTTCCACGCCCCTTCAAGCTTTTCTTCTTTCAGCATACTTTACAGAATGGCATGTAGATGCTCTTTCTGCTTCTCGCTCTTTGTCAGGTTTATTTTTGTTATTTTCATCCTATTTTTCAAATTTACCTAAGTGTGTTTTGACGCTACCTCGGCGTCACTTTATTTGACATAAATTGTGCTTTTTAACGTGAAAATACTAGAAGGACAACTTGCTCAGGATTATATCAATTTTTCAAGCTGAGAACCAAATTTTGCTGTTTCTTCACATGTTCAACTCAATAAACTGAGAACTACACCTGAAAAGTTTTGAAACAAAAACATGGATGAAAATTATTGAATCTGTGCTTCATTTCAAGTTTTTGACTTTTAGAGTTTAGATAGCAGACGAAAAATTATGCAGTAGAATAAAATAAAAAAATTTGACCAAAATAACCTTTTTAATAAATGAGGAAGACATGAAAAATCAACTACAGCTTGAATGGAAAAAAAGAAATCTGTAGCCAGGATACAAAAAAATTAAGGTTATCATTGTAAACTTGTTTAATCAAGAACGCTGTAGGAAAAGGTTGTAGGGAAAGAACAGATTGTTTCTTTAATTTATTCTTTCATGCTGTCATTATTTTATAGCCTCTCACGTACGGGACCGTCTAACATTGTTCTTACCTCCATAATTAACAGAAACTAGGTGGCCTCAAAAAGAGACAGGAAAAATATTAATTCCTCAATAATAATCAGCGTGTGTGATATTTAGACAAAAAATCCTCAATTAATAGTCATATCCTCGTAGGCGGCTGTCTCAGCAATCGTTCTTCGCTGAATAAGGTGAAAAAAATGTGTAGCTTTCTAAGTCAGTATCCGGAACAAGACCTGAGTAATTATCATTAATGTCAGGTGGCTGCCTCACCGCTTGCTCAGTCTTTAATTGACAAGTAAAAAAAGGTTTCTATAGTTCAAACAGAAAAAAATCCAAATCCTGGTAGGCGGCTGCCTCACCCATTGTTCATCACTAATTATCAAAAAAAAAACTGAGATTCTGTAAATCAGCAATGATGACGCCCATACAAACCTTTTTCCAATTACCCAGGCAGGATATAAAGGTGGCCTCGTCTTTCAGATTCCCTATCGAAAGTCAAAACCTGACATCCTCCGGTTGGTTTAATCCTTCACATCGCGGAACACGTCCATATCCGTCTTTCAATTCATTTTTTCCTGCCTCTACCACCACCTTTTTTTCGCCTGATGCTTGACTGACACAATTGTCCTTTTCAAATGAATAAGTACGCAGGTCGAGGGTCGAGGCCGCCCCAGAGTATGGTGATCCTGTGGCGGATGGCGGCCGGCGTCTTCCTTCCATTGGTCCCAACTCTCGCCGTTTTCGGCAATGCTCTCGTCATCATTGCTGTATTCCGGGAACGGTCCCTGCAGACGGTCACCAACATGCTCATCGTCAGCTTAGCCGTTTCCGATTTTATGGTGGGTCTTTTTCTGGATACAGTCATTTGGTGGCCCGACGGAAAAAGGAGTTAGATTTTTCGATTCGTTTTTCATTCCCAAGCTAGAATTCGATAACGCATGGACGCTGGTGACAGATCATATTTGCGACTGGAATTTACTCCCTAGATTTTTTTCATTTTCACCCTTACATGTATTGAGACAAATTTCAGCATTATCGCTCAGTTCTAGCCAGCCACTCTGATAAGTTGTAGAAAATATCGAGAACATGAAATCCTAGGTAAAAAAAAAGGTCTGTTCGCAAAACTTCACTGTAGCATATGATGAGACAAAAAATCTCTTCAGGACTGAAGGGAGTTTTCACCCCTATTTTCAGGTCACTAAAGAGTTTTAATTCTATGAAGGAGAATACCGAAGCAAATTTACGCATTTCAAAGAAAGAAGAATCTTATTTGATTTGTGAAGGGCATTATTCCGTGAAAAGAGGTGAAATTAGTAATTTATAATTTTTCTTGAATCGAAAAAAACGTTTTTCTGATATTTTTTTCAAAAAAAGCAAAAAGGCGACTTTTTGAACTCATATCTACCGACGACTTCAAGGAAGACAAAAGATGAAAGAAAAAAAGAGTTATGCATTTTTTTCAAAATTTCTTCCTTTTCGAGCTTTTTTCTGAAACTAAAAAAATAAAGTTTTTCAAGATTTGTCAGCAGCTTACAGTCACTACTTTTTTTCAGCGCGATTTGAAAATAAAAATTGATTTATTTTTAGTTTTGTCTGCTATGTTAACACTGAACTAACTTGAGAGTTGGACAGCACCGGAAATGAGATCAATCTTTTTGAAAAACTGTAACTAAGGTTTTTTCGAGTAACTGAAGATCTTTCAGTTCTTTGATTTTTAATTCGTGATTATGTCCATAAGAAGTGGTGGTCGTAAACGTGATTTGGAAGAAAAGGCCTGCGTCAAGGCGAACCTACTCCCAACACGTAATCAAATGTTATTTCACGGCTTCTTGCAAAAAAAAGCCATTGATAAATGACGACGTTATTTGGTCGTAGCGCCGTTCGCCACCGCATGATATCAGGGAATGGCTCACGATGCCGTCGAGAAAGGTCCCTGGAGATTGGGCCATCCACTATATCTGCAGGTCAATCCTCCGACCCGCATCTCTGGAACGAACTCAATCTCAAACTGCTAATAGACCCGCAAAGAGGGACTCTTTTTTCTGGGTCATTTTAGCTTAGTTTTTCATGGCTTCTTGTGAGGCTTTCTTTCCGCGAAGATCTGGGAAAATTGGCTTTCAAACCGAAAAATCAACTACACTTTAAGACCTGGCTGATTCAACAGAGTGAAGCAGACCTCTGAGGTTCCAAATTGAAGAATTGGAAGTTCGAGAAGGTGCAAAATTGATTAACGAAGGAGTAACCGATGTTATAAAGAACCTCAAGGTTATCTTCCAAAAGCGAGAATTTGGATTGGAAAATTTCCTGTCTTTTAGTGCTGACTTCCATTTTCCAGCTTCTTCTTGAAAATTTGATAAAAAAAGAAAAAACCAGGAAATAGATATTTTTCTTTCTATTCAAACAAATATCGCAACATTGGGCCCAAACCCCTCAATGCCTATTATGCTTCCAATTTCTCTTTTTTTCCGCAATGAAAAATGACGTCATTTGCAATGCCATCCATAACGTTTTTTCAATCTCAAAGGGATGCCCAAGAAATCAGGAAAAAATTTTGAAACCAAACCAAGAGGAACGCCAGCTATTTTCCAATTCCCAAGTGAATGTTTGGAAAGCACTAAGGGTTGATTCTGTCCGAAGATAAGTCGGCTGTGCTCTTCCTTGCAAAAAAAAAAGAAAAAAAGAGCAGAACGATGATCGAAAGTTCGAGGTTTTTGGAACTTCCCTGAGGAGCTCAAAGAGTATCCAAGATTTTCGGCATTTTTTGTGGATTTTTCCAGAAAAAAAAAGCTTCTAAAGCGGCTTTACATTTTGCAAATCTTTTCTTGTCGTTTGGAAGATTGATAAATCAAGAAGAAAGATCGAAGATTGGACATATTTCCGTAAAAAATTTAAAACTCTCTATGAACTTCATGAAAACAGGGAGATTTCCATGAAGATGCTTCATGTTTTCAAGCTTCTTTGTGCTAAAATGTTTTTAAATTAGGTTCTAAACAAACGACGGTCTGCAAAAAAACAACTCTGATAACCTTAAAAATCTCAATTGATTTCTCAAGGATTGATAAATCAAGATATCAAAAAGATATCCAAGAACGAAAAACTCAAGAAATGGTTTTCAGGTGGCGATTGGCGTCATGTCTTTCGGGGTTTATTACGAGGTTCGTTAATTACAAACTCGAGCTAAGGACTCATAGGAATAACTTCAGTGGAACAGTTTCAAATGGGAATTGGGTCCATTTTTCTGCAACATTTACCAAGCGTTGGACGTCGCGTGTTCGACCGCATCAATATTAAATTTGCTTGCCATATCGCTTGACAGGTACTCTTTTTGTTTCCTGTTCCCTTCGTCTCTTAAATATTCAGTTTTTTTCGTTCAAGGTGTCGTCTAAAAATAAGTTGGAGGAAGGGGTAACTTTTGCTCAAATATTCTGGGGTTCATGAGGAAGAGACAAAAAAAAGGAAGAAATGGAAAAAAATCAGCTTTTTCTCAGGTTCATTTTAAAGTTTAAAAAGTATCATTTTGGGAATTTCCGAAAAGGCCAATTTAATTTAATTGAATTTTGAAAGCGTCTCAATTTCTGTGCTTGAAAGTTGCCGAAAAGGTTATTAGGACCTTTCAGAGTTGTAAAAAAACTCTTCAATTAGACTCATGACTGCTTGGTAGACTTCAAGAATCCTTCTCAAACTCAAAAATTTTTTCGTGAAAACTTATTCAGTCTATTATCCGTCCTTCGTAGAGGTTCTACTTTGAACTTTTGTGAGGACAATGCTTTCAGGTATATTGCGATAGGACATCCGATCTCTTATGCCCAATATGGAGCTCGAGGAGGTCGAGCGATGGTTTCCATCTCAGTCGTCTGGGGCGTCAGCATGTCTGTAGCTCTACCGATCCTCCTTGGGGTCAATCCAATGGAGAATGAGGTATCATTCCAAAACATCGGTCTTTTTAAAAATAACTGAAAAAGAAAAATCGTACACTTCATTTTCAAAAAATCGTCTTCTCATTTCAGTTCTGATGAGATACAGATTTTTTCTTTCCTCTCGGCGACTTCGTGCTGCTTTTTTTTCAGTTTTTCAGCTTCTAAGCCATTTCTGCCACATTCAGATGAGTTGAGCCGCTGGAGTTTGCAGGGTTTAGGCCCCCAGAGCCAAGTGCCAGTGTATTTACTTCCTGGAAATTTTAGTGGAGCCTATTTCATTTCACTCAAAGATTGATGAAAGGTTTATGACGCCAGGAAGTTTTGTGAGAGGGATAGGGACTTTTTTCTATGCTTCTGATCGGTCTCGAAGTTTGGAGGGATAATATTCTTGAGATTTCACGTACAGATCCACTTCTGCTAGAATTGACATTATGAACTCAATGCAACTTCATGGCCTGTTGTTACTAGGTTTATTTTGAGAGTGAGAAATGTTCTGAAAGTTCTCCTAAATCTTGATTTGGTATGCGTCTGTTTCTCCTTTTAACTTTTCTGGTTCAAGCAGAGCAAATTAATTAAAAAAAAAAAAATGAAAAAAATGAAAAAAATCCTGTGACAAAAATTTCTTGTAGGATTTGTATCTTTCGTGAAAAAAATCTAAAAAAATGAAAATCAAATCCTGAGATTAAGAATTTTTTTAAATTTTTTTGAATAGCTTGTTCGAGATTGTGGGAGTAAATCTTTTGATGTGATCCAGAAGATTGAAGATTTATAGAAGAACAAAAATCAAGAAACTTTTTCTTCATTTTTCAAGCAGGATTTATCTTTCTCAAGAAAATGATCAATTTTGAATGTCTGAAAACGTTTGAAATTTCAAAATCACATGAAAAAACTTAAAAGGAAGGCAGAATTTTTTTCTTTCAAACCACAGAGCAAAAGTCATTTTTAGAGGATTGCGCAAGAAATTGAAGGGAAAGGCATTTGAAATTGAATATCTGAGTGTTCTGTAAAAAAAATACGAAAAACGTCTCACTAGTTCGATAATTGGATCGTTTCTTATCTCATCATAAATTTCTATAAGTTCTCACTAACCGAACTCAAAAAGAAGTTTTTCGAGCCCATATATTTCGATATTAGTTTCTGGCACCTCACAAGATCTTTCAATCGTTTTTGCGTAGTTTTTTCATCTTCCTTTGGATTTTTTTCGCGAATGATTGTAATTTTCGATTGGTTATCACTGATAAAATTCGATGAGAATCTTTTTGAGCCAAAAAATTCAAAACTAGGCCTAAAAAAAGAAAGCCTCGCGTCTCTGAGCGTAATCTTTTCATTTTCTCATTTTCTCAAAAACTCGAAACTTTCGAAAGCTCATGAAACATCATAATTGACACCCTCATCGCTGTGGAATGTTCTGATGCTCTCGCCTGTTTTGGAATCGGTTGTAAGACGCGCGCGACGTGTCTGCAATGAATGAATGAATGGAAGACAAACGTGAAGACGAGCACCCGGATGCTTGTCCGCTTATTGCATTAACTTGGCCCCCAACCGACCGCCGTTGCACAAGCGACTCTCCGATAACAAATCCACCGAGGCCACAATTTTGGTTTCTTTCAAAAATGTTCAGAGGGACTTGTGAGAAAAATCAACATGAGAAAAATTGCCTTTCTTCACTGTTTTACGCGGCCTTTCAAAGCTGAGAGACATTTGAAAAATGAAACATCGCAGAATGGTTTCGAAAAACAAATTTCAAAACGATGTTCATGAAATTTAATTTAATGTTCAACTTCTGGTCGAGCTTCATCTTTGATTATCCATGAAGCAAACAAACTCTCTCATCGTTTTTATTTGGTTCTGCCTCTATTGTTATGTACTCTCCATCTGAAAGCCCAAAGAGTCAAGGGTTCAAAGGCAAGAAAAAAACGTGGTTCGGGAGATAAACGGTCTTAATTAGACTTTTTTTACGATTTTTTGAGAAGGAGGAAGTTTTTCAAAAAAATAGAGAGCCTAAAATGGATAATTAATGGAAAGTTGAAGAAACTTTTTACGATTGTTGGAAGAGTTTTAATTGAAAAACATGTTGATCTTTGTACTTGGACTTTGTAAAGTATTTAGAGAGAAATAACTTTCTTCGAAATTTTTTATTAGGGTAACTTGAAAAGTCTCAACTTCGGTATGTTTAAAAACCTTTATTTTTTCAGAAATGCGAGCTGGGCAATCCATATTTCAACATGATTTCTTCAATCTTCTCGTTTTTCATTCCTTGCCTGGCGATGATTGTTCTTTACACAATTATCTTTCGAAGACTCCGACAAAGAGAAAGAGCACGAAGTTTGCGTCAGGCTCAACGTAATGACAATGACAAGGTTTGTTTCTTTCAGAATCCATCCGAACACTTCATTCAAAGTCTAACGACTAAAAGTTCTGAGTGTTTCTGACATTTCAAAAAAAAAAGCAACTGATCCCAACACATCGAAGGTTTTTCTCGAACTCAAAAAAGGACACGTAATTGAATGGCCTTTGTTGGCGCTGGTCCCAATTTCAAAAGTTGCTCGAAAGCACTAAAACGTGTAATTTTTCTCCTCTCAAAACGCTTTCTTTGTGTCGCAATTTGTTTCCGGCGTGTTTCAGAACGGAAAATAACACTCGAATGAAAGAGGGAACAATCCGAAAAAAGTTGCCAATGGTTTTTTTGCAGATCAGCTCAGCATTGCTCGGTGGCGCACAGATTGCTCGCCAAATGGGCAAACATTTCAAAAACCGGACCGACCAAATTTTGCTCGAAATCAGTTTTCAAGTAAGTTTTCGGCCTGTTTTTCCTATTTTGGAAGGGTCCTGTGTCAAAAACAGATGGAGGCCAGAAAAAGCATTTTTCCACAAATATCACGTCAATCTCAGATTTTCTGCCGCTGACAATTCGAATTTAATTTATGAACCCATGTGTTTTCGCCACCAAAAATGTCTGAAAAATTGCGGCAATAATAGAATCTCAGCCTCAAATCAATGCTTATTCGATACGTAGGAGTCAGGGGAAAAAGCAAAAATAGAAAAGGAAGAAAAAAGGAATTACTTGCAGACTTCTTCGTTTCCGACAATGTCAGACTCCTCAGAAGAAGGGTCAACGATATCGCCGATGGTGGCCAGTTTCAACCAATTCATGCCGAAATCCGGAGCAAGTCTTCATTCTACGGCCACAATCGCTGAATGCGGCTCTATGCCTAACTTGACGATCATAGACGAAAGAGACGGTGAGGAGCTGTGAATAGCTCATGAATCGTTTCTGAATGACTTCAGAATCCAAGTCGGAAATGAGAGAAATCACATTCCTGGATCTCCAAGACGCCGTCGAGACTCTCGACGAAAAATGCTCTTTGGCCGCCATGACCAGGTTTTACCTTTCTCGACAACACATTTTGAGTTCACTTGCATGGAGTTTGGAAAAAGAAGCATATGCAGTTGCTAGCTTAGTGTCAATGTTGTGTATTCATTGCACGAGCTATGAATATTTCTCAGCAGGTCCTTTGGCGAAGAGCTCGAAGAAGTTCTGCCATTTATTGATGGGACCAACAGTACGAAAGATTCTAGGGAACAGCTACATATACCTAGGTAAGGGTCGTGTAGATTAGGCTTTTCTATCCTGTCTGTCAAGTCATTTCGAAGTCCGAAACTGCACCGAAAAAATCCAAATATTTTTCCTGAGTCTATTCTTTGGGTATTAGTAAATTGTCGCATTTCAGGTCGCAAGTGGCACCGGCGCCACGATTACTCGACGTAAAACCTGAGCTGAAAAGCGTCAGCGTTCTTAGTATGGAAGTGAGCTGTTGTCATGTTTTAATCCACCTGGAGTTTGGCTTCTTTTAGGATGAGAAAAAACTAGCTCAAAAGATGAAAGAAACTAGAGGGGTCGAAAAACCAACTGACCAGTGCAACGGGTCTTTGAAACAAACTTTGGTAAGTTTTTTTGAATTTATCTCTGGAATTTCAGAATAGATAACAAATCAGGATGAAACTTGATTTCTTGTTCGGTTTTTGATCGAGAAAAAATGGCAATCGCATTTTCTTAGAATGTTAGTCGAAAGGGAAAATTCATTTTTTTTTGCAAGAATAAAAAGAAAAAGTTCTGAATCTTCTCCCTTAACGGATCTAAACAGATTTATGAAGAAAAAATAACTTTTGAAAATTCCCTTAATTCAATCTCATCTTATTTTCCATTTCCAGCTTCCCAATCCGGGAAAACTGATGAAAAGCAAATCAACAACTCTACTGAAATCAAACGGCTACATGGACGATGACTCACTAAAGGTTTTGAAAAATTGGCTTCTTCTTTATTTCCGGATATTTCTCAGAATTCAACATTGAAACCAACCAAAAGCCTGGCCGATCTTCTCGCCAGAGAAGATTTTTCTTTTTCTGACTCCATGAGGGTCTACAAGAATCGCCTGTGGAAGAGGTAGCTTGAAAGGAAGGATGTAAAAAAACATGGAAGTTCAAGATTCACTAGAGCAACTATTGGTTTATCAAAAGGAAGACCGTCTCGGCATATGGTCAAAAAAGCCACAAAACAAATGAGAAGAGAGCACAAGGCTACAGTAACTCTTGCTGTAGTTTTAGGTATAGTTTGCCTCTTTTTTAGGACAGCCATTTCATTCATTTCAGCGGTCTTTCTGATTTGCTGGTTACCTTTCTTCGTACTTCACTTGGGCAACTCAATCTGCCTGATTTATAATCATGAATGTGTTGGAATGCTGCCTCTTTACCTCGCCACTTGGCTAGGATAGTGAGTTTTTCTTCTTCACTCAAAAATTCAAGTCGCTGTTTGCAGTATCAACTCCTCACTGAATCCACTGATCTACACGGTTTTCGACCAAAGGTTCCGCAACGCTTTCCGGAACATTCTCAGTTGCGGAATCTCAAAGAAACGTTGATTGGCCGCTTGGTCGCCCCGCAATTTGTGTCATGCTTTTTTAATATCATTGATTTCTTTTCTGGGTTCTGAATATAAAGGAATTATGAATAGCAAAATGGAGGGCATGAAAAATGACTATTTTCAAAAAAAAAATTGTCTTTGCAATATCTGAGAGCCATAAACCAGAAAAGCGACGGATAAAGTCTAATCGATCAGATCTTACACTTAAAAAATTCAAAACGAGAAAAGAAGTGGGTTAGTAATTGATATGTATAAATGAATACTCTCATAATTAGAATCAAATGTTTAAAATCATCATATAATCAGAATCTTAGAGCTAAAGAACTCGGAGGTGAATATGGGACATAGTTTCCAAAAAAATATTTTCGAATTTGGTTATAGAAATTGCAGTGTTCATGCTTATACTTCATGAAGCTCTATTTAAAAAAAAAGGCACCAGAAAAATCAGAAACCCTTCCTTGTGCCCATTATACAGCTGACAGTATAAAGGGCATTGTTGAAGGATGTTCTAAAGCCACGGTTAAGGAACTATAGTCTAGTAATAAAACTTATCAACCGTTCAACCAATCGTAGAATATATTCAAACGTACCTGACATGTTTAATCAAAAATTCGAAAAAAAAACGAGAAACTATTCGATCTACAAACAAACCTTCGCTAGGAGTCCCCAAGTTTCTTTTTGAAGCTCCTAAAAATTTCTCTGAACGCGGTGAGGCGTTTTTGGTCACTCAAATAATCTGAACCTGCTTTGTTGTCACTGAACGAATCAAGAAGACCAAGAAAACAAGAAGAACAAGCAAAAAGAAGACGGAAATAAGGTGTCTGGCGTTGATCAAATTTCAAGGTGTGCATCGGAGGATGTGTGCAGTCTCGGCCATTTAATAAAGCCTTTGGAAGGAGTATTCGCCAACTGAGAATGGCTATTTGCTCAGAGCGGCCCATGTTTAGGTTGTTTCGGATGACTTTGTTTATACGCGCGAAAGGTGCGGTATCAAAAGCCTTTCAGTTCATCTGCTAGTTCCGGCCACTTTGGGTACGTCTTTTGTGTCCCTTTAAAAGCTTTTTGGCTTTCATTTTGTTTTTCTTCCGTTCTCTGATTGAAAAAAATTTGAATTCTGAATAAATTTTTTCGCTCCTTGATTAAAACAATGTTGTACCAAAACTGTTAAATAAGCTTCCATAAGAGTTCTCAGGTTAGAATAATTTTTTTCAAATTGTCCAAGTGAGAAAATCTAACTTTGAGAATTCTTGTGATGATATTATTCCAGCTGGAAAATTTCGAAAAAGATTCTTTATAAGTCTTTCAATTTCCTCTCAGTATTTCTTCTTCACGTTTTTTTTTGATTTTTTCATAACTAACTCACCTTTTATCTATCAGTGTAGGTTTGTTTTTTGTAGTTTCTCTGTTTGAAAATGAATTGTTGTTAAACAACCTGAAAGTAGTTGACGGTGAAAAGAAGACACAAAAAAAACAGCAACATCAAGACCTTAAAAAAAGTAAACTTGAGCTCAAATATTTTTCGCAAGATTTTGCTTCAGAAAAAACTTTATGATATACTCGAAGCGTTAAAGAAAGTCTCAGTAAGGTACCTTGATGTTTTTGACCGCGACTCGAAAGCACTTTGCCATATAATATTTGCGCTTTTGCGATAAGAAAAAAAGCTTCTTGGCATTCCAGAAGCAACAGAAAAGATCAACAGGTCCACGCGACCTGGAACGATAGCTGGGCAGGGTGTTGACTGAGCGTGTGTCCATGGAGCACTGTAGCGTCGGAAATTGTCCTGAGGCAAAAAAGTGACGCGGAAAGAACTCGCCGTCGGCAACGGAAGGTCCGATCCGTATTTGCCGACCATGAGACTCACGCGTGCGGGCGTTGACACCTCACAGCTTCTTGTCTATTTGGCTTCTCTTCTACCTACCGGTCTCGGCTTGCCTCCGCATTAGCTTATTAATCGATGCACTTTTTTGCCGAGTCCCTCGGTTGGTCTTAAGGTTGATTCCTGCGGCGACAGAGCCTTTGTGGAGCTCGCAAGAACATGTCCAAGACTTTCTTTTCAATTCAAATATCATTTTTTCTTAGACCGTTTACTACACCCGAAACTTTTGATATACCTGAATATTTTTACATGCATTATATCGTAATTGAAGTGATCGTTGTTTCATTTTTTGATTGCTCTTAGAGAAAGTATTTCCTCTCTTTTTTGAAATTTCTGGTTACAAGCTTCGAAGCAGTTCAGTTCATTCTTATGTAGAAGGATTCGGTTTATATTTTGATTCATTCAATTAACGTTCTTTTTTCAATGATTAACCTTGCTGTTCTGCTATTCTTCATCGCAGTCATTATCTCAATCAAAATTGGGAGAAATATTCTTATCAGTACTTTTATTTTTTTGTTAAGCATCTTTTTATTCCCATAGAAAATCAACTTCCCGATTTTGTTTTGTCGAGATTTTATTTTTGAGTCTTTTGAGTCAATTTTTGAGTCATTCTTTTTGGGTTGTCCTGTAAACTTTCATTGAAGTTATTCAGTTAGTTCAATAGTCTCATGACGACAAAATTTTGCCTTTTTTTGTCATTTTCATCAACAATTTTAATATTTTTCTTTGAACTAAACTAGTGGATAACAAAAAGCTTTTTCATTGTTTCGTGATATTTGAAGTTGAGAGTTCCCTCCGGCCCGAAAACCTTGTTTTTCTTTCGTTTCAGAATCAAATGTTCTGTTTCTTTATTTTTGTGCTCTGATTACTAATCCGAGATGATTTTTCAAAGTAATTTTCAGAGTAAAAAAGTAAAAAAAAAGTTTGTGAAAATCGAACACAAGGTCAAGGTAAATGCGGTCGTTTTTCCTGCTTTCAGTTGCAGTCGCAGGTTTTTTTTTCTTGATAAACGATGTTCCAAGCTTCTTTTCAGCAACGGTTGCGTGTCCTTCAAAAGAATACCTGCCATGCATAGTGCAATTGAGCGCTCAGAAAGTTCCATTCGACGTTAACATTCTGAATGTCGTTTACAACATCACAACTGAAGCCAAGCTTATGCACACCTGCAAGTGAGTAAAAGTCGAAAAAATTTCATCTACGTAAAATTCGAGGACTTACGAGCGAGTTTTCCCTTGCTTTGAGCAAAGGACAGCGTTATGTGGCACGAAGTCACAGAAAACACATTTGGAACGGAGCAAAAGGCTTCATTCTTACCTGTGTGCTCCTTTTCTCTTCAGGTTTTTTAAAGAAAAAATATTCAAGAATAGCCTGATGATTTTCAGCGACAGCGCATATTCCTCAAAAACACCCAATGCATGCAAAAAACGCTGAAACAGAACATGAATTCGAAATGCGACACCTCTGGAACCATTTTTGAGGAAAAATTGAACTCGTGCAGGTTTTAGAGATCAGATAAAACCTAAATGTTCGATGAGTTTTAGGGAAAGCTGTGGAGAAAAAGATTTTATGTGCAAGGCAAAAGTTGACCTCTCCCAAATGTCAACTTGTACATATCTCGCTGTAGAAAAGAACTGTGGAGGAGAAGCTGCTCTATTTTTTGCTCAAATGCAACAGGTGGGAAAAAAGTTGTGTCTCTGAAAAGTTTTTTTCACAGGTTCTGACGAACAAGGAATACCCTGTTCAGTGCACTTATTCGCCTTCTCTCGTCCCAATCACTTCGAAAAGTTCTAAGAAAGGACTTCCCATCGAGCCACTACGTCAATATGCCGAAGACTACGAAGCTTCATCTTTCGTCACAGCTTTTCCAAAAACGGCCCCAGAAGTTCCAAAGAACTCACAAGCAGTCAGAAGAGCCGATCCCAAGAAAAACTCTCGCAACCAGCCTCTTTCCACCATGATGACCTTCACTGTCAGGACACCGACCATCAAAAGCGTCAACTCTGGAAATGCGGTGCCAGCTCAACAGAATCGAACTAAATTCTTCCACGGAGCACAGCCGATTCCAGAAACTTCCATTTTCATTCCACCTCTCCAGCCAATCAACAAATTCAAACCGAATCCATACGCAACTCAGAAACCTACTCAAAAGCCAGTTTCCTTCACATTCGTGCATCCGAATCCCAAAGCACAGAACTTGATTACCAAAGCCAGTCAGAACAAGGCTCTTCCTGTGACTACTCCCTCCTACGACGGGAAATATGTTCCTTGGAGCTTCAAAGCAGATCAGGTAAATTTTGGTTTCACAGAGGATATATTTTTTGTTTTTGATTTGCAAGTGATTGCGGCTTGGCAAAAAAAAATTCTCGGTACGGGTCCTTAGAGCTGAGTTTCGCAAAACGCTCTCTCAAAATCAAAAAAAAAACCATCAAACTCAGCAAAAAGAAAATTTTTGAGGTACATAAGTTTTAAGTTGAGTTTCGAATGTAAAAGAGATGACTTCGCTAATCAGAAAAATAAACATTCCTAAATTCAGACGACAACTGAAGGCCATCCTACCTTGCTTACATCCACCGCTGTGCCCATTCTGAATATGCCTGATACTGTCGATTCTGCGACACAACGGCCCCAGGAGTTCATCTTCAGCTTCACGAACGGAACGCAAGTCACAACTCCACTCCCATTCAAAATCGAAATCAACTGGATGAACGACGACAGCGCGGTTGGTTCTCCTCTATTCTAGATTTTCAGAAAGTTCCGATTCAGGTAGAAACGCCTTGGTACCAACAATCAACTCCAACTGTCCGAGATGAACCAACTCAGGCACCGCTACAGGACCATTTCAGCGCCGTCGAGCCACTTATCAATCAGCTGAGGAGCAAATCTCTCAACTTGACCGAGCTTGGGCAGCAGGCGAATTCATACTTCCCAGGTTTATTAAGAGACAGAGGAATCTGATTAAGAATTATTTAAAGCTGCGATCAGTGCACTTACGGAGAAACACGCCAGCTTAGCAGCCCAAAACGATCCATGGAGGGCTATTATTGGTAAGAACCTGAAAGTTTCTGATGAAAATTCAAGACTCTTACTATGAGCTTTTGCCTTTTTTCTACCGCTTGAAAGTTATTTTTCCTAATTTCTTTCACATTTGCTGACAGCTTTTCAGCACGATCCATTTTGCAATATTTTTCAAACCAATTTGAGTAGTTGGAATTTCCAATTTTGTAGAATTGATACTTAAACTTTTTTGAAAATCAAACTTCTACTTTGTTTTGTAATTTTTCTAACTTGAGAAGCGTAACTTCAGTAAGAAATACTGAATTCTAGATATTTTTCTCATGTTTTCAAGCAAAAGGTAGTCCAAGCGCTCATGAAATTGTCGAGCAGCGCAATTTTTGGTGGCTTTCCTCAATTTTCGTTCACAATAAACTGACCGATCCAAATTTTGGCAGACTTCATGACTTAGCTTTGATCTTCCTACTTAACAACTTCCAGATGCCGTGGCCCCAACAATCCAAAGAGTCTCACCGGAAATAATCTCAAGAATCAGAGAAGAAATCGACCGAATCCAACCACCTCCAAACTAGCCACTCCTACCTCGTTACCAGTATTTATTCTTGTCTATTTGTACCATATTGTATTGTCTTTCGCCTCCTTCTCTCGTCCTGTAAATTGTCATGCGTGTTGTTGTCATTGAAAATGAAGAAAAAAAAACTCGTTTATACATATTCTCTAAACGCGACGATCAACCCGTGAGTTCGAACAAAGATTCGGGCAGGGTTTACAAGTTCTGAAGATTTTAGCTTGAAGCAAGTGAAATGGATAAAAACACGTTTTTCTAGAATATCAGATGAAAGTTGCATCAACATTAACTTGAAAGAGAAACAGAAAAGTCGGCAAAGATGTGGCTTGCGTTAATTAGTAAGTCAAAAAAAGGTGACAAAAATATTCTCGATCCGGTACGTCTTAAAACAGTCTGGCTTGTATTTGATTCATTTTTTGCTATCTTTAAGACATTAAGAGAGCACAGACAGACCAGATTTTGTGGCCAAAAAAGCGTAAAAATTTACAAAGTCCCGCTATTTGGATGACAGGTAAGGCAATAAGAAGATTCGAGCGTTAAGGAAATGATGCAATATTTTAAAATTGATTTTGTACGGTGAATCACAGATGTTTTCGTGTTTTTTCGGAAAAACTTCGTTATAGGAAATGTTTTTTTTTTCAAAATGACATCTACTAGCACAAGTTATAACTTGATGATGTCTTGAAAAATGACTCAAGCTGTCGTGGTTACAAAACAGAAACTTCAATTGCATCCGACCTGAACTACTCACGCTCGGCGGCCTCTTTCAAGTTAAGAGGAGGTCGGAAGCAGCTGAAGAATGAAGTTCCCTTGTCGATTTTCCTTTTTAATTCAAAAAGCAGAGTGTTCAGTCATTCTCGGCGACTTTTTCGAAACTCCAGTATTCCAGATTGGAAATCTTTAAAGTTTTTTTCCGAAAGGAACAAAATGCTAGAAATAAAATAAAAAAATATGTTTCAAGACTAGGAGTTCAACTATGAGACCAGTATAAATCAACACGTTTGGGACAATTGTTCGTAAGAATTGGCTCTACTCCCCGTTACCAGAGGAGTTGTTTCCATTTTGGGAGGGACGCGAGGAGAAGTCGGCCACCTGAAAAGTTCTACCATAAAAAAGCAAGAGTTTATTTTAAAACCATGGCCAACTGAATTTTCCCTGTTGTTAGAACGCAAACTTATTATAAAAATGGAAACGTATTGTCGAAAAATTAAAAAATGGAAAACAGTTCGATGAGATTCATAGGATTTCAAAAAAATATTAAAAAAAGTGATATGCATAAAAAAACTGAAAAAAATAAAAAAAACCGAATATAGAAAGCAAAAAAATTTTTGCCTCAAGGTTGAAATTTCGAAGAAAAAAATTCCGTATGATTTGAAAACAAAAAAAGCAAATGCAACACAAATTTCATTCCGATTGGAGACGAATTGAAACAAAAAAACATGTTCTCACGAAAAAAAGGTGTTTTTGCATGCTTTGAATTGGGTAGGAAAGCTGGGTACTATAATTTGAAAATTTGAAGATACTCAGAAATTTTTTTGTTAAACTTAAAAAAATCTTTCAGAGCCACACAGTTCTAACAACAGAAAATAAAGCGGAAAAAAACAAAAGGTTAAAAAACGAACCGAGGACAAAAAATCACCTAGGACTTACACGCTCGTAGTCGCTGTTCAGACGGTGGGACTGTCTTTCGAGCTGCCGAAGAATGTCGTGCATTATTTCGACGAGCTCCACAAAAGTCGGTCTTTCTGGAGAATTGGCCTGCCAGCACTTCAACATCGCTTCGTTGTAGCTGGAAAACAATATTTGAACTTGATGAAACTTTCAAAATGATTTATGATAAATTGCCCGCTTGGTTTGCTTTTTTCGCTTCAAAAAAAATACCAAAGAACTCCTAAAACTTGTTCGAAACTATGATTCGCTCAGAGCTCCTCATTCTTGACAATAAATATTGAAAATAATAAATTATAAATGAGATGTTTTTTTGGAAAAAAAGACTAAGAGGTTTTTGCGTACGGTTTTCATTGAATTAAAAATTGTTTTCGCTACTTTTCGAAAAAAGATAAGACATTAGACTGAAAAATTGTATCATTCAAACCCTTTCTTGAAAACTCATACTGAATTAAAGGCGAAAAACTTGCTCATTTTAATTTGAAATTCAAGAATCGAGAGAACTCACATTATTTCAGGGCAATGCGGTGGATTCGGCAAACGATGACCTCGCTTCAGCAAATGGGGCAGAGACTGGTTATCGATGCTGCCGTAAGGCGTCTGGCCACGGGTGAAAAGTTCCCAGAGAACCACGCCGTACGACCAAACGTCGAACTTCTGGTCAAACTGAGAAAACATTGGAATAAGAAAGATTTGCGTTTTAAAAATCACCTGTTGCTCCAAAACTTCCGGTGGCATCCATTTGATCGGCATTCTTCGGCCCTGATCCGCAATTGTGTACACTTGAGTTTCTTCGTCAACTTTTCGGCAGAGCCCGAAATCGGCTACTTTGACTTGAAAGCTTTCATCAAGCCTGAAAAAGAGGAAATCGTCCCATTTTTACTTCATTTCCTACTAAGGGTGAAATAGCTATGAAACCTTTGATTAGATTTTTCTCACTTTTTCAAAGGGAGGTTTTAAGAACTTTTCTCAGTTAATTAACTTAAAAATTTTCAGGGTTATTCACAAGAAAAAAATTGGAAAAAAATAAGAACCAGTTGCATTTGAAAAAAATCCGAAACCCATTTTTTAAAGTTTGGGAGCTCTTTTGAGACACATTCAGAAGAGAATAACTGTTACATCAAAAATCATACATGCAATTCCTGGCTGCCAAATCTCGGTGAATGAACCCTTTGGAGTGGATGTGAGCCATTCCCTCAGCAATTCCTGTAGCAAACCGCCAAAGATCTCGGAGAGTAACTGTCTGAAGTTTGATCCATTAAAGCTGAACATCTTAAAAAATTCCTACATTATTTGGGTTTTTGATGAAACTTGCGACGTCTCCATTGATCATGAAAGGAGTGACTGTAATTGGAATTTGCGTTTCCGAGTCGACAGAAATTCCAACGAGCTGTAGGACATTGCGATGGTTGAACTGCTTCATCACACGAGCTAAGTATTCAAAATGAAAAATATGAGTTACTTTTGATTCGATACAAATGATTGTCAACATGAAACAAAGTAAAACATGAAATAATGGTTACCTTCTTCGTAGAACTCGGAAACACGGCCGTCTTTCATGTATTTGCAAGCAACTAGCATCGTTTCTCCTTTCTCAACGTGGTATTGACCCGGGAAAACGACACCAAACTGTCCTGTAATTTGTACCTTCAAAGAAAATTTGAAAAACCTTCTAACCTTCTCCGAGTTTTTCAGATCGATTTATTTGCAGTTTTTCATATTCGATCTTGATTTCGGCGGGTAGTTCTCTGGAAAACGTGTTTTTTTTTGATCGGATTCTATAAGGAATCTTTGAAACCGATAAAAATCTATTTATCAAAACGTGAAAAGCTGCGGGAAAAATTGAAACTCAGAGTCTCTAATTACAGAAAACCCAAAAAAAAGATAAAAGTAAAAAAGGAACCTGAAGATGGTGATGTAATCAGTACCGACAAAGTTATTTCTTCCAAATGTTCCGCTCATGTTGAAATTCTGCTCCAAATAGATATTCTCGACTCCAGCGCCGCTCCGCGTCATTGGCGTTTTTATCACCCACTAAAAAAAAAAAATGAAAAATCCTCTAGCAAAAATAAATGAATTACCAATCTCTTTCGCATGAAGAAATAGAAGATGGCCAGTATGGCGAGAAGAACAACGATCGCGATGACGGCGGCGAGAGCTTTCCATAGTCTGAATTAAGACATTATTCAATCCAGTTTACAAGAATGGTCTTTTCACTCCGAGGTTAAGAGTTTCTTAAAATTCGCCTAGATTACTTCTTGATGTACCAAACGGGGATTCTGAGAATCTTAACATGTATAAGTTCTTATTATTCGTGAGACACCTTGGAGTCAAAGAAAACTATCAAAAATCCGCTAAAAAAAGGCCATTTAATAATAATAATAATAATAGATAGTTTATTCACTGCCATTATTTAACATTAAAAAAAATAATTGAAGAATAGATGATCAAGTGAAGGAATAGCCAGAGAAATAACAATACACGGGAAAGAGTCAACCCCAACGAGTTGACGGGTACCCGGAAATATGGCAAATTCACAGGAGACGAGAGGGGATATTTTCATGGAAGGCTTCAAACGGAAGAGCATTCAACTTTTTACGCAGAGTTTCTGGGGTAACGTTAAAATCTAAATAAGAAGTTAGTTTATTCCAAAGAGGAATAGTTCTAGAAAAAAAGTCATTAGAAAACTGCCATTTCCGGATTTTTAGTATTCATTTTCCATATTTTTGTGCTGATTGAGACTTTCAAAATCTTTTTGTGGGACATCGAGAATTGTTCTGTACAACTTTCAAGAAAATCTCTTCCGAAAAGTGAAACGACCTTCTACTTAATTACTGAAAAAATCTTAACAAAAAATAATAACCTGGAACTTTTGTGAGCATTCGGAGCGCCATCAGAAATGGACGGTTCTGCTTCAACCATCATCGGATTCAGATCGATCGTGTAATTCGGAGTGTCGGCCAGTTGTCCAATCAACGTTATTTTCGTGCAGTCCAAGTTCAGAATGCCCGAATCCACGCGGCAGACAAAGCTGAAAATCGCCGACTTGAGAAATATCTATAACCTTGATGAACGGTTCATGTTAATGAATATTTCGATGATAATAAAAGAGAAGTGGTGATAATTTTGTTTCCTTAAGGAAAACTTTGTAAGCATGCCTTTGGAGGAAATTAAAATTTCAAAACCCTTAAAAAAATTCTTTTGTCTTTTTATGTTCTATTCAAAAAAAACTTTATGCTTTAAAATTTGGAATGAATTTGGTCCAGATGATCATAAGCTGCTATTTTTTTCGAAATTTGATCTGAGAACTTTTATCGAATCAAGGCAGATGCTGGTAATTTGAATCGAAAAAAATATATATCCATTAACTCTAAAGATTCACTTTAATGTAATCAAACTGTTTATTTTTTCTCACGAATTTCAATAACTAACTGGCTTGAAGTGTGATCCGCTGGATGAATCCTACAAGTATCGTCGCACATTTGGATGTAGGGAGCCTTCATAGTGTTGAGAGATGTTCCAAAAACAGTTAAACCAGTTCCGTTGGCGAATGGGGTCATCTGAAAACCAAATTATTTGGATTGACTAACAAAGAAGTCAAACGAACATGAAGAACTTGAGGCGGACAAGCTTTTCTGATGAATCTGAGACAGGAAGCTTTAGAAGATGGTACGGCTCGAAAAGGTTGGCTGCTGGTGCACCAGGCACATTGTAGAGGGTCATCCCATCCTCCTGAAGATCGTTGAAAAGATTTGAAATCGATTCTCGCAAAATAGAGACATTAAATAAAAATGATATACCTTGGTCAAGGTCGCCGCACGTCTTGTAGAGATTATCACATGTTGATTTTTTAGTGCGAACCTGAAAGAAATCTTTTTTCTCTCCATTTCTTTTTGGTGAAATAACCTCTTGACCATTCACATAATGAATCGTGTTTTCTGGGAAATTACTAGGTGATGTCAATGCGAAGGTAGGAGTCGCTGTCACATTCGTTTGCCATACTACTTTGCTTTCGACGTTTCCCGTGGATGTAGCCTGAAAGTCCGTTCTCAATACTTTCTTTTCCTGGAAAAATCTCACTCTGATAATCTTATCACCGAACGAGGTCGTAACTGCTCCATAAATGGCTCCTTTATCGAAGGAGAGCGTGTTGATCGAAGTTATTCCATATTTGGTCGATAGTCTAAAATGATAAGGAATAGGAAACAATTGAACCGTAGGGAAAGGCTCACTTGACAATGAGTTCTCCAACGAAGGGAGTATAATCTTCCAGCCAACCGTATCTGTAGCTGTTTCCTTCGGCTGAGGCCACATCACAGTTTTTCAGTATAGGGCCGTTCTGAAAAAAAAAATTGAATAGGGATATTGTCGATCCTCTCCGACTGAAAGGCGAGATGTGTAGAGTGACAAGAATGACGCGTTGCGTACGCGACGCGGCTTTTTGACGGGAATTTTAGGTAAAACGCGTACCCGATTTTTTACAAGTTCTCTCTTTTTAACGACTTTTAATAAAGTTAGTTTCTATTCGTTATGGTTTGAAAAGACTCAGTTGAACAAAAAAACCGCGTCGTTTACGCAACGCTGCACTCTTGCCAATCTGCTCATCTCGCCTTTCAAGTCCGGAAAAATCAGCTATAACATTTAAGGCTTTGAGTCTTTTCATAAAAATTCATGGGTCAAAAAATCATGAACAAACATTTAAAAGAGGAAAGACACTGACCCCTCCATATTTGGAGCAAACAGTGGTGGTGAAGCCTTGAGCCATGTGAGAAAATATCGAGCAATGAGGTTTTTTGGCCAGCTCCTGATCGTCTTTCACGTATTCGCAGTCCTGAAATTTGCTGCCCAAATTTGTCATGTGAAAAAAAAAGTTTAATTTTCTTCTCAGTGATTGGTTAAAAAAATAAAGTTTCCTAGCTGTTGGTTTAGAAAATTGAGAGAAAAACAAAAAATGAGACGCTTTTAGCCTGAATTAAAATTCAACAAAAAAAGAAAAATCAAAATCTACGAGAATTTGGAAATTTTTTTCAAAAAAAGGAAACCTGTTCAATTTCACAAGCCCTCTCAAACCTCAAAAAGTATTCGAAAAAAAGAAAAAAAGCTCACCTGACTGTCTTTCATGGACGTTTTTCTGACAGATATCCCAGTTGTTGTTGAACCGTTTCTCGATTTCCTTCATTTTTGAACGAACAAATCTTGTGCTCCTTAAAATGGAACTCTTATTGAAAAAAAGTTTAGATTCACCCAAAAAAACAGCTGCATTTTTTTGAAAGAAAAAAATAACGAAATAAAAAAACTTTCTCACATTTTTTTCCATGTCTTGCCATTGAAACCATCAGTCGATCCTTGTCTTTGTCGAAAATCGAGGCTTCAACGTGTCCACTTCCGCCTGAATATTGAGAAAATGAAAAATAATGATATTACATAAATATAAATTCCAGGACAGTATTCACTGTCGGGAGAGAAAATCGAAAACCAAAGTTGACTCGGACAAAATTTTTTTTTTCAACGACACAATGCTTTCCCAGTATGCTTGCCATAAAAGTTGAAAAATTTCTCATTTGAATATTAGGGAGTTAAAAAAAGTTAAACGAACCATGCTGCTCATTATCTCCGACACCACAGTCCAAAACCAAGCTCATTTTCGAGGCCAACTCCTGCGACTGGTCTCCAACGCAAACCCTAATCCATAAATATTGCGTAGTTCTTCTTTTTCAAATAAATACCTTATAATTTTTACTATACTGATGTTCTGAGCTATTCTGTGGATATTAGCCAGAGGTTCATAAGGTTGGCTGTCCGAGGTGACGAAATAAATGTAGCCGTTTCTTTCAAAACCGGTAGATGTCTTGTGATTAACGATAAATGGAGCATCTGCAGCCAACACGTCTGTTGAGATATCGCTGAAATTTTGAGCCGTTCGATAGTGGGAAATCAAGAAATTCAAATAAAAAAATAATTTTTTTCATTTTTCTCTCTTGCATTACATTACAAAAGATGTAAATCTTCTAGGCTAACTATTTTTCCTTTTCAAAATGCAAAAATGGTATTCAAGATCAACGTATATAAGGCAACCGAAAAATTCTATTTAGTTTCGAAAAAAAAAACGAACCCATTATCCTGAGCTTTGTACCTAGCGACCAGCGCGTGTTCCTGCTTGTTGGTGTCCAAGATACTGAGTCGGAGCATCAGAAGTTCCGTCTGCTCGGCTTTGACGACGGCAGCCGACGTGATCCTCTCGACATCGTACTCAGCCACGCTCAGAGTGATTTTTGAACAGGAGGAGTTATTGTTGGAGTAGGTGCACAACCTTAAAACATCGACATTTTTGAGATAGTTCTGTTTTTTCAAGTTTTTTCGAGATTTTTTATTGTCGTCGAACAATTAAAAACTATTTTACACTAACAAAACTGTTAAGGGCTTTTGAAGCACCTCTGAAATAGTTATCACCTGGCTAAAAAGCTCACTATATAATATCATTTATAAATTTTTTTCTCATAGTTTTGAAATTTTTTTCAATCATTATATCAGTGAGAAAAAACCAACCCGCAGTTGTTCTCGTCGCAGTAAAAAACTTCCGACTGGGAGAAAATCTTCAGTTCGTAAAATATCGACCTCTCGATGAATGGCAATTGAATTCTACCCGCGAATCGTCCTGAATCTGGCTTTTTATTAACAAATAATGAAACGAAAAAAACTCACTTTTATCGTCGTATGTGTAGAGAAATATCCGTTTCTGAGTGGCAACAGCCAAAAATACCGTGTCCTGATGCGATGGCGAGTACCTGAAACAAGTGGGATTTTTTTCAAACCAAAAAAAAATTTTTTTAGTAGTAATTTCAAGTTCTAGGGCTATCTACACCGAGAATAAATACGAATAGCGAAAAGCGATTTGCTTACTAGGAAATTTCTGTCGTTTTTGAAATTTATCTGATAAAAAAATCATGTTTCATTTCGCTGAAAACTTATGAAAAAAAAATTTGAATGGAAAAAAATTGGTCGAAAAACCCCTCGGAAATATGGAAAAAAGACCGTCTTTTGGGATCTGACATCATTTTTCCTTCCTTTTTTTACATTGATTCTCTCTGAATTGAAAAACTTTGGTTTACTAATACTTTCGAATTTTTTTTTCTAATATCTATCCTTATAAAATTGAAATATACATTTCATTATAAATTCAACTTTTTTTAAAAGGCAAAGAACTCATCTTTCAGTGATTTGGCATAATTTCTAACACAGCTCAGCTGTAAAAACTGGCCGAACGAACCCGAGAGTTTTCATTTTCTTCAGCCGAAACCAGGATGTTCTCCTTGTCCGGCGAGCCACTGATCGTGAAGGCGTCAAGGCTAATAAGCCAAGCCAGCAAAACTAGCACTGCACGCATTGCTTTTCGACTAGCCAAAACTCATCTCCGGCTGAAATTCTCTACTTTCAAAAAGTTTATTTATACAAGTTCAAAAAAATGAGACCGTATTGAAACTGAGCGGAAATGATGATGAGAAGGATTAACAAGAGCGTTGTTTCATGAGTCCAAAGAGAAAGAAAAGAGATTCTACTCCTCTTTTTTTTTTGGCCAGACCGAATTTTTCATTGGACAGAGCAGAGAAAAAAGGTGCCGCGTGAGGAAAATCAATCAATCAAATAATCAATCAGTTCCAAATGCCGTCGTCTATCCTAGCCTTTTAAGATTGAGGTTAACAGAAAAATTCAAAATTTAGCAAATAAACTTGGAAGAGGTACTTCTGCGTGTAATTTACCAAATTTATATTTAAAAAAACATCGCGAAAACCGTCTTTTCCCTCGATCAGATCAAAAAAAACTTTTTTCGATCATTTGGGATTACCCTGGTTGCTTTGAAAAAATACATCAAAAATAGATTTATTCATCATCGAACCGTTTCAAAAATCTGAACAGTTCAGTATTGTCATAAACTAACGGTGAAAAATGCTCCTTAGTTTTTAAATTAGAAAAAACTTTCAAGCGAAAGAAGACTACAATAAGAAGCCACAAATGTGATCTATTAGATTTGAAATACTGGAGCAAGTCAATTAACCATTTGAAATTTGAATCTTTGTAAGTCATCATTTTATCGCCAAAGTTTGACCAAGAGTGAGAATGAATGAAGAAATAACGAGTTTACGGCGAAATGAAGGCCAAGAGATAAACAATGGAAATTCCAACACACGGCGGCTGAGATTCGCGTGCAAAGAAAAAATCGATTCACGATAATGTTTTGATTTGTAAAAAATGAGAAGCCTGTCGCATTGTGTAGTTTAAGAACAGACGGTTTTTGTTTGTGTCGTTCAGTTCTCTCCGCTTTTTCAGCCGATTTGAGGGCTGAACATACAAATCGTGCCCTGCCGCTTAAGGAGAAGTTGTTCCTGATCTTGAAGAATAATAAGGAATCTTTTTTTTTTTGATAAATCAATTTTGCCATTCAAATAAATCACCTCTATGGAAGTTAATCGATAAAGTTCGACTTCTTTTTTATCTTAAACAATGGAAATATTGAAAGAAATCACGAAGCACAAACCACGTTTTTGCACATGTTTTGTTTCATGTTCAAATATTGACATCCATTTATGATGCGACGTCTGTTCTGCAGAAAAAAAAAGCAAAACAGGATGAAAAGCGCGTGTCAAACGTACAAAATGTGGAAAAAAGGAAATTCTTCGCAGACTCAAAGAAAATAAACGTTTGTTCTTAAACTCCTTTTGAGGTATTCAGTTTTTTTTTATCAAAACTGAAAAAGTCAGTTTAACTACGATTTGACTTGAACTGTTGAAAATTTTCTAAACACGAAAATAGGAGTGAATAAGTCAAAATATCAACTGGTATCCCAAATAATTTCATTTCCTTTTCAAAAGCATTTGAAATAAAATGTTGCATCATCAGAAAAAAATCACATACACATTTTTTCATCAAGAGGAAGACCGAGTCTTGATAGAAACCACAAAAAAACGAATGTTTGAAGAATGCCGTCCGTCCTTATCTTTCAGGTGGACGAAAAAAGTTTTTTTTTTTCGACGTTTCGAAGGCGGAATGCGGCGCAAGATTGTTTGATAGTGACAAAACGAACTGATAGTCACGATGATAAGAAAAGAAAAACTTGTAAAATTGGTTAATGATGCGGAAATAGCACGGGGTTTGAAATCGAGAGATTTTGGTCAGAAAACAAGGTCATTTAGGGCGGTTCCCGTTGAAGTTTCTCTCAACTTTTTCGGCTTTGCCACTGAAATTTTCTCCTTTTTTTCTTTCCCGTCGTAGTTCTGACCCACTCTCACAGACACAGAACCCGCTGAATCACTGTCAGCATTGATCCAAAACACGAATGATTCTCACTGTTATCACCGTGAGTCAGGTTGTTCCAATAAGAAAAAAGGAAAAAAAAACGGGAGCTGTTACGTTGCGCAGAAAAAGTTCTTTTATTTTAAGAACGACCGGAAATGATGTCATCGAAGAACGGCCGGTTTCTTGTAGGAAAGTCGAGGATGGCTGGGGAAAATCAACAAAATGGGGTTTTTTGAAAGAAAATAAAGATTTTTTTAAATATATACATGAAAACATTGAAAACATTGAATCTAGTGTTTTAATGAAATTTAAGCGTTTCGAACCGTTTCAGCTTTTTTTAAGCTGAGAATTTTCCAAAAAAAATTTTTTTGGTTTAAAAAAGGTTTTGGTCTTCGGTCTTCAAACAAAATAGTTCTTTCGAAACTTTTAGCTTTTTATAGCCTTGATACTGATAGAACCGATAAGAAAAAATCAGCGGAAAAACAGAAAAAACCCCATGGTTAGGCTATGTGGGCAGTTGTTGGTTTCAAAGCGACGGTTTTGTCACGAGGGACTGATAAATGTGGGAAAAATGGCAAGAAACAGCTGTGGTCAAATGGAAAAAAAACCGGAAATTCGTTAAACTCTCCTACTGAAAGCTTATGAACCTAATTTGAAAGTTCTGAAAAATTTGATAAAGTGCAGGCTTGAAGCAGAGGCTTCTAAATATAAACCTTCATTTTCAGATGAGAGAAAAGCCAAAAAAGCGTGGGCATGCCGGATTTCAAGTCAAGTGCGTGGGGGCCGTTCAAGCGTGTTTCGAGTCGTCTTTTCCCAGGCGATCGATTGATTTTTTCCTCTCGCTTGCACCCACAGAGACCCGTGTTGCGTGCATCGTCATAAAATGGAGCAATAAACTGGTTCTTAAAATATTGAATCGGAGATCAAAGGTTTTCAGTTAAAATCATCCATTTTTGGATCTCTGTCCAAAGGATCAGGACGGAAATTCTTGATTCCTTGAAAAAAAAAGTTTTTTTAAAATTCAAATGATAGACACTAATTGATTGATAGAACAGATCCTGAAATATATAGTACTCAGACTCTAGAAGTACATTGGAAATCAATTAATAGTGAAAAAAATCAACGTTTGTGAAGATTTTTCTTTTAAAAAGTAGAAACCATTTCTATGAAATTTGATCCGAATTCTAGATTTTTTGTCTAGCGTCTCTTAGAATCAAGTTTCACTTTGATGGAAAATGACGTTAAAACAGAATCGGAAAGAAAAATAAAAAAAGTTCTGAATTTCAAGCACTCCAAAAGATCGAAAAAAAAACAAAAAATGAAAATCATGGCATTTTTTTCTACTTTTTCTCATGAAGAATGAAACCATTTGGGTGGACCAGAAAGAAAGGAGAGCAAAGAGTGAATTGGATAGCAATGGGGAATGGAGAGAAAATAAATCAACTAATTCAATCCCGTCAAATTGAATAGGTTTCACTTTCAATCATTAGTAGACGGCGTGTAAAATTACAAAAAAAACGTGGAATTCGAGAGAGGAACACTGGAAAAAGAAGGCAACCCAAAATCCAATTTCTTATTGTTAGTTTTTAGGACTCCTTCAATCATTGACTGACGTCTCAAGAGGTTTGAGAACCGTCAAAGAAATTAAATGTAAGAGAGTTGGAAAGTTGGAAAGAAGGAGAATTATTTCGGAGCCTTTCTAAACATTATTTGAATTTTCAGAGAGTATAAAAAAATTGACGTTAAAATTGAGAAAATTCATTAGAAAATCGGTTTTTGTTTTTTTCAGTGTTTTTTTCCAATTCATGAGTTCTTATGACGTCACAAAAATCGGTCAGAGTACGAACCAAAAAAAATGTGAAAAAAGTGAAAAAAAGTGAAAAAAAAGTGAAAAAGACAGAAAAAAAATTTTTCTGGTCTTTTTTTGTGACCTTTCAATAAAGTTTCATAGACGCTTTGAAACTCTGAAATATGATGAATTTTGAGTAGTTTCAAAAAAAAGGGTGAAGAAGAACTGAGGAGTGAACGGACACACTTTTGCCGATGTTTGCTGATTTCTGGCCGTTGTTTGCTGTCGAGGCAACGATACTTTAGAACTTGCACTGGCTTCTTGACCCTTCCAAACAAATCAAATCGAGCAAGAAGAGCGTCGAGTTTCAGTTCAGGTGGTGAAAGGAACTTTCTCAATTGTGAGAAACCGAAGGAAAATGAGGATTTTTTCAAAGAGTGAAAATAAAATGACGCTTCAAAAAAGCCCTTCAATTTCAAAAAAATTCACCAAAGCGCTATATTACTCTAACGCTGAAAAAGGTTGCGCTACATCGTGAAAAGAATGAATGAACAAAAGATTTCGGAAGATTGCGAAAACAAAACTTCACTTTTTGATTTATTTATAAATTTTTTTGAATGATATGAAATACAAAACTCTCCCTCAAACTATTATAACATTTATTTTTGGAAGATGCATGCATTCATGACCTTCTGCAATTTATTCCATTCTTTTTTTCTCCAAAAATCGTTGAGAAAGGAAGGAAAGAATCATTTCTCAAAAAAATAAAATTAGAAACAACTGCTGGATGTGAAAATGAAAAAGTTAACTCGAAGTTTTTTTCCAATAAGTTTCAGTGCACCGCGTTTCATGCAAAGTTTCTGTAATTCCCTTCGAAAAAGTTTTTCAAGGTTGCGTTATATAGTTTTTTTCACACTCCCCATAACTTTTAAATTTTTTTTCAAGATTGTTCAAAACACGCAACATTTATGTTTGATCGCCAGTCACCTCATCTGAGTGGTTTTGTTGGATTAGACGGATGTACTCCAGGCTAATTCATAAAATACACTGCTTTACAGATTCACTAAAGTCCAATGAAGCTTTTCAAGCAATTCTAGAGAAACAAAATCTTTCTCAAAAACAAATACAAACAGAAAATTCGATCTGTGATGTTCAAATATCACAAGTGTCTGAGTGTCTTCTTAACTAGGAAAAAAATGTCTCTAAAAAAACTTACAGTTAAATTTTTTTCGAAATTTGCGATCTTGAGAAGAAAAATTTCAGTATCGAGAAAAAAACGAAAAAAATGAAATACTCCATTTAATCAATCAATATTATATTTTCTATGAAGATGTGGCCATTAGTCTTTGCAATGGAATTTGACACATTTCCAGAAAACAAGAAAATTTAAAAGCTTCAAAATGAAAATATTTTAAAGAGAAGGTCGAAAAAAATGACGCTGAAAGGTCGTAAAAAAAGAAAAAGAGCGAACGTGGGCGAGTGTTCGATTTTCGGATGGTTATGTGGCTCCTGGAGCAAAAAGAGCAAAAAAATTGGAACGCTCGAGTGTCCGAGATTCTGAAATTTTTTGTCTGCCAAAAGAGAACGTTTTTTTGAGAAAAAAAGTACGCGTGGAGAAACATTGAAAAAAAAAACACATTTTTCGTTCATAAATTAGCAGAATTTGTTGAAAAAAATGCTTTTCAATTACCGAATTGAAAGATTTGAAAAAAACATTTTAAATTTTTGCAGTTTTTTTCAATAAGGCCAGTCTCAAAAAAAGAACTTTCCAAAAAGCAAAATCTGTTCAAACTAAATATATTTCCCGCCTCTCATGATCATTTTTTTCCGGGTTTCAAAAATTAAACCCTTTCCTGCAAACGATAATCGTCGAGCCAAAATGGCCATTAAATTGATACCTACAAGAGGGTTATTAACTCAAATATCGGCGAAAAGTTTCATTCCCCAGCTTTACTTCATGTGAGAGTACGACTTTGGAAATCCAAAAAAATTTCAAATGAACTCCAAATATATTTTTCTTACTCAATTTTATCTCGGTTATTCGCATTTTTCTCAACATTCTTGGCGTGATTGGTCAAACCATTGGCTTCATCTATTTTAAAAGGTTGTTTGTTAATTTTTCTTTCAAGATATTCGCACTAGATTCTCGGGTTTTTGTGGTTCGAGAATTTATTCAACAGTTTTGAAGCATTAAATAGTTTAAATGATGCTTTTAGTAAGATTTAGAACTTCTTACTCTGTTCTAAAAATATTCAGAAGCTTTAATCAACTTTGATCGCTTCCATAGTTTTGGAAAGGTTAAACATTTTGTTTACGATTTTTGTTTTTTTTTTTTGGAAAAACGGAAAAGTTATTTTTTCTAATTCGTCGTTTATATTACAGAAAAATTGCCGTTCATTCGAATTTTTCATTAATGACAACGCTTTCAATCATTTCAACAACACTTTTCTGTTTCTTCACTGTTATAATCGACATCAGATCGATAATTCTTCAACTAATAACTTCGGGAAAGACTCACATAAGCGATGGCTACACTTGCCTTGTACTACGTTCCTTGAATGTTTTCTGTTCTGCAACAACTTTTTATTCTTTCTTTGCAATCACAACTGAAAGATTGATTGCCACGGTTTATTTCTCAACTTATGAGAGTTTCAGTTGTCGCTTGGGACAGTTTCTTTCTTTTCTACTGGTTGGGTTTCTTAAGAGTTGGAAAGAATGATCTTGAGCTTCAGATCACGGTTTCGTTTTCCCTGACTTATTGGCTTTTTTACGACTATCCAACGGAAATAGATATGACGTATTGCTCTGTGATGTCTCCCACGAACTTCACCAGAATGAACTTCTTCATGGTAAGTAGCAATCGAAAAATTGCCTAATACCACTGTTTTTCTCTCAGAGTTCTTCCTTAACTGTCGAAATATTGGCGGTTATTATTTTCAACGGGTTGCTTTACATAAATAGAAAACGGAAGTCAGATACAAGTACTCTGAAACTCGCTGCAAGGTAAATTCAAAAAAACTTTGAGAGCTGAAAAACGTGATTTCAGATATCAATTGACTGAAAACATCAATACGTTAACAATGTGTATTCCCCTTGCTTGTTGTCATTTCGCTGTGGTTTTCTCAATTTGCATCACCTACAAATTACGCATAAAGTTCCAGAGCTTCTTCATGGATGATACGACGTTTGAAGTGCGTTTTTTTTTCAAAAAATTATAATGTTCCACGTCCCACGGAACGGTTCTAAAAACTCCCCATTAAGTTTGGAAGAAAAACCTTCCTGGCCCTTTTTATGGTTTTTTTTTCTTAGAAATGTTCATTAGAGAAAAAGTCTAAGAGAATAAGGAACCGAAATTTTGAAAAAAACATTTTTTGGAAAAGAAAACTGCGAAGAAACTTTCTGAGACTCCTAGGTAGCATTGAATTGCCATCTTCCAAAAAAATTAAATTTACCAAGATCCCACTTCTTTTTATAGACTTTCTTCTCAATTTAGAATATTTCATTCTTGGTTTTTGAGTTTTTCATTTCTCTTTGTTTTGCATTCATTTCCGAAAGACTGTTTAGAAAAACAAAATAATTTATTTCAATCAACCGTGAAATTCGAACTTTCGGTTTTTTCAGTAGAAAATATTTTGCTGCAATATCTCAAAATATCAAAACTGAGAAGAATGTAGCAGCCTAAAAAACTCCATTAATGAAAACAGACGTCATGCATTTTTTTCATTTTTAATAGCCAAGGGTGCACTTTATAACTACGTAGACACAATATGCTTTTGACATAACGTATTTCCGAATTTTATGAAAGTTCAAACGATGCAAATGTAGATCTTTGCTGTCAAGTAAAGGTCTAAACTTCATTCAACAAATTTGAATGTAGCAGCCTAAAAAAAGCTTTTTGAAAACTTCATAGAATAGCCATGTAAATTGTAACCTTCAATTCCCTATTTTTCAAGATATCAGAGGCCGGACTGATTAACAGAAATTAAGAAAAGCCGACTTTTGAAAAACTTTCAAAAAAAGAACTCAGTTGGCATTTTGATGTTCAAAAATTTAAATGACTTAGTGAATCTGGTTTCAAGAACAATTTGCGACAAGTTCAATACTTTTCCAGGAACTTGTGAGCCATGCAGAGATCTACGGCTGCCTGATCCCGATCGTTGGACTCATCGAATACAGACTGATGCAAAAAAGGAAAAGAAGAGTAATGGCTGGAAATTTTGTGAACGTCCGCGACCACATGGAGAAAATGGATGCCTTGACGATTGCCCATTTCCGGGTTATGCGAAACGTCTGGAACTAGACCTCTTTTGAGGCCCTTCTAATCTTCTCCTGGCTTCTCATAGTTTTCAGTTCCAATCGTTCGGAGCTTCGAAAAGTTCTAGGGAATAAATTACAGTAGCTCTTAAACATTCTTCCTTTCACCTCCATACAACTCTGACCCTCAAATTGAGCCAAAATCTGTGTCAATCGTGGTAAATAATAACTGAAATGTTCAAATTTTTAGAAGCTCGAGATTTATTCTTATCACTCCCCTGTAGACATATTTAATTACTTGTTCTCTGCTTCTCTTTTCCAGAAACTTCCTCATCATTTTTCCTATAACTGCCCTAAAGGTCACCATAGCATTTGTACCTAGCCAACCAATTACTTTACCCGCCTTCTCAAAAAAAAACGTGATTCAATTAGACAACATTAGTTCTAATTGTTTACTTTAGTTATTAACTAGAACCTATTCATCAATGAAATATTGCAACATCTTCTCTTTTTTGTCCGTTTTTGTGGTACGTTTGATGAATTTATTGAAGGTGACTTTTAGAACAAAAAAAAAAGGATAAAATCCTGGAACACAGATCACATGATATGATAACAGAAAATGGCAAACTTGAAAGCACAACATTTTTTTGACCAGAAAATATTTGGATATGTGAGATCAAACAACAAAAGCTGAGAAAATCGTTTGGAAGAGAAATCATTGATAACCCGTAATTCAGCAGTAATCAGAAAAAAATTGAAAAAATGTCAAGGCAGCATTTCATGAGGAATCGATTCATTTTACTCTTTTTTCGAGTTCAGGACACAAAAAGTGGCAAAATTTTCATGAAGTGGGTAATTTCAAATGACCTCGAAGAACAAAATTTCATTATGAACAGACAAAAATGCAATTGTTTCAAGTTATGATATAGAGACGAAAAAAATTATGGTAAATATTTTTTTAAAACTTTTTTTCGAGATTGAACGGCTAGACAGTGGAGCCTATAACAATTCACATGGCGTTGTGCGGCTTTTATTCCTGATCTTAGAAACATTTTTTTCAGTTTTTAGTTCTTTCGTCAATTATCAATTATCAAAAAAAAATTTGCACAACCCCATGGAAACGATAAAAATCATCTCGAATGTAAATGGTGAGATCTCAGGCGCCTGACGCGATGCTGTGTCAATTTATTGACCTCTTGGCGAAAATCTTCTTCAAGTTTTTCGGACTGGAAAGTCGTTTGTTGAATAGCCACCGGGTCGCCTTCATGTAGTTTGGTAGGCAGAGATGCCTTGTCTGTAGATCCGACCTTTTTTTGGCGCTTCTGTACGTCTTCTGAAGGTCTTAGCGATCTCCGAGGACGAACTCTAGTCATTTGAAGAATGTCGTCTTCTTCTTCCTCTTCATCATCTCCTGCTCCAGGTTCCTGACCTTCCTCAGGTTCATAATACTCGATAGGAGCTTCTTCAAGTTGTTTCATGAAGTTCTTTTGGGCTTCTTCAAAGTCATCATCGTCAACAGGAGACGTCTCAGCAAGATCATCGTAGTCCTGTTCTTCAAGAAGATGTCTCATGCCTTCATAAGGTTCGTGATCCTGCTGTTTCTGACTGCCCATGAACAACTGGTGCTCCCTATGAGCGCTCGGATCAACAAAAAGCCTATTCGGAGCTTCTTCATCTGGATCGACTTTCTGATGATGGGTTCGGATTTTATGAGGAGTTTCAAAGGTTCGATGATGAGATTCTCCGGCTGAAGTTGCGTGATTCCTTGTTGGACTGGCATCATATGCGAAATGATCGGCACCGAAGTCGATATTTTTTCCTCTCGCCTTGGCTGCCTTGTCTAATGTTTCTCTCAGATACTGTATTTCGGCATCCTCCTGAAACAAAATTGATGAGACATTGAGGTTGATTTCATCACTCACCAAGCGTTTGAATAGACAAAAATGTTCGTCTTCGTCCTCGCCATTGGGACAATCCGGAGTGAAATTGCAAAGATCTCTCGTCAATATGCAGGTTTGCTCTTCTGATGGCTTTCTCGAACACGCCACCATTGTGTAGCCAAGATTCGCAAAAAATTTATTATTGCAACTGTCAGAGTCTGAAATTTTTCCGTCAGATAAAACTCAGGGGAACAGTTATACCTGACAAGCCGCTCAGAATCATCGGAAGAGGCATATCCTTCAAATCTTGTTGGGATAGTGTGTACCTTTTGTGTCTTCTTAGTTTCCTCTGATGAGAACTGCTATCAAATATTGCATTTCCACTACGCCATGCCTGCAAAGATTATTTTTCTTGGATCAAAGAACCATAAAGTTTATGCGGCTTCTAAAACCTATTTATCCATCTTAGTGACCTCATCGTGCGTTTTTTTTTCTTTTCATAATCCCCTAATTAACACGATTTTCCTGTGATGGCCGTATTTTTAAAGGATTAGGAGTATGAAAGTACACGTGAGTCTCAAACCAAATTTAATACAACTGTTTTCATCGTTCTTTGAACTCACCGTTGGCTTTAGCATGGCGAAGGTGCTCTGAATGGCTAACAGGGTTTCGAACTGGTAATACGTTAAAAGAAGGAAAAACCATAAATTCATCTGTAAAATGAAAATTTTAATTAAATACGAGAAATATGTTGAATAAGATGAAAGCGGAACAGAAATTGGAACGTTGTTTATAACAAAAGATCCGAAAAGTGGGCGGGGGTGGAGAAATGATAGTGAAATAATTGCAACACTAGGTGCTTTTTACTAGCTCATAAAAAAACTTGAGCAATTACTATTGCAAATTTTCAGGGTTAATGAGAAAGTCTTAGTAATAAGGTTCTAGAAGGTGTTGCGCTTTCAATACATTTTTAGCAGCCAAATGTGACGCAAAAGTCAAAATTTGTTGATTTGGCGGTAATACAGGACCCTAAAAGGAGTTCGCAGAAAACCTTATAACAAATAAACTGACCAATTAGGAACTCCGTCATAATAATTTTCTCATTCGAATGATAAGGTCAAAAACAGAGGAACGGTTTTGAGTACATTCGGGAAATTGTATGCAGCTCTAGAATCGTTCATAATCACGAAAATTTTCTGTCTGAGTCTTGGGAAGGCGCTTGTCGTAATTTCCGATTTGAAAGATAATTTGTTCTGTAAAAAGTTTCGAAAAATGAAGCGCACTGGACAGGAAGCTCGAAGGAAACGAATTCCAGTCGTTTCATTTCATCAAGTTGGCGTCATGACATCAGATAAGATACGGAGAATATAATGGAAGTTTTGTTATGGTAACAAGCTGCAAGGTCTACTACGTCGTAACGTCTTTACAAACTTTAATCCAACGTTGTCCGTCGCCCAGAGAGTAGTCCAGCACAAATCTCGAACCAAAAGTAGACAAGTACGCCCATTCCCAGGGACAACTAGACTTTCTTCGGGTGGGATCAGATTGCCTTGCAGCTTGTTGATTTTCGGTTCATATACCAAACAGATTAAATTTTATGAAGCCTTTTTTTGTTTTTTTCAGAAGGCTTAATGTATCTTCAAAGTTTTTGTTAACTCAATTTTGAAAAAAACAAGTCATGACTCAAGAAAAGAATCCTTAGATACCCTCGAGAACCTTCAGAACGGAAAGGTTTGGTTAATTTGTGAACGACTTCAATTTTTCAAGGACAATCACAGCTTCTAAATGAAAAGATCAAAATCGATGTTATTTTTGAGACTGAGCGGAAGAAATGAGGAATGGGAGAAAAGGAGATTTCGAACTGTGTGCATCCAAGGACACGCCTAAATTTTGTACTTGGATAATTAGCATTAATAAAATTTCCCTTCACTGGACAGTATTAATGATAGGAAGGGCGCCTACACTCTCTTCATGCTCGAATTCGCTTAAAGATTCTTCGAAGCCGTTAACCACGCTCGGATGCGCCGATTTTGTGAAAAAATATCACAAAAATACGAATTCCACCCGCCTTGACTAATATTTTGGAGATGGCATGACGAGTAATTTCATCGTTGAGTGAGCTTCTTGGCCGTATTTTTTGAAGTTCACGCTATTTTTAACATTCCGAAAATATATTGAAGGGTAAAACACATACATCAACAAAGATAAAACCACTATTCTTTGAATTCGAATTCGTAGTCTTTTTTTAAGAGGATAGGGCCAAGATAATCGTAGAAATCAATGAATATATTTTTTTCGAAGAAAGGAGTCAAATCTCAAAAAAAGAAATCTTTCGATCACTTATACCAAAAACAAATGAAGAAATTTAACGAAATACTCTACCAAAGCCATAAGAATAGCATTCGATCTGGTATTGAAACCAAAGAAACAATTGTTCTTTCCAAGTACACCATAGGCACCTTTTTAAAGTAGAACCACCTATTAAAATGTCTTGTTTCTTGCAAAAACAATAATGAAAGTCAGGAGATTTCCAGACCAGTTGAGTAGACTATTCAACCTAAAAATTTGAACTGGGCCCAGTCTGGCACATGAATTTGAAAAAGAAACTTTGAGTGATGAAAAAAATGAATTAAATATATTCCCTCCGGATGTTGCAAATCTTTTTATTGCACTAGAATAGAATTTTAAGTCACTATGACGTGCAAATGACAACAAACGAACTTTGTTCAGTTTTCTCACTTCAGTATGAAATTGCTTGAAATGCCAATTAGCTGAAAATAGTATCCGCCTAAAAATATGAACGCGGAAGACCCAGATTTAGGTTTCTTCTCCGCTCATCTCTCAGATTACTTCTTTTTCAGTTTTTTTAGCTAATTATTTTAATATTTTTTTGCATGATTGAACTGAAGAAAGGCTACAGAAAAGCCATGCGGAATAATTTTTTCAATTTTTTTAATAGGATTATCCTTGTCAAAACCGTAAACTGAAAACCTTCAACTAACTTTTCAAAGGATGGCCTTCAACCGCACTACCAAAGTTCTAATCGAAAAGAAAAAGTCTCTTGCATCAGAAAAAAAAAATGAAATGATATTTTTTACCCATAGACAAGTTAAATAGGTTTGATTTCCGGAAGGGTTGTATGACGTAGAAAACGCACTAAACACGCAAAAACTTCTTTTGTTCTTTTCGAATTCAATAAAGTTTTTCGTGAAATTATTTGGCAACAAAGCGCTACTAAGCTGTCTAGGTCAGTATTGGCGTCCATTATATAACTTCGCCCACTTCTTTTTTTAGAAAACAACGTGGTTCTAAGCCGAATTGGTGTTTGAACGAGATAATTTACGAGATTTGGATTGCACCCGGTGATCCGTATTCAGAAAACTTCAGCCTCTTTGCTCCAGCAGACAGTGCGATTTTCGGTTTTTGAAAACAATACGTTTTGGAATTCACGAAAAATAATAACCAAATAAAAGTCGAGAAACCCAATTTCCATGTCTGATAGAGGGATTCGAAAACTGATCATTTAAAACAGAGAACTTTTACAATGCGTGGGTTTTTATTGGAACTTCCTGAAGCAATTAGAGTATAATTGGATCGGAAGCTCATTTATGAATTACTCCAATTGCTTCCGATTGAAAAAAGCGAGAAATGCAATAAGAGAAAGGTAATCAGAAACCTTTTTTATTCGTAGTTTCATCTTCACAAAGAAAGTTTAACATCGAAGTTAAGACGTTTTTTTCAAACGTTTAAATATAGGAAAAGCTAGAGTACGGTTTTTGTCAAGCTTGGAAGTTTTTTGAGAGGCTAGACGAAGACATTCCGTTTATTCTCAAAGTTTTTCTGCCAATGAAAACGGCTTGGGACATAAGTATTAGATTATATCAGTTTGATTCTCAAACGTCAGAATTTCAAAGATCGAAAATAGAAGATTTTTTCGACTTTCAAGTTGGAAATTATGTGTCTATCTTATTTCGAAGAAAAGATTCAAACGTAGTTGAAAGAGTCCTGAATGTGATTTTCAGCCTTCTGGAGGAGAAACATTTAATAAAAACGCAAGTCTCTAAACGGCTTTTTTTTCTTGATAACTGATGACTTTGAAAACCGATAAGTTGAATCGCTACAATGTTAATAAAAATAAAAATCGAAGATTTCAGTTTCCTAAAAAATTCTGTCTGCAAAAATGATCAGTTTTCAACGAGGCAACTGGTTCAGAATTATAAGTTTTTCTAATATTGAAAAAAATGTTTTCATCATCAATGAGTACTAAATATGATTCAGTTTTTAGCCTTTTTTTTTTGAGTTCTGAGTTTCAACTAAAGTCATGTTGTTTTTAGCAGTTGATTTAGTCGAACCATTTGATTCTTCGAAAAAAATGAGATCAATTTCCCCATTATTGCAAGTTTATTAACAACCGCTAGATGAGCAGCTGTAAAATAAGCTCCTGAGCTCTAACTACTTTGATTTATAGGAATTATTGAGATTTTATGATTTATCATGTGGAAAAAAATCAGGTTTTGACTTTCAAGGGCTCTGTTAAGTTCATAGAAAACAGTTTTGAGAGGTTTTTGGTGTTTTGAAAATTGTCAGAGTAACTTAACTTTATATAAAATAAAAAATTTCACTGATCCGGTTCTACATTTATAATTCCAAACTCTGAATAAATGTACACCAAGTAGAACACCTGGAGAAGTACACCTTCCATACAAATCGAATCTGTCTATAACTCGATAATAAGCCTGAAGTTGACTTTGTGCCAGCTGCAAACCTACACGTCATGTAGTTTTTGGACTCCCAACCGCCGGAATTATTTTTTGCTTTCTGACCCACTTCCTGCGACTCAAATTTAGTTTCGCTAGAGCGAAAAAAAATGGAGCTTATTTTCTGAAAAAAAAAACCAAGGGTATGATCTTGTTGTAGTCTGCAGGAAAAATTTCAAAAATAACATAATTAATTAGATATTATCATGATCTTAAAAAATCAGTATTTTTTCGTGGCGATTTGAGCAAGGCTCTTGAGAGCATTTGTATAAATTATTTGAAAACCGAAAGTACTTCTCAATTTATTAGGAACAAGTAAAACACACCTCATGCAGCATTTTTACTTATTTATACTACTTCCTGTTTATTCGACACTGTTAATGGAAATATTCAAAAAAACTTTGTTAAAAAAAAATCAAAGCTGAAAAACGCTTCATTAAAGTTATTTAGGAGTATTTTTTTATTGAGTTTTAAACTTTAGTATTTGAAATTTCGACTCTTTAAAAGGAGAGAGTCATAGTTTCGATTGAACACTTCAAACCAAACACCAAGTTCATCGTGTACCATGCTCCATAAACAGCCACTTTTTATCACAAAAAGTTTCCGGTCGAGATTATATTTATTTGCCACGTGTCTTCTCTCAACTGGTACAAAAAGCAACTCGAAAACTGATAGGCCAACTTCTTCGGAATGTTGGCTAAGCTTTTCTTTTTCTTGGCTGTTTGTGAGTTTAATTTCCAATTTTTTCTAACCTATTAAAAATTCTAAAAACATTTTTCAGCTCAGAGAGAAAAACACAAAAGATTAAATATAACATTAACGTGAGCTATTGTTAAGATCTGATTTCCGCTTTTTGACCTTAGTACTCGGAAAGAGGGTGAGGGATTAGAATACATTATTTTATCACCTCCCAACAACTGCGGCGAGTGTTTTCTTTCTTGAAAGGTTTCTCTTCCGCAGATGATGTGTGTTGCACGAAAATTAATCTTTACGAGGCTTGGAAAGGATCCAGAAGGAAAAATAAAAGGAAAAGACTGCGATCGCACGAACCAACTTGTGAAAGCAATATTTGTCAAAGGTTTCCAATCATTATGACTTTTTGTGGTGCCTGAACTTTTTAAGCCCACATCTACGAAGAAAAATTGCACCTTACGACACAGAGTTTAGAGTTTGGTAAAAAGTGTCAGAATTATTCTAAATGGTATTTACATTCCTTGTCATTTGACAAGTGGATAACATCATTTATCTTTGATAAACGTAGAAATTACGAAAAATCAGAAGCCACTAAAAAAACTGCGTTATGGCTTCTACCCTACCTTTTTTTGAAGAAAAAGCGCAATCTTCATGCTAATTCGTTTTTTGAAAATCTTAATTTCTTCGAACTTTGAAAGGCTTCAATTGTGCTCTGTTGCAAGTTCAAAACACTGAAAAAAAGGCGAATTTCAGGTCGTTTGGCTTCGGCCGACACTTGCCTTCATTGCATTTGCCTGCACGAGTCTGGATGCAAGCCAATCGGCTGCGAAATGGACCTTGGCTCGTTAAGCTGCGGCTACTACCAGGTTGATAACAATAATCTCAACTGACTCATTAGAAACCCTACTAAGAACCAAACAATCAGGAAAACAGCAAGTATACGCAATCGTCTTTTTCCTAAATGATCTACGACGTAAGCACGAAAGTGAGCAGAGGATAAGCAATCAGTCAAGGGAATACCATATACCGAAGCTTTGAATGGATGAAAGATCTTTCTCATAGAAAAGGCCATTTACGACGTGTTTGCGAGTTTTCTGAACTTGAGCCAAAACACTTTATGAAGTTGTATGTTAATATCCTCAAATTCATCTTTCGCGTAACTTCCTTCTTTCACAAAATGATTTTTTCATACGTGTTTCCTTGGACCTGTGTTATTGGTTAGAGAACTCTTCTCAACGTAGAAACTACGTGAGAAAGATTTCTTGTATCAAACTGAAAACCTGGGTAGAAGGAGACGTTTTTGCCAACTTAAACATAAAAAAAAATCGACAAGATTTTTTTACTTCGGATTTTTTGTTATTTTGTAACTAGTTGGAAAATATGGTAGCAGGTGGAAAAACTTAATAAATCTCATTCGAAAAATATCTTAAACCGCCGAAATTCGACTCACTTACCATCGACTCTCAAATATCATTTTTCTAATATCATATTCGATTATTAAACATTTTGCAAGCTTGTTTCATGGGGTACACTCTAAATAAACGTAAATTGAGAATTTATACAATTAAGCCGCGCTACAGAGGCTACAAGATGAACTGATCTTTGTGCAACCATGCAATTTCAAGCCGAGCGAAAAGCGAAAAAAGTCAACTGGAAAACAATGATACAGGAGTGTAACGAACTGGTGTTGATCTTTTGCGTCGACAGTTCCATCAACAATGATTCATTGAAAGGGCAAACGGAAACTACACCAGTAGGAAATGCAAACGAAGCATCTGAAAATCCCTAATTTTTCGTGAGCAAGCAAAACTGGGCGTAGTTTGAAGCGTTGCCAACAAGACTATCGTATGCCCATCACGCCAATGGCAGCGTGTGAATCTTTGTTTTTGAATGAAATCTTCGACTTGCTCATCCATAACAAACACTGAACTATGAACTCAACGGCAGGGAAGCTAGATTTTTAAAATCTTTTTCTTATTTCTTTATTCTTTCTAAAACAAAAAAAGGTTGAAGGTCATTAGATGTGGAAAAAATACCGGCATGTACTTCTGGATTTCACAAAAAAAGAAGCAAAATATCTCGAACTTTTGATTTATTCCCAAAAAAACAAAACATAAGGTGGCTATGCGAAAACTTTCTTTCCAAGCTACGAACCATTACGTGAGTTCCTCGAGTTGCAAAAAATTTCCAAAAATGTCTTTTCTCACACTTTTCTGTGATGTAAACGGAAAGTACATTAAATAAAATTGGAATTGTTGTGAGAAATCGCATGAGTTCATTATGATCCCTATGAGCGCTTAAGGTCTTGAAATAAGGCTTGTATTGAATTCATGATTTTGAAATTTTCAGAATTTTGTTGCCAAACTTTCACAAGTATAAAAAACGAAAGCACGACAAGTTCTCGTCTGGCTACAGTTAACTTCTCTATCACATCTAAAAAAATATTCCAAAAAAAGTGAAACTTTTTATCATCTGAATAATTAGTTCGGAATAAGGTTAGGTCAAGTTTTGAGAAATTCATTGAAATTTTTTTGATATTTTTCCTGCTAGATTCTATCTTAAAAAAACAGGTGAAAAAAATTCGTTTGTAACCTTTAAGAAATAAAAAAACTTCAAGTTCAAGAATTTTTCCGGGTCGAAAAATCATTGCCAAGCTTGATGCTTTGCCTAATCCTCAAAAAGATTTTTTCACTTTTATTTTTGAAGAAGCTTTTTTTTCACAGCGTAATGTTGGAATTGTAATAAAGGTTTTTTCTTCATTTGATCTTTGTCTGAGGAATCGAAAAAAAAAGTTGCAAAATTTCCTTCTTATAGATTAAACTGCCGTATTACGAAGATTGCGGGCAACCGGGCAAAAACGCGGGAGAATCGACTGAAGACGCCTGGAAACGATGCTCCGACGACCTCAACTGTTCTACCAACTGCGTTAACGTCTGGTTTTATCTTACTTCAAACGAAAACAACTCAAGGACCTCCGGAAGCTAAAATTGAATCAATCGCATGATACAAGCAGCAGCTTGACTTATACAAATCCCATGATAAGATGAAGAAAGTGTAGTTCTTAGAGCAGTTTCATGTTCCAAAAACAAATAAAAAACTAACAAGTACAAAAGCTACTCTTTCAAAAAAAAAAACTTGACAATATTTTAAAAATGAGACAAATTGCCGGTTTCCGAAAAGAAAAAAAAAACACCCTCTACCGCATGAGAAGAAAACCTCGAATTATGTATATTTTTGATTATAAACTTGGTTATAATGGTAAGTTAGCACCTTATAATTAACGTGACCTTTCCAAAAGTGAGAACACTGTAACAGAAAAACACTAAAAAGTATATTTTTAAAAAAATTATGAAAGTATAAGTTTTTCAGGCCTATTACAATCGCTACAAGGCTGGCTGTGCCTCAACTGGAGAAGGACAGTGTCAAGTGATATATAAATGATTGAACTGCGAAAAAATTATCATTTAAGGTAATGGCCAGAAATCACAACGGAGGACCATCTGGCTGCAAAAAAATGGAGGAACTGTTGGCTACTGGAACGTTGTTCAAAGCTGTTGTGGATGCTCTTAAACTTTCCTTTCTTTTTAAAAAAAAAAGTGCTGATATTTTTATTTTTTGTGCTTTTTTTCGTAGTCAAAGTTGATAAAGTTGTGATAAGATAAAAAAAAATCCGATTGATACACCTCAATGAAATCCTGAATAAAAAACTGCATATAGATAGAGGTGGAAAAAAACCTGTTTGAACCAAAGGCTCATGGTTATATATGGAATGTCTCGACGCACTGCTTTGCTGACAATTTTGATTTTCGCGCTTGACCAAAAGCTACTTGTGAGCCATGTGAAAGTTTGAACAAAGATCAATAAAGTTGTAGGTTCATTTCAATGGCAAATACGTTTGAAGGCAGAGTGTAAAAATTAAACAAAAAAATTTTTTTAAGATATTCGAAAGCTCCTGGCAGATTTTAATCAACTATTTCTATTCTTTTTAATGAATGTTTCAAAAAAAGATTTCGAAAAGAAGGGCGGAGATTTTAACCTCCCAAACAACAAAACGTCAATTGAAAGCAGGAAAACTTCACAAAAAAATACATAATGAGTGAACCACTATTTGTTAAAAAAAGAGTTTTTTTGTACTGAGCAGATATGAGAAAAAAATGGGTGGGCTACCATGATGAAATTTGAATTATATTATAATTATGAAATGTGAGAAAAAAAGTCAAATTTAGCAACAATTCGAGCGCGCCAGCCAAGTAATTAAATGAGATTAAACTTCAATGAAATGATGTTTATTGTCGAATCTTCGTCTGTCAACTCTTCTTGGCCGCTGTTCAATTTTCTAAATGAGGAGAGAGTTGGAATAATGGTTTTTGAGCTCGAATCAAAAATTGTTCCCGGATAAATGAAATCTCGAAAATAAACGAGAATGGGATGTTCCCTCAATGATTAGGAGTTCAAAAAAGTCTGATCCGTGGAACGCCACGTGCAGGGAACACGCCGAGGCTGTAGATAAGCTGTAGTCAGTGGGATTTCATTCATCATATCAAATCATATATCTATTTTTTTCATCGTTAATCAAAAATCGTTGCTGGATTTGCTCTATTTGGAGTATTTTATGGGTCTGATTGGAGAACTTTTTCTATTCCCTGTTAAACGTTATCTGAAATCTTCCTGAAGTGCATTTTAGCGCTTTCAGATTTTAAAATAAAAAATTTGCACTAGAAATTCTTTCTGAGTTAAGAAGCTTCAAACGCTTGAAAAAGTTTTTCGTTTTTTCAATATGCGTATTCTGCAAGTTTTGAAGCTTAATAAATTGGAAAGAAGCTCTATTGAAAGAGTTTTTTTTTGGTTCTGAAGTCAGGAAGTTCTAGATTGAATTTCAACAAGTTTAATCAGGTGTTAAACCGGAAGCCAAAAGACGTTCCTTGGTAAACATGAGTTAAACCCAATCATTCGAAAAGTTTCCTTAATGCTTTGCGTATTTTTTGTATTTTTTCAAATATTATCTATTGATTGATGCATTTATTGTAGAAAATTATACAAAAAGGAAATAAATGGTTTCTTAGATAACAATAATTATCAATAAAAACCTTACCCGACATCAATCACCTTGGATGTATGTACTAAAAAAGTTCGAGGTTCCAGGTCGCAGCCAAAAAAAAAGATCCGGAATTTTTGAAACACAAATGGAAAAAATGACATCATGGAGAAATTTTGGCAACATTCTCATCACAGAATTACAAAAGATGTCGGGAAATTTTAAAATGCGGACGTTATACATCACTAATGGCGTTGCTATTTTCTTTCAGATGTTCCCAAGACTCTTTCCGGAAGTACTGAAAACAAAAAAACACGTTTTGATGAAGACTATTTTGACTGCAACCCTTTGAAAATCAGGGATCGTACGACTTTTGTTCTGATTTTTTCTGATTTCATGCTCTATTAGCAGTTTAAGAAATTACTCTAAAATCCGTTTTTCACCACAGAGCTACGATTTAGTGGATCCAATAATAATTTTTTGTTTGAAATTAATTCACTTACCATTTTTGAAATTAGAAACACTACGAATCTTACGAAACTGAAAAAAGCGCTTCTAAAAAATGTTGACGTGGAAAAAAAATCAAATTACCGTACACTTACTAGAAATCACAAATACTTCTATTAGCGTGCAATTATTTCCTAATAGCTATGTTCGAGCCAAATCCTATTTTTATGGAATGACGATTTGGACTGTGGAAACTAATATGATGTATGAGTAGGGACCGCAAAGCCACGCCCCTTTTCGCGATAGAAAAAGTGGCTTTTTTTTGGTTTTCAACTTTCCTTTTGCTGTAGTTGCAAAATATGTGGAACTGGCTAATAAAATTTGGCACACATTTACAGAAAAGCTTCCTCTTTCGTTTAAAAAATATTTCACGCTTTTTTGATGCGTTCGCGCGGAATGTCGTACAAAAACGTGAATGGAACTAAAAAATTTTGTCGTTTTTTGCTTTTTCATGTGTTTTCAGGTCGAACGCACTCTTTCTTTTTATATAATGATTTTTGATTCAAGTAACGGTAATTTTAAAACAATAAAATAAAAAAATTCGTCTTTGCCAAAAAAATTTTAGGGAGTGCTGAAAGTCATAATTCAAAATATCGTTAATAAGCGAATATAATCGAGTTTTTTTGTTTTTTTCAAAAATTTAGACCATGGGCTTACGTAAAATTTTTTTCTCCACAGAATATGTGCTTGAAAAAAAGTTGTTTAATACGCAAAAAAATGCTCTTGAAACTAGAGAATAAAATTAGCGGCGTTTATCACAAAGAAAGCGGTCGAACGCAGGTTTTTTTAAACGATTATATACATTTATTAGTAAAAAAATCTTTCAATTAAAAAGAATAAAATAAAAAAATTCGTCTTTGCCAAAAAAATTTACAGGGGCCGTTTTAATGCAGTGATCGTTAAACGAGGCAAAAAGCACTAAAAAAACAGTTTTTTTCGAAGTGAATTTCCACGAAAAGTTTGAGTAAAGATTTGCGAACATATTCTGATAAAAAAATAGCTTAATTACTTCAAGTTTTTTTGAAATAGGCAATCTGTGCTATTCAAGCGGCTCAAAGGGTATGGGGGATGGAAACTCCCTTCGCTAGACCTAACAGCTTGGCGCAGCGCGTGCGCTGCGATTTTTCATTTTGAGGTCGCGAGTTCAATGCCCGCAAGCGCCAGTTTTTTGTTTTCTGGAAAATACCGACTTTTTCGGCAAACTAGCTGATGAGCATCATTTTAGCACTCTATTATGATTTGTTACATCATAATAGACCAGTATCAAAACTTGTTCTAGAAAAAAAATCGAGAAAAATGTCAAAAATGGATAATACCAAAATTTCAGTACTAAAAAAATGGCGCGCGGCGCGCCACATTTTTCGTCATAACTTTTTTCATCCTCAATCTTTTTCGAAAAACTAAACGGTTCTGAGTTTTGAATCGAAACAGCTATCAAACCATACAAAGCTCAATGCTGAAAAAATTTTTTTGAAAATTCGTCTGCGGTCCCTATGTATGAGGCGAAAAACTGAGAAGCTGAAAAATAGGCCTTTTTTACTGAGAAATTTTCGAAGGCGAAAATTTGGGGAAAAAAATAAGCCGTGGCCTATATCAATTTATTTGTTTTGAGCACTGAACTGTGCAAATTTTTAAGATGGAGAAAATTTGGAGCCTAATTAAAATTCGAAAAAGCATGTTAATTGAAAACTTTGAAGTTGAAAAGCGTTTTCTGAATCATGATATTTCTTCAACATTCTCTAACATTTTATAAATTTCGGAAAAAAAAATTTTCACGGCTGAAAAAATTTGAGAAGTTCTAGTTTTTTTAGATGGATTAGAGTCAAATGCATAAATCGAATAATAAAATTGACAATCTTTTGAAAGTGACGCAGTATAGTCCTAAATAATTCTGTCAATTGAAAAAAACATCGCAAAAAGATCAATAAAAAAATTTACTAAAACTGAATATTTATTGATTTCGCAATATGACCTCAAAATAATTATCGGTACTTCAAGAACAATTGTCTTTTTCATCACTCAAGTGGTCACTCGGAGTGTTTCGTCTTCAAAGTACCGATTATCGCACTATCGCGAACTTTGAATTTATACTTTTCCAACTGGAACCTGTCAAAAACTGCTTAGACAATCAGATTTCTTCATAGTGGTCAGCGTTATCGCTGTCTGATTGACAGCTCTGGCCGAAAAAACTGATCATCCCGTTAAAAAACCATTACTCGATGCACAGTTATTGATTATAGTCCCTTACAAGACGTTTTCTGCGGTTGTTTTTTTCAAAAAAAGTGTATTTTCATTAGAAAGTTGTTTTTTTAAATGCATGCATTTCTGAACTCTCCTCGTTTTCTTATCCGAAATTGACGTCTTTTAAACCTCTAGAACGTTTTTGAACAGACTAAAATTGGTTTCAGAGGTTCTAGCTGATGTGACATATTTACCGTGCCACGCTTGGGTATAATCATCAAGTTGACGATCTTAATCCCTCGGATTGCAACCTGTCAACGACTGCCGAAAGAACTGTCAGAACACGGGGGCCGCCTGTGTTTGCTCATCGGCGTCTATTCGTTTTGGTCTTAACCCATTATTCCGACACCTTCCTCTTTTCTGTCGATTCCAGGTAAGAGTTTCCTCATCTAATTAGTGTTTTATCTTTTTTTAAGTCTTGGAATTTTTCATGAGTACTTCATTTTTTTGATGAAAAAAATTCTGCAGAGAAAATGAATCATTAATGTTTTTGTTATGATATAATTTAATCAGAAGATTCTTAAACTTTAAATTTTTTTCTATTTCCAGAGCAATCGACTATTTTTCAATAAGCAGAAAAAAATAAGATTAAAAAAAATTCCAGCAAATAAATTGAGGTAGAATCGAAACAGATATCCAGACCGATAGACTTTCAATTATGTATGAATATTTTTTTGTCTTCAACAGATTCCCTAAATTGAGCTGAAAAAAATTATTCACCTGAGAAAAAAAGTTCATTAAAAAGGTTGTCATTATAAACAAAAAAATTAAAAAGCATGTGAATAAGGAAAAAAAGGCTCTGTTTATATTTTTCATCAAAAAGTCTTCGAACTTTCCTTAAGTTTTTACTACAAGGCAATATGTTCTTTACGAACAGCTGCTCAAAAAGTACGAAAAAAAGGGAATGCCAACATTATCTACTATTTTTGAACTTTGAGAAAAAGAATTTATGAAAGAAAAAATTATGTATATCATTCAAAATTCATCCCTGCTGAGAAAAAGAGAAACTTCAGGAATGTTTTCGGATTTTATTAATCAGTTAAAAAAATGGTTTCTATCTAATACAGTTTTTCAAACGACCACAGTATATAATCCATCAAAATTACAGTATACGAAATGGAGCAGCTACTCTCAAATTTGGAAACGTTGTGCAAACGTGATTTATCTCATTCTAGTCAAATATAGTGAGTTTGGATTGTTCAAAAAAAATTCTCGCGACTTGTAAGAGCTTGAAATTTTCTAAGATGGGCAAAAAGGATTTTTTTCTGTTGAAACAAATAACTTTTCAGTGATCAGTTTTGTGTCAATCCATTTCGAGAAGTAGTCAACGCAGTTCTACTAGAACGAAAGGCTACTCTGCGTGAGTTAGAAGTTGCCCCCTCACATTGAAAATCAAATAGGTTTGCAGGTAACAACTTGGATTTGACAGCCTATCAACGAGAAGAAACAACAACGCATGTGATTGAAAACATATTGGTTAGCACATTTTGTGACTCAAAGTTATAAAATCAGATGAGTTTTGGGAGTGGACAAAGACATTTTTTTTTCCAACGTCTCCTGTCCATTTAGAGCTTTCCACTTTGTTACAAAAGCCGGGTATGAATCCGTCTAAGTGTTCGATTATTCCGAGGATAAGCCACCGTAGTCCTTTTTTAGGCTTTTGAAGTTTTCGAAATGTCTTTTCAGCAGGAACTGATGAACCCTACATCTCCTCTTCCGGAAACCGAAGAGAAAGATGAAGAGTGGCTCGTCTTGGAGAAAAACTACTTCGATGAAGTCGAGAAATTGAAGCACACAATGATGAAAAAAGAAACAGCATTGACCGAGGTAACCTATTCGATCATTAGGAGAAGTGAGGTAATTGGATTATCTGTTGGAAAAGCGCGTGAACATGATGATTTTCGAAAAAAAAGTTTCAGACTTTATGATGATTAAAAATGATAAATTTTCAGGGATTCCGGAAAGCGAATGAGGCGATGAGTGAGACTTTGCGAACTCAGAAAAGACTTCGACCAATCGATCATCAGGTTAGATTATCAATAAGAATAATATAACTGATTCGTGAGTGACAACTCAAAAGAACGAGGTCTCACAGTTTAGGATAATTTAACCGAAAAATGGCTGGTCATAAAAACTTTTGTGTGTTTCCAGGATATGCTCAATGCAGAAGCCAGTGTTCAACAGCGTTTCACAGATGCTTGTAACATCCTTAGAGACGAAATCGCCAGTAAACTTCTGGTTCTGAGGAGAGATACAGAACAGGCGGGGTACTTATTTTATTGTTATATGAAAAAAAAAGCTAAAAAACGTGTTTTTCCTGAATTTTACTGGAATATTATGATTTTTGAAGATTGGAAAACTGACGTCAAATCGTTCTATTTTTGTTTCTTATTTCGGAAGCGATTATACTCTTAAACAGGGAATTATGAGAGATTAATAATGAAATCGCACCACCGAAACTTGTAGCCGATTATATGCTTGACGCGCTATTTTCCTACCAATCCCCCTTGATTTTTTGATTTTCTGCTTTTGTGAAAACATCTTCATGTACAAATTTTACAGATTGTACAAGTTTGAGCCTTTGAAAAATAAAAAAAGTACTTAACAATAATCTCAGAAAATAATCGTAATATTTATCAGCTCTTCCATTTTTTTGATTTGAGATTAGGTAGGGCGTGGTATAAAGTCTCCTCAGTTCAAAGCCATTTTTATTACTCGAAAACTATTTTTTCAATCATTTTTCAAAATTTGAAAACAGTCAAAATCATTTAACATTGAAAATATCGAATCCAATTCTCCTTTTTTTTTTCAATATTGATGACTTTTGAATCACCTCAAACCTAATAATTTTCCAAGCCCTCTTGGCCTCAGTAATGAATGGAAATCGTTGAAGCCGGAAAAGACGGAATTTCGACAAACGGACGACAGACATCCTGCAATCCTGGTTTCACGAACACCTCGACAGACCATATCCCAACGACGAAGAGAAGACAAAACTTGCCAAACAATGCGGGATCAAGGTATCACAGGTGCGACTTCATTCACATCGGGGTCACCAGATTATTTTTGGATATATCTTTTGTGATAGTGTCTTTTTAATCTTTCGACGATGATTATGACGCCCGCGATTCCCTACTTCCTTTGTAAGAATAGAAATTATATTCAAGTTTATCCCGGTCGCCCACTTATTTTCATCGGATTTGGTCCATTTATTACAGCATTTTGAACTAGATCTGACTTCATCCAAAATATGATTAGTAAAGGCATGTATAAACTGTGAACTTGATCCATGAGATGAGTCTATTCCGAGATCGCGATATTTCGTAGGAAAATCGGGCGAACAATAAGGATTTTCAAACAAGTGATTTGACGCATGCAAAGAGTGAAACATTAGCTTGAAATTGAAAATTTCAAATTCATATGGATTTTTCGAAAAATCTCAGGTGAACAATTGGTTTGGTAATCAGCGGATCCGCAACAAACATCAAGGAAAAAAATCAAGTGATGACCTCAGTGACCAACCGGGTTTTCCTAAAGGTTCGTTCTTTCGAAAAAAAAATATTCAGCGAGCCTTCTTTGATTCCAGTTTTCAATAAAGTTTCAAAGTAATTTTTTTGTATTTCAGAAGTTGAGTTCTTCCCAGCAATGAGCGAGGCCGAAGAAGGATATTCTCAGCAGTCACAGGTCAGTGAAGAAACTATTTTTCCTTTTCAAAAGGCAAATTACTTTTTTTCCGGTTAATTTCAAAATCATCTTTTTGAAAAAAATATTTCACTCACGAATTTATACTTTTAACTTAACTTGAACCGTTTTCAGAAATTTTCTCAATCTCAATCTTCTACATTCGACAACCCGACAACTTCCAGCGACACGATCTTCGCAGCTTTCAACGACGCCATCAATTACGTGAACAATTGAAAAATAACCTCTGGACTATTTTCGTGGCAAGAATGAAGATTTGGTCATTTTTCTGGAGAGTTTTCATTTCCTTGCACGAGTCTTACGTTTGATAAAGTCTCTGAAGAGCAAATTGAGAAAGTTTTTCGATTTTTTCGGATAGTTTTGAAGAAGATTTTTTTCCTTTGTAAAACCAGAGTTCACAATTTTATTATATGGTATCACTTGGATTTTCTTCCACGCCGAATTTTTTGAACCTTCGTTATTAGCTTTTTTTCCGTTTACTGGATCGATGTCGTTTCGACGGCTGAGAATTTCCGATCCATCTCCTTTCATCATTTCTTCTTTTATTTCTTTTCAGTTATTTCAAGTTGGGAAATTAGATTTTTTCACTGGAACACCTCAAATGATTACTTTTTTAAACAGTTTTGTTCGTTTGAATTTTCGTTGACGTATTGCTCTTTTTCTGTAGAAATTTTTACCGTTTAAATAATTTTTCTAATCAGCCAAGTAATTTATTTATTTCGAAAATGTAGAAACAATTGAAAAAAATTGTGGGATTTGGAAACAAAAAGCAAAATGATCTGTTATTAAATAGTCATAGCCAGGATCCAAAAAAACCCTTATAGTAAAAACAATTCTTATATTTCTAGGGAGAGGGAGATATACAAACACAAAATTGATGAAGGGGGGTCTTCATGTAAACTACACAACCTTACGCCTTCAGAACATCCTCAAATGATCTCCAATGTTTAGAACTGCCATATTTGAAAATTTCTAATATTTTTGCTCACTCTTTATTGGCGTGCTGAAGAACTATTGATACGGAAAAAACACGTAATTCAGGACGTGCGGACTGTTGACCAAAAACAAAAGACAATACTTGCGAGAAAGAGTTCTGGGCCCGGTCGAATTATTTTTCCCCACATCCTCCACTGCGTCCGTTTTTGAAGCTCCTTCACGCGGTTTTGTCTTTCAATTGAAGAAAAATCTTTAAGTGTCTCGGCGCGCTCTATTTATGAGCCGTGGCTCCTACCTGAAAAATCAAATTCAATCTGCAAAATTGCGAAAAGATGCTTACGCCTTCAGAACATCCTCAAATTATCCCCACCGAGCAGAAATTTCCCAGTCGAAAGCTTCATATACTTTCGACGCGCGCTGTATTAGCGTGCTGAAAAACTATTGAGTTCTGGGCCCTGGTTGAGTTCGTTTACCCGACGTCCTCCGCGTCTGTTTTTCCACCTTCCTCCACCCTATGCTGTTTTTCAATTGAACAAGATTCTTCGAGAGTCTCGGCGCGCTCTATTTATGAGCCCTCGCTTCTACCTGAAAAATCAAATTCAATCTGCAAAATTGCGAAAAGATGCTTACGCCTTCAGAACATCCTCAAATTATCCCCACCGAGCAGAAATTTCCCAGTCGAAAGCTTCATATACTTTCGACGCGCGCTGTATTAGCGTGCTGAAAAACTATTGAGTTCTGGGCCCTGGTTGAGTTCGTTTACCCGACGTCCTCCGCGTCCGTTTTTTCACACTCCTCCACCCTATGTTGTCTTTCATTTGAAGAAGAATCTTCAAGAGTCTCGGCGCGCTTTAATTTTGAGCCCTCACCTGAAAAATCAAATTCAATCTGCAAAATTGCGAAAAGATGCTTACGCCTTCCTTTTTTTCACGTTCCTCCACGCGGTTTTGTCTTTCGATTGAAGAAAAATCTTCAAAAGTCTTTTCGAGAGCCTGTGGAAAATCCGCAATTCGAATGAGCAAAACAACAAGGGGAGGGAGGGGAGTGGAGGGCGCGCACCTGAAAAATCAAATAAAATATACGAAATTGCCGAAAGATGGTACCTCATGAAGAAAAGCGGTTCCACTGAAGGCTTGAAGCCATCATCTAATTGAAGCCTAATTGAAGCCTTATTTCTTCTATATTTCCTGAAAGTTGAGTTTCTGAGTTGACGTTCAGCTCGTCTTTTCTTACTATCCGTAAAAGCCGATATAATACAATTTCATCTTGTATCTGAAAAATAAAATTGAGAAAAAAATGGTAACATCAACATGAGGTTCAAAAAAAGCGAAGAAATTGTAATGGAAATCAAAACAGGTGAAGATTGAAAAAAACTTAGATTATAGGAAGTGAAAAATTGCGGACTGTGCGTAGGCCAAACTAGAAAAATACAGGAAAGCGGAGTTTGCTGAGTGCCAACGCTATATCAATCGGAAAACTGAACGGAACGAATCGTTATATCATTGAACCGATCGTCTAAAAATTGGCAGCGCCCAAAACGAGAAAAACACGTTTTGGGCGCTGCCAAAACTGAGACCTTCGAGTCAAACTTTTTGGGCGCTGCCAAAACTGAGACTTTCCAGCCAAACATTTTGGGCGCTGCCAAAACTGAGACCTTCGAGTCAAACATTTTGGGCGCTGCCAAAACTGAGACTTTCCAGCCAAACATTTTGGGCGCTGCCAAAACTGAGACCTTCGAGTCAAACATTTTGGGCGCTGCCAAAACTGAGACCTTCGAGTCAAACATTTTGGGCGCTGCCAAAACTGAGACTTTCCAGCCAAACATTTTGGGCGCTGCCAAAACTGAGACCTTCGAGTCAAACATTTTTGGGCGCTGCCAAAACTGAGACTTTCCAGCCAAACATTTTTGGGCGCTGCCAAAACTGAGACCTTCGAGTCAAACATTTTTGGGCGCTGCCAAAACTGAGACCTTCGAGTCAAACATTTTTGGGCGCTGCCAAAACTGAGACCTTCGAGTCAAACATTTTTGGGCGCTGCCAAAACTGAGACCTTCGAGTCAAACATTTTTGGGCGCTGCCAAAACTGAGACTTTCCAGCCAAACATTTTTGGGCGCTGCCAAAACTGAGACCTTCGAGTCAAACATTTTGGGCGCTGCCAAAACTGAGACTTTCCAGCCAAACATTTTTGGGCGCTGCCAAAACTGAGACCTTCGAGTCAAACATTTTTGGGCGCTGCCAAAACTGAGACTTTCCAGCCAAACATTTTTGGGCGCTGCCAAAACTGAGACCTTCGAGTCAAACATTTTTGGGCGCTGCCAAAACTGAGACTTTCCAGCCAAACATTTTGGGCGCTGCCAAAACTGAGACCTTCGAGTCAAACATTTTTTGGGCGCTGCCAAAAACTGAGACCTTCGAGTCAAACATTTTTGGGCGCTGCCAAAACTGAGACTTTCCAGCCAAACATTTTGGGCGCTGCCAAAACTGAGACCTTCGAGTCAAACATTTTTGGGCGCTGCCAAAACTGAGACTTTCCAGCCAAACATTTTGGGCGCTGCCAAAAACTGAGACCTTCGAGTCAAACATTTTTGGGCGCTGCCAAAACTGAGACCTTCGAGTCAAACATTTTTGGGCGCTGCCAAAACTGAGACCTTCGAGTCAAACATTTTTGGGCGCTGCCAAAACTGAGACTTTCCAGCCAAACATTTTTGGGCGCTGCCAAAACTGAGACCTTCGAGTCAAACATTTTTGGGCGCTGCCAAAACTGAGACCTTCGAGTCAAACATTTTTGGGCGCTGCCAAAACTGAGACTTTCCAGCCAAACATTTTTGGGCGCTGCCAAAACTGAGACCTTCGAGTCAAACATTTTTGGGCGCTGCCAAAACTGAGACCTTCGAGTCAAACATTTTTGGGCGCTGCCAAAACTGAGACTTTCCAGCCAAACATTTTGGGCGCTGCCAAAACTGAGACCTTCGAGTCAAACATTTTGGGCGCTGCCAAAACTGAGACTTTCCAGCCAAACATTTTGGGCGCTGCCAAAACTGAGACTTTCCAGCCAAACATTTTGGGCGCTGCCAAAACTGAGACCTTCGAGTCAAACATTTTGGGCGCTGCCAAAACTGAGACTTTCCAGCCAAACATTTTGGGCGCTGCCAAAACTGAGACCTTCGAGTCAAACATTTTGGGCGCTGCCAAAACTGAGACCTTCGAGTCAAACATTTTGGGCGCTGCCAAAACTGAGACCTTCGAGTCAAACATTTTGGGCGCTGCCAAAACTGAGACCTTCGAGTCAAACATTTTGGGCGCTGCCAAAACTGAGACTTTCCAGCCAAACATTTTGGGCGCTGCCAAAACTGAGACCTTCGAGTCAAACATTTTGGGCGCTGCCAAAACTGAGACTTTCCAGCCAAACATTTTGGGCGCTGCCAAAACTGAGACCTTCGAGTCAAACATTTTGGGCGCTGCCAAAACTGAGACCTTCGAGTCAAACATTTTGGGCGCTGCCAAAACTGAGACCTTCGAGTCAAACATTTTGGGCGCTGCCAAAACTGAGACCTTCGAGTCAAACATTTTGGGCGCTGCCAAAACTGAGACCTTCGAGTTAAACATTTTGGGCGCTGCCAAAACTGAGACCTTCGAGTCAAACATTTTGGGCGCTGCCAAAACTGAGACCTTCGAGTCAAACATTTTGGGCGCTGCCAAAACTGAGACCTTCGAGTCAAACATTTTGGGCGCTGCCAAAACTGAGACCTTCGAGTCAAACATTTTTGGGCGCTGCCAAAACTGAGACTTTCCAGCCAAACATTTTTGGGCGCTGCCAAAACTGAGACTTTCCAGCCAAACATTTTTGGGCGCTGCCAAAACTGAGACCTTCGAGTCAAACATTTTTGGGCGCTGCCAAAACTGAGACTTTCCAGCCAAACATTTTTGGGCGCTGCCAAAACTGAGACCTTCGAGTCAAACATTTTTGGGCGCTGCCAAAACTGAGACTTTCCAGCCAAACATTTTTGGGCGCTGCCAAAACTGAGACTTTCCAGCCAAACATTTTTGGGCGCTGCCAAAACTGAGACCTTCGAGTCAAACATTTTTGGGCGCTGCCAAAACTGAGACTTTCCAGCCAAACATTTTGGGCGCTGCCAAAACTGAGACCTTCGAGTCAAACATTTTGGGCGCTGCCAAAACTGAGACCTTCGAGTCAAACATTTTGGGCGCTGCCAAAACTGAGACTTTCCAGCCAAACATTTTGGGCGCTGCCAAAACTGAGACTTTCCAGCCAAACATTTTGGGCGCTGCCAAAACTGAGACCTTCCAGCCAAACATTTTGGGCGCTGCCAAAACTGAGACTTTCCAGCCAAACATTTTGGGCGCTGCCAAAACTGAGACTTTCCAGCCAAACATTTTGGGCGCTGCCAAAACTGAGACTTTCCAGCCAAACATTTTGGGCGCTGCCAAAACTGAGACCTTCGAGTCAAACATTTTGGGCGCTGCCAAAACTGAGACTTTCCAGCCAAACATTTTGGGCGCTGCCAAAACTGAGACTTTCCAGCCAAACATTTTGGGCGCTGCCAAAACTGAGACCTTCGAGTCAAACATTTTGGGCGCTGCCAAAACTGAGACTTTCCAGCCAAACATTTTGGGCGCTGCCAAAACTGAGACCTTCGAGTCAAACATTTTGGGCGCTGCCAAAACTGAGACCTTCGAGTCAAACATTTTGGGCGCTGCCAAAACTGAGACCTTCGAGTCAAACATTTTGGGCGCTGCCAAAACTGAGACCTTCGAGTCAAACATTTTGGGCGCTGCCAAAACTGAGACCTTCGAGTCAAACATTTTGGGCGCTGCCAAAACTGAGACTTTCCAGCCAAACATTTTTGGGCGCTGCCAAAACTGAGACCTTCGAGTCAAACATTTTTGGGCGCTGCCAAAACTGAGACTTTCCAGCCAAACATTTTTGGGCGCTGCCAAAACTGAGACCTTCGAGTCAAACATTTTTGGGCGCTGCCAAAACTGAGACTTTCCAGCCAAACATTTTGGGCGCTGCCAAAACTGAGACCTTCGAGTCAAACATTTTGGGCGCTGCCAAAACTGAGACCTTCGAGTCAAACATTTTGGGCGCTGCCAAAACTGAGACCTAGGGAAACATGGGAGAGTCCGCAGAAAGTTTATCAAGAGTCAAAAAACCAAATAGAAAATCACAAAAAAGACCAAATCTCGAGCTTTTTGGACCGTTTTTTTTTTTGGTAATATTTTTTACCATGCCAATTAGACAGGGAGACTGACTTTTTCTGCTTAGCCAGCGATGGACGCAATCCGTAGGCTTGTTAGATTTATTTATTTCATTTTTTCCAATAACTTAGTAACAATAAAATAAAATACATTCGAGGAATGAACAGGACAGTTTTCGAAATCAAATTCAAAACCTGGAGAAAAAAATCTTTTGGTGACGTATTGCACAAAGGCGTACACGATATTTGGATCGAAAAGTAATTTAAAATTATTAGTTAAAAAGGCAATGTAGTAATGAAAATCTTCCGTTAAACGTTCTGTACAAATGTTCTGAATTAAAAAGCTATTTTTGCAAATTACAGGGATGTTCTATTAAAGGCTACCAATTGCTGCTTATCACGGTAGAGCTATGAAGGAATATTTGAAACATACTGATGATCAACACCGAAATACCGAGCAGCTAATCAAGTTAACTCAGGAAAAGCGACATACACCGGTTTTCATCACAAAGTAAATGAGAGAAATCACAGCAATTTTCAACAAGTATCAAAATCATAAACACGTCCAATTGTGTAAGGAAAATTAAAGTTCGATTTTTGAAAAATTTGGAATGAAGACGCGAATCATGTTCTAAAACGAACAGTACAAGGAAGTATATCTTAGCAAAGCGAGCACACCAATTTCCTAATCTTGAACAGAAAAATTGATTAAAGCTGGAAATGATCGGGGATGAGAAGCGAAAATTGATGCATCGGCCGTAGATATAGGGAAAAAGGTCACAACGAGGACCGACAAGACAAGAAGAAGGAGCTGGAAGGAACTATACAAGCTGGGCAAGAAATCGAGATGTCAATGTCTGCTGGTCGGTGCGTGAAAGCGGTGTTAGAGGTTGTAAGGAGGGAGGAATTTGTAGACGAGGCGTTGTTTCTTCTCCGGCTTCTGGATGATTCCTGAAAATTCGAAATATTTTCATTGATTTCATTGTACAGCATCGGTTATGTATTGGGCTTTCCTTGATCATTCTTGTATATTTAATACTTATTCCTTTTTTGGAGATCATGTGAGAGAATTTTCTTTCGAAAATTTGTCTCTCTTGAAAATTTTTTTGAGTAATTTGGATTATTTAGCTTTTTATTTAGCTAAAATTTGAAATTTCCTTCAACGGAATCTCGTTAGGCACTTGTTTCTCGTCAGAATCGTCTGTTTTTTCAAGACCTTGCACAACTTCCCAACTTCCCACCTTTCTTATAATATTGTCGCAAGCTGCGGGAAAGTTTGTCGTAGTTCATCTGAGAGCGGTTTTTACGCTGTCCCCAGAATCTTGCCAGATGATGCGATGACTCGATTTTGAAGGTTCCTTCTTCGCGGTCGACCCAGCGGACGCATGATCCGTACTGCTTGGGCTGGTCGAGGAGCTCTCTGATGAAATGCCAGAGATGGATGTTTCCAGAATGGCGTTGGTATGAGCGCTCCTCTCCTCGATCTCCTGGAGTAGGACTGGAAAGAGAGAGTTTTATGGCGTTTTGTTCAGTTTTGCTCACCACATGTCGCCCATTTGTCCTCGCATGTACTGCTGGTGAGGGAACATTCCATTCCCTTGCAAGTTCATCATCCCCATGTCAAGATCGTCTTCGTTCACTGCAACAAGTTCAATGATGACTTTTTAACAGCCACGATACTCACTGTCTTGGACGCTTCCACTGCTGCTCATGTCGCTGTTGCTTGGTGATGGCATCACTCCTTGCTGGAAGAAGCCCAGAGGAAGCGATTCGCTGTTGAAGTTTCCTGAAAAAAATTTTTATTGCCTGAATCTAATATTTTTCTACCTGTAGGAAAGTAAGACGGATCCGGGCTGCCAGCAATTTCGCTTGTTTGGCTGGTCATCTGCAATGTCCTCGATGAGAAGGTTCAACTTTTCAAGGCTTACCCAGGAAGTTTTAGGTGGAGAGTTGTCAGCAGCTGTCATTCCAGAGCTTTGACCTGTTGGGTCGCAAGATTCGAAAGCTTAAGATTTGAGTTGCAATTATTGGCTGTGAAGTATATCAGTACCTGTCTTCCAAACTTGCAGTTGGGCATGAAGTGTGTCACCGCTCTCAGGTGCCATTTGGACAAATTCCTTGAGGCTCAGAGAGAGGAGGACTCTTCCAGAAAGGAAAATGTGTTGTGGAGTCGGCAGGGAGAATTGTTGGCACATTTCCTTGATCCATCTTGCTCCGTGTTCTTCCGTCCAGTTGTAGGGATCTGATAGTTTCGCTTTTCTGATGTTTTTCCATTAAGGAATTACCGGTTGGAAGGCCGAGCTTGGCGCAGGTCGTGATGATGTCTTGGATGAGATGACGCAAAATGAGGTCACGGTAGATGTCCATTTGTTGGGCGTCCAGGTTTTGAGCTCCATCGGTGTTGGCTTGAGAGTCCGCGGCAAAGTTCGCATTGAAATTGTTCAGGTTTTCTGAAATCAGGGAAACTTTGAAATTTTTTTAAAAGTTAACTTCAAATTTGCAGACAACCTTGAAGCATATTTTAAAAAATCTTTTTGTTCTGAAGAAATTCTTTAGAGCTTGAAGGTAAAGTTAGAAGAGATTGGCTGTACGTTTACCTCAAATGGGGAAATTTTCTGTGTTATGAGGGCATATCAAGATTTAAAGCCTATTGGCTTTGGACTTTTATATTTCTTCAGTTATTCAATAACCTGAATTTTCTGAAAACGCGCATTTGCGAAAAGAATACATGCCTTCTCAAAATATTCCTTCAAAATCCGAACACGTCACTTTTTTGCGCGCAAACTTGGCCAAACACGGCATGTCATAATAGAATGCGCAAGCTATTCAGAAGGACTGGAAACGCGGCCGCGGTGACTAACGGCCCGTACAGCCAGTTTTCCGACTCTCGAACCCGGATATACGCCAACAAGCATATCTGGTCAAAAACCCACTGCTTTCGCCTTTTCAACAACAACAACTTTCCCTTTTAGTTTGGCTAAACGTCGATTGGCGTCTGATGACCCGACCGTTCTGGTTTTTGATAATTTTCTAATCTTCAATTTTGAAAAATTTTCAGTGGTTGAAGAAAAAATTTTCCGAAGCAAAAAATTAAAAATTATTTGAACGAGTATGTAGTTGAATCGCATCTTCGTGCGTTTTTTGAGCGAGCTCTTAATCATTTTTCCGAATTCTTTAATTTCTCGAATTCTGGTAGTGAGATAAAAAATTTTGAGTTTTTTCCACGGTTTGCCTTTATGTCTTTCCTTTGTTCATTGTTTTCGGTGAGCAGTCATTAAAACTAAAAGATAAAAGTTTTGAAAGTGATCTTCGCAACTCTTATCACGACCTGTCAATTCAAGCGAACCGATGCGACGGCATAAGCTGACAAAAAAGCGCTCTTTCGGTTTCTGGTTTTCGCTCTCAAGAACTGCGATTTTCAAAATGTTTAGAGTCGTTTGTCTCCAAAAGAGTTATCCTAATGTTTATGATGATTTCACATCTCAAAGATAAAATTGATAAAGAGTTCTTTTCTCAGTAGAGTTGGAATATTGAATGGGAAAATGATTACCTTCCAAAATTTCAGACTTGACGCTGCTCCCTGACTCGAAGGAGATCTGGAAATATTCAAAATCAGAGTTTCTTTTCCCTCTTTTGAGCAATACCTTAGAAGGTCTTCGGTTGAAAGCGCTTTGAAGAGAAGCGTGAGCCGTTTCCGTGGAAGCCGTGGGGACCAGCATTGTCTTTGGTTCATAAGAACTCTGAAAGTTCATAAGTTGATTTCTTCAAGTTTTTCCCTTATTAAAAACTGTTTATGCTGCACTTTTCCCATCACCCGTTTTATCTTTTTTTTTTTCAAAAGGCTGTTGGTTGCGCCGAGTGATTAAACTTGTCACCTCGACCCAATGACGCAAATCGAGGCCTGATAAGGAAATGGGCGCGATCGGGTTTAAGATAACAAAAATCATGCCAATTTTTCCTACGAGTCAATAAGCTTCCAAACTCGGTTTGATTGGAAGTTTATAAATGTCAAAAATGAAGTTGTAAAACGAACTGATAACAACTGGAAGACCCAAAATAATCATTTTTTAGCAATTATTGTAATTTGTTTACATGCAAGTTATCCTGATTCACTTATTTTTCCAGTTGGAAAAGGTTCTTCGACGGCCTCTGAGAGTTTTGGGACAGCATTTTAGGCGATTTCTTTATTATAACCTGTTGCTGGTGATAGTAGCCATCATCGAAGGGAGACTCGGCCTTCACACGTCCAAAATCGGCGGAAAAGCCGACGTTCGGTTCGGGGCTCAGGGAGTCCCAACGTACAGATTTATTGCAGTCGACGCTGTTGTTCATCGAATCTTCAATATAATTTATATTTTTTTCCCATTTTATCCAAAAATTTTACATTCGTTGAAGTCGTCCTGGTTATAGAAGTTCAGCGAGTTACCATGAAACACGTTGACTTCGTCTGAAATTTGAGAAATCAAAAAAGGGAATGATTTTGGATGAACAAGGAGAGTTGCGAGCATTAAAGTCGTTAAAATTTGATGTTACGACGTTTTTAAAGATAATTTTTAATGAAAAATTTCGAAACTCGGAGCTCGGAATTTATTTTTTAGTTATGCTTTTAGAATCATGAAACCACTTGATTTCAGATTGAAACTATCGAGTTCTAGGCTGTCACTAGACTCATTATAGTTTCATGGATAATAATGAAATGTATGTAAAAAGTTTCTTTTTTTGACTCGAAATAATTTTTCTTTGAGTTATCCAGCATAACCATGGATGTTTTTCTGTAAATAACCAAAAAGAACTTTTTTCTTTCCGCAGCCAGGATTTTTTTTTATCGAACCGAAATACTGAAGGACAAAGCTATGGAGGGAAAGAAAGACTTTTTCACAAAAGTTCAACACCTTGATCAACACATTGCTTGGAAAACTTCAAACGTTTGCGGAGTCTTACGAAACGAATCAGTACGCTCTTCTCAACGTCGCCAACTCTTGAACCATAGCCAAAGTCACTTCACTAAAACCTACAGTGGATAGTGGCCATGTCGGAGGTTGGAGAGAGTTGCTGGTGGGGTGGACGCCAAGCGAAAGCTGATGGCAATGGGGAGCCGTCTAATCAGTTTCTTTGCCCATATCAAGGCGTCTACGAATCGACACGCACACAGTCACATGGAGCTTCTTAGACAACAAGCAAAAAAGGTTTGATAAGAGGGAAAGAGAGTGAAAATCGAAGAGTGCCGAGCTTCTTCTGTCGCGTCATTGTGCATCAGGAAAGCGCGTTCGCCAGAGGCCAATGCCTCAAAACCATATACTAACGAAACCAAGCCACTATTTATCAACTTTTCGCTTGATTGATAATTTGATAACTGGGTTGAAAAAACTGAGACTGTGCACGTATAAGGGGTAAAACTGATAGAAAGGGACTTTTATCTCACTTAATCCGATAATTTTAAGTGTCAACGTTTGGTCTCAGTTTTTCTTATTAGGAAGAGCACTTTATAGTGCGTGGCAGATAGAAAGTTAGACTTTCAGATTGAGATTGCACTTGCTTTCTCAGAGGCGGATTGTCTCTTATTTGTTGAAAAACAATTCTTAAATCTAGAAGATAAGTAGGCTCAAGGTGTTTCCGCCATAGAGACAATCTAAGTAAAAGCTGTTGGTTGAAAATATATAATCCAGGAAAAAAATACAAACAGCTCACTGGGAGGCGAAACTGAAACATGTTTTTTTATGGAGCGCTTTATCAAAAAAACAATCGCAAACTCTGTAGTTCAAACTTTCTTTCTTTTTGGAAACAGAAGCAGTATTTTTTTGAAGAAAGAAAATTTATAACCTGATAATTCTAACTAAATTAAAAAAATAAATTATATTAGAAACCAAAAAAACTTCTTGAACTTGCGCATCAGACTTTAAAAATTTATCGAAAAAAATTTTTTTCTAAGAATAAGCTTCCAAAATATTCTTAGAGCCTTGGTTTTTTTAAAAAAATTATGTGCGCTCGAAGTTCGTTGAAAATGCATAAGCTTTAGAAGTTGTTTTGAGATGATTGCCCTTAAAATGAAATATTAAGACGCAGTTTTTCGAAAATATTAAAAACTTTAGTTAGAGCCAAGAAAAACCACCAAAGCTGATGAGAAATTCATCAAAACTATCATGGAGGGCCACAGTAACCCTTGACGCCTCCAAACCGCGATGTGAATGGAGAACTCAGAGGATGGTACTGAAGATTCTGAATCACGGCAACGTTACAACCCCACTGGTTTTCTTCTCTTTATTTAAATGCGCGTCGTGCTCGGCCGTGATGTCTCGACGCAACAATGGGCATTGACCAGGCTTTTGTCGCTCATTATTAAAAAGTCGGCTTTTAGCGATGATTCATCCATCGTCTAATTTTCAGGTGAAATTTTTTTTCATCTCAAGAGTAGGAAGGATTCAAATTTGAGAAGTTTTGAGAAAAAAGGCAGATTGAAATAAGTTTGCTGAGAATTCTTCGTCAAGAGCTGTCAACTTAGCCTTGTTTTGAAAAATATACGCATTATTAGCAACTTAAAAACAGCCTGGAATCAGGAAATTTTCAATTTCGAAGCAACTTTCGATCAAAAAAGTCTCGCATTTTTTTTATACTGGAATAGTTTCCAAGCGGAATGAATTGAGAAAAATCGTGATATTTTTTTCTTGAGGAAAAAAATTCTTAGTGCTCAATGTGATTGAAAAAACCGCCTGAAAGCCAATAGAAAAAAAAAATAGAAATTCTCATTCCTGAAAAATCAGCCAAAATTTTACATGTTCAAAAACAAGGCTTTTTGCAGGAGCGTATCTCCTACTCATCGGATCGTTTTTCTTGTGAGCCCAAACGGAAATGAGAACCATTTGTTTCAAAATTGAACGCCCATTTGAAATATTGGTTCTAATTTGGGGTCGAGAAAAAGATTTGAAAAGAGTAAAAAATGATAAAGCTTCACATTTATTAGAGAAGAATAGTAAGTAGGAAGCGTCTAAACTTTTTACAAGTTTTAACAAAATAAGTACTTGAAATATCAGAATTTATGAGAACGCCTTTTTTTCTCATGAAATTTTGAACCAGAGCGAAGAGTGCAAAAAAGGGAATCATGTCCAAAAGGGCAGGAAAATGTTGATGGAGGCGAAAAAAAACAGTGGCGAGCATATAGGCAACACAAACAATGCAAGTGTCCAGCACTGTGTCGAAATTGCAACCAGACAGCTCGCCACTGGATAATTTTCCACTTGCTTCTCGACTTCATTCGAGAAGTCAGAAAGGAACTTCTTCAAAGAAAAGGTAATACTTTGGAAATTTCTGAAGCAGGGAAGCAGGTGGCCGAAAAAATAACTGGGTTTCAGAATGAGAAATGATCGCAGTCTAGGGAATGAAAATTTAAAAAATTAAAATTTACTAGTTCTGGTCGGTGAGCTCTGTTTGTTTTACATGAAATGACCTTTTTAATCTTCGCGGTGAGAAAACTGATTGAAAGCTCCTTTGAGCTTGACTCAGTACGTTTCAAGGTTGAGGAGAATCAATGAACGAATAAAAAGAAATAAATTTGCAGAAAAAATCGCTCTCGGTACAAAGTCTGCGATATGAAAAAAAGCAAAGTTTGATGAAAGGTTAAGATGCTGTCGACATTGAAAAATTAAATAGAGAAAGTTTTGAAATTGTATGTCATTTTAGAGAAAAAGAACAAAAAAGCGGTAAAATAAGACCTTTTGAGGGGAATCGGAACGCTATAATTATTCGAAATTGACAGATGCGTTTGCTAATTCGTGTTCGAGTTCTGTCGTCAAGAGCCCGGAAAAGTTATCAGAAAATTGGACCGGTCGATCAGTAAGATTTGCAAGAAATAAAAGACGGTTGGTGAGCATACGGAATTTTTACACTTTGAAATCAGAATTTCGTAAGGTTTCTGAGAAAGAAAGTCTAAAAAAGGTATTATTTATCCTTTTTTTAGGATACAGTAGTGTAAAAAATGACACGAAAGTAACTTTTGCTCACAATCCCCTCGTATGGAGCTCAATATTTTTGAAACTATGTGAAGTAGATTTTTTCCTTCTGCGAATAATAGTTTCATGAGGGTTTCACAAAAAACGTCGTCATATTCCAGAAGGTTTCAGGAAGACCAAACTCCGTAAAGAGAAGTTGTGATCTAGAAGTGATTTTTTTTTGTTTCTTTTTAGACGGAACTGTAGTTTTATCAGAAAGTTTTGAAGACAAGATAAAGTTTATAATTGAAGAAGCATGAAAACCTTCAAAAAGAGAATATTGAAAAAGGTGAAATGAGAAATCATGGATCTGGGGTTCAGGTGCCGGTGGCGAGTTTTGGAGTGCATTCGGAGCGCGAAGAAAAAAAACGGCGCGGCTGAAACATTTGGGCAGGACAGGAACTGACATGAGGCGACCGCCCGTGAGCATTGTTTGCGTGCAACACTCCTGGTCAACTTCCATTGGCTTCTTTGCTCTCGCTGCCGAAACTGTCGCCACCCTGTTCGGCCGCCGACTTCCATGTGCCACAGCTCACAACGGCGTCCAAACAGAACAAAAACCATTCCTTCCATTTCCTGACTCATTTTTATTGAAGGAAATAATTCAGGCTGACGCTTTATGAGATTCAATTCGGCGTCTGGAGTAAAACCCCAAAAGATATTACTTTACAATTAGAAATTGCCTGAAGAATGGCCAACGTGCCATGGTACAAATTGAAAATTCGGAAAAAGTTCAAACGGCACTTCTCTGTTTCTCAAAAATGGGAATATTAAAAAATTGAAAAAAAAAACGCCTGTTTCATTGAATTTCGATGTTTTTTCTGCATTTTTTCAATCCTCCAGGACAAACGAGGATATCAGAAACTTTACTTATCTCTTTAAATAGTTTTTTATTTATTCCAGTCGCACAATGTGTTTATGCTCAGCAGACCAACGCTAAAAGTTTTTGGATAATGGTTCTGGATTAAATTCAAAAAAAGAAGAAGTTATGAAAGAAATTAAGCCAGTTCAAGAAAAATTGTTTACAGAGATAGAGAAAAAAATTAAAAAAATTATATTATAAAGAAAAATGTTTCAATGCACTCTGATTCGACCTGTGAAGCTAAAATTTCTGAAATTCAAAAAAACGAAGTAGAAATTATTCATGGCTCCAAAATTTCTACTCAACCCGCTTTCGTTTTTTTCAAATCACTTAGTGCAAAAAATCGAATGAAGATAGAAAATTCTCAGTACTGAAATAGAATAATATCAAAAAAACGAAAAAGTACATTTTGTGAAAGAAATAGAAAGAATGAAAAAGTTTTTCTAGTGATTTTTGAAGCATTAAAATAGTTTGTTTTGTCTGAATCGTGTAATAGAAGAGCAAGATTAAAGGAAAAAGCTTCCAAAAAGGTCTATAAGCCTCTTGGTTTGCCCACAAAGTCTTTATAATCTAAAAATCCAGATATTTACAAACATATAGCCGAACTTCAAAATATTTTTCTCATTCAAGCCTCAATAATCGATTGATTTCAAAAAAAACTGCTTGTGAGCTACAAATATTTTAAATACTATTCCGTCAGTGGTGAACTTTGAACAATGGTGCAAAAAGAAAACCAGTTGAATCAAAAACGGAGGTGATTAAAAATTCGAGTGATTTAGGCTCTATAACCGAAGAAAAAGATTAGAACTGACGTAGATTTCTCAGAAATTTTTTTTTTCAAAAATAAATTTAAGTACTATTTTCCCAGCGTTTATAAGATTTTTTTTTTGCTCGAAAAAGTCTGGAATATTCACTTCAGCTTTCTTATTCAAATTCTCGCAATCAAAATTCAAAAACGTTTCAAGAAGGTGAGAGAAAATATACAATACCGCTGTGTTCAATAACAGAAAAGGCATTCGAGCTCTTTTTTTTCATCATTTTGATAAGAAATTGATGCTAGTTTGAAAATTGAAACTTTACATAGGCACTATTGATAAAATTGAACTGATATTTGAAAATATTTTTCAAAGAAATATTCCAGGAAACGGTGTAGGATCATTTTTTCAAAGCTTGAAAGGTAAACTGAATTATCTAAATACGCAATGTGAAATGAAATGGACAATTCATAGAAAAGAGAGTTTCAAAACAGGGTCTTCGCAAGAAGTTTTTGAGAAAAAAAACGAGCTTTTTTTTTTACAAAAATAGCTCTGCCACAAACTGAAATTCATATAAAAATGAACTTCTAATGCGAAGAAGTCGAAAAACTACAATTCTGAGTTCAATAGACCATGCACTTTGTCATAGAATCCATACGGATGAGAAAGTTTCTTCCCGAAAAATGACCACCACTAGAGAATGTACCTCACAAAAGTGCGTGTTCTACAAAAGGAGGAAAATTTTGAAAGTAAGAAAGAGTGAAAATGCCGGAGGACCCAAAAAGTGCGCTCGTGAAAGCGGGACCGGCGAAGGTCCCGAAAGTGAAACGAGGACTAGTGAAAGGCCGGCGAAGAAGAAGAAGATGGCCTGAGGATTGAGGATCCAGGTCAGTGGCGAGCGCCACACAAAACGCACAAATAACACGAATTCATGAGCGTCCCTCAGACCAGTTTACTTTCCCGGAACTTTTTCGAGAAGATTTCCTCGGCTGCCTAAACACGCTCACCTACTGTGAGAAGCTGAAAGGTAGGCTGAGGTGAGAATCGGCCCCAAAAATGACCGCTAAATAAGAGCTTTGGCTCACTTTTGGGTTCTGTGGTTGGAAATTTTTATTCGTCAATGGACATGACGAGATAACTTTTTTATTCTTGCTGAGAATTTCCAAAGTTTCTAAAAGTTCAGATCTTTCTCCCGGAAAGTTCTGCGGGAAAATTGTGCTACATTTATCTTAAATGATGCCAAAAAAGGTAGAAATGACCACTGAATGAAAAAAGTTCTTTCAAAAAAAAATAATTTGTGAATTTTGAAGATGAAAACATTTAATTATAAGTTACCATTGACAGGAAACGACTTCCTATTTCGGTCAGAAAAAAATGTCTAAAGTTTTGAAAAATATGAACTCATTTCAAAAAACTTATCCACAAAATGAATGCTGAGGGAAAACAAGCTTTTCTGACTTCTTCCACTGTTATGCGAAAACTGTGGATTGTCAGTTGAGATTGCGGCCGGATAGCTTTCTTATCTTGTCGATAACAAAATTTAAAGTTCCGGAAGTCTTCAACCTCTCTTTGAAAAGCTTCATTGAGAGAGCTGGCCGAGCTTCTATGGTATTCCACCAGATGGGACGCCAAAATAGTAGAAAACACAGTTGGATGAAAAAAAGCTCTTCTTGTCCTCTTCAGTTGCAAGGTTGAGAGTTTTCAGTCGCCATCTGCGTAAGAGTTACGCAATAGTTTTCTTATTTTTATCGAGACAAATTTACAAAGTTTCCAAAGGCTTGAACTATTCTTACAAAAAAATTTTCCGAGGAAATTGTCCCAGTTTCCAGAGCAGTGCAAAAAATGAAGCGCCAAAACGGTGGAAAAGGCGGTCAAGTTTTAAAAACTTTTTCAGTTCGGTTCGCTGCTCAATAGATTAATTTTGACTATAATGCTAATTTCAGCTTTTTTCCTATCATTATCAGAAACTTTCCTTTTTGTTTTTTGGATACCTTTGCAAAAAAATCCAAAAAAAAACATTTGACGTAGTTGAGAAAAAAAAAATTGAAACTCAGCCCTGGTGAAACTTTTTAGCATTGACTCCTTCCTTTTGATTTTGGTGAGATAGAAGTTTTGGTAGAAGCGGTAAAAGCTCATGGTCTACATTTGCACGGGGTTGAGAAAAAAATTTTGAACTAAAAAAAAATATAAAACATCCTTTTTTTCAAGTCGTAAGGAAAAAATCAATTGAAAATTATAGAAATTTTTTTGATATATTTTTTTCTAACTTGGCTCCCTTCCAAACTTGTACGTGAACACTCTAGTTTCAACGAAAGATGTGTTGATAGAAGATTTGCCTCGTTGTGACAACTGATAAAAAAAGTGTGCCAACATCAAAAATACTGTTCTGCATATTGCAGTTAAGTATGACAAGATTATTTATTTAAACAAAATAAACTTTCCGAGACTGTGAATTAAAGTCCGAATTCTTTATAATGAGAGATGAGAAAGTAATACAGTATGAGATTTAACAGCGCGGTGAGCGTAAAATAGGCTTCCCAGCATTTGGAGAACTTCAATTGGAGCCTTTTCCTGAGCTTCGAAGTTACTGAATTCACAAATTGAAAACAATCTTCGGAGCCTTACACCTTTCTCAATATTTGAATGAACTCAATTTGGAATAGGTACAGGACTGTTCTTCTACCACTCAAAAATACTGAGATATCAAAAACACATCAAACTTAACAAATCGTTCAGGTTAAAGCTCAAAGATCCTTCTTCTTGGATCCAAGAGCGAACCGTTTCATAAGCCAGGCTATTGATAGTTTTTAGGAAAGAACAGTTAATCGCAAAGAACCAAAACAAAAATCGAAAACTGTAAAGTAACTCGAGGAACAGGAAAGTAGCGAAAGCTCAAAAGTGACATAGGCGAGAGTGTCGGCGACTTTCTCCTTCAGCCAAGCCTCTCAATCAGGTCACTCGCTTCTTGCGTCCATTCCACAACCGGCCAAATCCCTTACAACCAGTGAAAGTCGCGTTTTGTTTGGCGCCTAAGTTTTTTTTTTCCTTTCCTCTGCTACCGCGGCCTCACAGAAATCCCTCATTTTATCCGAGTTACAGAAACGCCTCAGGCCATTTCCCTTTCATCGCGCGGAGGTCACGAAGTTTTCACACTCTTGGAAAACGATTTGAAACGTCTCTGTTGGTTTTTGATCAGGTTTTGTTTGCGTGCGAATACTTCAGAATACATTAAAAGAAGATTGTTCCTGAAAATCGAATAACTTTATAAATGAACTTCAAATGACCGATTTTGGGTCATAGGCTTGAATTTCTTGGAAGCCATTCAGGTCTCTCAAAAACAAAAACAAATACCAAGCTATTGTCCAAAAATGGCTCTTCACAACCCACAGAAAATACTGAAAATTTACAGGAAGTACCAAAAAATGTTAACAAGTCGCTTCAATACCGTCTTGAAACTCTAGGTAATTAAAAAATTCAAAAAAAAAAGAAAAAAAGACAGGAAAACAAGGTTTTTTGTCCCGCTTGAAAAGATGAATTTCAAAGGTCACGACAAAGAAATGATAAAATTCCACCAGTTTGGCTTGAAAGGATATGATTGCGCCGAAATTGACCGATTGCGTGGATGTTGCACGGCGCTTTCAATCATTGCAGCGGTTGACTTTTCGAGAGGGTATCGGACGAGAAATAGAGATTTGACACATAAAAATCGAATTACTTCTTATTTCATTCAGAAAATCAATCTTCATAACTCTGAAACTGATAGAAAACAGTTTCTCTTTCAAACCTCGGCTACAAAAGACGAAATTCCATGTTGAAAGCCTTATTAGAACTTTTCGCAATAAGAAGTATTTGGTTTTTGAGGTCACAAGAATTCAGAATATGATTTAATCTGCTCCTTGATTCGAATTTCCAAAACATCAAAAAGGTTTTGAGCGATAAGATGTCCAAATTTTGTCACCTTCTACTTTTTTGAATGTCCTGGGTGGAGCGTCCTCGATTCTACACACAAAAAGAGATTAAGGTGCTGAATCGAATGGAAAAAAAAGATAAAAATCGACACGGAAGATAAGAAAGTCCATTTGGGATCCTGACACCTGCGCAATTACGTTTTTTGGTCGCCGACCCCTAGGAAAGAGATTTTCGGCAACAATTCGAATCGGGGACCAGGAGAGTCAATAAATTATGGAGATTGCGCGACATCTCATCAATGAGGAATTCACAGAGCCCTCTTGCGTGTTTCTAGTTTGATCATATCTTTGTAACCGTATCCAAATTTACTAAAGAAAATTACAAGCTTTATTGATTAATTCCAAACGAAAAAATGTGTACAATTTTCAATAATTCAATGAAATCTTCAGTTTTATTTATGAAGGCAATCGCGGCTTTCTCCAGGCATGATCCCTTCCAAGTTCCACGTTCCGATGTTCAACTTCTTGTCGACTCCTGCTGAAACTGTTCGAAAGAGCAATAGAAAAAGTAATAAAAGAAACAAACCGTTGGTGATGTACTTGTTAGGGAGCTCGAATTTCCATCGGCGTTGACATGGCTATTAATTTGCTTCTTAAACTTTTTGTGAACCGGGCACTTACAACAATGCCGTCGTTGCAGTCGTGGTAGACCTTGAGATGAGGATCGATCGTGGTCATTTCAGTTGTGAAACCGGACAACTCGAAGTATCCATTCTCATTTGTGTATCCGGCATCGAGCTCGTCATCCGGATCAGGGCCTGACAAAAAAATTGAAAAACTTGGAAAATATCATCAAACAGTTCTACCTGAACAATACCTACTTTGATGAAATCAAGAGTCTCAAACTTATGATTAATTTTTTGGCGCAAATACAGGGTCACTTTTGTATCCTTATTGAAAGGTCATAAGTCAAAGAATGAGCTTCTTTTTCGAGCACAAAATAAACTATGATTAGAATACCTTCCAATAAGGATACAACTTTAAACCGTAATATTCATTCTTTTTGGAAGAGAACCGCATGAAATCAACCAATTCTAAGGAAGTTATGCAGAAAAAAAACTTCTCGAGGCTTCAATTTAATGTTGTGAACAGTTTGAAGTGGCTCAAGGTTCCTATGGAAAAACGGATCGTTTTCTAAAGTTCCCTTCGATTTCAAGTTACGAACAAGTGGAACTTTTAACCAGATGGAAAACAGCAAAATGAACGGAAAGTTTTGCCTTTTTTTTTGAAAATTGTATCAATGTTGTATTCTTTAAGAGCATAGGAAAATGACTTCTCAGACTTCAATTTGGATTCGTACAAAAATCTCACCGAAATCGTCATCAACAAGCTTCACTCTAACGTTTTTCGCAGGTTCACTGCCGCACATCAGCGTTCCAGAAACCTAAAAATGCGTATATATAAATTGAAACAAAAAAAGTACCTTATAGTTTTGCCGTCCGGTGTGCTGTTCAGGGATGTCAACTGCAAGAAGAACAGCTACAAATGCAGCTGACAGAAGTATCGTTTTCAACATCCTGAACCGATAATTAAACAATAATCAGATCAAAAATGAAAAGCAGCAAATATTGGGAGTTACAACCCGACACTCAACAGAATAGCGAAAATATACAGAACAATGGTTTATACCACAATCAAAGTGAAGCACATAGAATAAAAGAAATTGAGATTTAGATACAGAGTTTTTAATGAATGCAGCTGCGCCCTTCATTGTCGAGTTCAACCTGAAATTTTTCCTGAAATTAATAAAAATACAGGAGTTTATTGTACCTCCAGATTCATGTTACCGAGGTCCATAACTTGAATTGCAGATGGGCCAGAAGTGATGTACTTGTTAGGTATTCTGATCACCCATTCACGTTGGCAGGGCTGTAATTTTGAAATTAATGAGAAGAAATCAGAAAACTTTGGAAAAGTGCCAAATTTCGAGATAAAAACAAATTTGAAGAACGATATCTTTTTGAATTCTGCAGTATCCGTTTATACAGATGATTCCTGTTGCAGGCTCATCGGATAAAAACTCTGATAATCACCTTTCCATGATCATTGCAGTCGTGGTAGATCCGAATTTCCGGATCAATCGGGGTGAGTTCCATAGAAGAGCCAGAAAGAGAGAACGTCCCATCTTCTCTGGTCAACATTTGATCCAAAATATCGTCCGGATCAGGTCCTACTAATCTTTTGAAAATCATTTTTTAGAATTTAAGAGGAACCGTCATCTTCATCGAAAAGCTTAACGTGGATTCCTTCGGCCGGCCTGTTGCCACACATAAGTTTCCCCTTGACTGCGGTCGACTGCGTTCGGAAAGCGTACAAACTGCCGACCAATAGGGTTATTAGCAGGATTTCGCGCATCATTTCTGAAAAAAATATATCGTGAACTTTATTGAAAGCATTTTTCACATTTAAAGTCAACAAAAAAAATGGAACGAGAAAAAAATAATATGAAAAAAAAGAGTAAAAAAATTTTAATTAACTGTTTCAATAGATGACTTGAAGCGTTAAAACTTTGATCCCAAAAATCGGATTAATTGAATACTTTAAAAAAAGGAAAAAAACGGGCTTTTCTTCACAATTTGGAAACATTTAATGTTCATCATATCCGAAATTTGATGAATAAAAAAATTTTTTTCTAGAAAGAGCAATTTTTTTCCGTCGTTCAAATGTTTCATTATTTCCAGTCATTGAAACTTCATAGTGAAAAAACAATTTTACTCTATTCACCGCTGGTTTGAGACAGTTTTTGGGGCTCTTTAAAAAGGTAAGAAGTAGGAATTTCTCCGTTTTTAGAAAAAATGTTTTGCCCGAAAGTAGCGGTAAGAAAGAGATTGAAACCCCAGCATAATTTTACTCAAGGAAAACTTGAAAAACTAAAAATCCAACAACGAAATTATAGGAAAACAAAAATCTAGCCGAGAAGCGGTGAAGAGGCAAAAACATGGTCATGAGGCGGCGATATCAATCAAGGGACCCGTGGCCAACACACCGATAAATAGCTCAACAGCGAGTTGATAACAATGGTCCAAGTCCCAGGGACGAGACCCGTCTGGGTCTATTATAGGTGCTTCGGAAGGTGAATCATCAACTTCTTCACCGTTTCATTATGTTTTTGTCACTGACAAATCAAAACAGGTGACTTTCAACCGTTGGGATCATAGTATTTTTGACATTGAGGCGGAAATTAGTCATTGATGACCTGATCAGGTCTAATTTTGGCTTCATCCTCGTTTCTAAACCAGCGCTCACGCACGATTTCTGTAATGGGCTTAGGCTATCATTCCTCTCAAAAAAGCAGAAGAATTTGAAAACCTGAAGCTTGGCCATTTTTCACACATAGGAGACAAAAACTGTGATTGAATATCGGAAATCACCCTCTAAAATAGTCAGAAAGGCCCAGAAGACCAAATTATAGGAAGAAGGAGCACCGAAGAAGATACACAGCGACATGTGGCTGCACATGACAAACTGTTGTTCCCGCCATCGACAGATGTTCCGCGATATCTTAATTGGCTTTGAGCGTTCACAGATCAATTATTTCTCCCTACTCGTTTGTTTCTTGAGCTCAACTGGATGAGCCATTAAGATAGGAGTCCGAAGCATATTTCAAAAACCTTTTTATTATAATGTTCAATACGGCTTGAAGAACTTGTTAAGTAGCTTGTTTTATCAAAACTTAGGTTGTTCATCTCTTTCTGACTAAAAATTAAACTTCACTGATAAGATGATGTGAAAAAGGATTCAATGGCATGTAAAAGATTTTTACACTTTTGAAAAAATTTGATGGATTTTTGAGAGCAGCACATGTTCCATTTGTTGACTTCTAGAAGGGAAGAGCTTCAAGGGTAGTTTGTTCGGTCTACGTCCAATATAGGTCTTTTTTTTTAAGCTGTCGGGGAGAAGTGTATGAGGATTAACGACTAGTGTGGAACCTGTAGGGCAGACTCTAATGAGAAAGATTTATAATTATTTTGATTCTAAGAAAATGAATTCGAGGTATGTAAAATTATTTAAAGGATAAATCAAGTATCCCTTTCGAATCGAAAACTTGGGGAAAAATACGGTTCAAATCAAAAAAACGCACTAATTCGAAAAAATTCCGTATCTTATCATCCTTCATTGTTTATTCCAGACAAGTCAAGAGTCAAGTTGAGAACATTTCTTCTCCTCAAAAACGACGGGTTTGGCGTTATTTCTCTCAGTTCGAACGTATCGACAGGAGATGAAGTGGTGGCTACGAATTCATTCGTTGAAGGCGTCGCTGAACTCGAAACTTCTGAAGTCCTTTCTTTCGGACCCGATCTTCGGCTTATCTGTTTGTTTCAAAATGAACGAAAACACCAAATAAGCGTTATCAACCTGCACTCGAGCAAATTTCACGGCAAACTCGAACAGAAAAAGAATGGCGCCACCGCTAACCCCTGCGATCAAAACCCAAAAGGCACCTTGGGCCCGTTTCAAGTCTAGGTAACCTGAAAAAAATAAAAGTGAGTGGTGAAGACTCTCAAAAAAGCAATAAATAGGAAACAAGCAGAAAAAAGAAGAAATCCAAAACAATAAAAATTCGGGAATTTTTAGACTTAAACCAACTTTTGGGTCCCGTGGTAGTTGTATTGCATTCGTTGATTTTCTGCGTAGCGACATAACTTCTGTAGTCGCTGATCCATTTTTGTGTGAAGCCTCTTTCTACCATTTCTCGGATCCTTATAAATTCAAGTTGATCTCACTTGGTTTTTCACTTTTACTTTGTTGAAAAATAGGAAGAATATGGCGAATTTTTGACCAGCGGAATTGATAAATAAACTGGGAGGATTCCTTCGTTCAAGAGGACTACTTTACAATCAGAATACGCGAAGAAACTTAAAGTATTCATTGGACCGAGAAGGACGTATCCAGTTTCACTTCTGACCAGAGCCACTCCTAAAACTTGAATGAAAAAAGGAATTCGCAATTATTACCTTTTTGTATGCCATCCACATATTTAACTCTATGATTGACTTTAATTTCGTGCCATAATTCTTTGTAGACCGGGAGTTGAGATCTCTGAAGAAAGGGAAACCTGCAATTGGTTTTTTGGGACTTACGGCGATCATTTCAGTGCGCGTGAACGAGTTCCCATCCATCACTATTGTATACTTCCCTTGCCTAACAACTTTTACTAACTGTTCGATGTCTACAAATTTTTCCGTTTTTCCTTTTGGTACAAATTATTGATAGACTTTGAAACGGCAGATTAGTTTTGTCAACGGCGAAAAGAGCCACGAGACTTCCTGTGAATGTTGCACTCAATGTAATGCTGGCCAGCCACCAAAGAGCGACCAAAACTCGGCAGCTCCAAGATCGCGGCTGTTCAGGAAGTCCTGAATTGCGGTTCGTGAGAACATTGGGTGAGAAAGCAATCTTTTCTTTCTTGAGCCTGCTTTTTATTTATCAGTAAACTCCAAAAAGTCTGATCTGAGCTTATAAGCAGGATTCAGATTCCGTTGGCTCCTACATAAACTTTCTCAAAAAGTCTTGAAAAGTTTCTTTCTCCAAACTTGAATAATTATATTTGCATGCAGGATGATTCAAAGCGTTGCGGTTGCGCTGCGGTCCGGGTTTGAGCTTCGAATTTTCATTACTTCAAAAAAGGGTCGAAAAACGAAAAGACGTAGCGAAGCTTCAACTCAAAATAATTCTTTCCAGGGGCTTTAGAAATTTTAGTTTGAAACTCCTAAGTTTAAAAACGCTTTCTTTTAAATCTCATTTTCCTCTCCAACTCACCTTGTTGTACGAAAATGGAGAAGAAGACCCATGTAGATTCGAATAACGTCACTTTCATCTCTCGATAAACTTGATTTAGTATAATGGTCATTCCCAAGAAAATAACCGCCGATACAATTACTGTTACTGCGGATATTACCCAAACCTGAAATTTATAACTCAATTCTCCACTTTCAGAAACTGTGAAATGAAAACCTGCCACGAAAATGGTTCAGTCACAATGAGCAAAGTGTCATCTTCGTATTTCTCTGGCGACCTTATCAACATCCCAGTCGGCTCGAATTGGAAAGGATAGGTCAAATCGGCCACTAGACTCCGATGATATTCCATTATGGCAGCCCCTGCTAAGATATCAGCCTCCTAGATTCCATGAGGTATTGGAAATTTTGGGAAATTCCGACTTTCCTATAGAGCTGCCCAAAGGCGCCAGTCCAAGTACCGTTGATTAATTCGCCCCATTCGTGGTCTTTGGTTTGAACTACCTGGAAAATAAAAACTTTCTGTTGGAATAACAAAGCTCGACCTCACCGTATAAGTGAGGTTCAACCTTTTTCCGATTTCTTTGAGAATTTCGATGACAACGCCAGGACCGTAGCCCATATCGGCCTGTGCGGAGTCGGAGAAGTTGACGTAGTTTACCTATATTTTCATGTTATTCAGGTTGATTGAAAGGCTGATGTTTACATAAGGAGGCTCTATTGCTGGAATGACAACGCGCAGATTTTTATTCATCAGCGCCGCCGTGGATATGTGTCGTGCGGTGCTTTGCTGAAAATATTTCTTAAAATTTTTTTTGTTGTTAAATACCATATAAGCTGTGTCACTGTAAACATAATCATATGGAGCTGTGTCAGGAGTAGAGATTTCTGAAAAATTTGGAATGTAAGAAAAGTTGTTATTCCTGGAAAAATTGAAGTTCACAGTCAATCACATCGGCATAAATTTTTTCTGGAGATGATCACAAAATCCTAAATTGTCCTAGACTTTTAAAGATTCAACTAAAAATCCAAGAGGACCGGTTAAACTTCGAAAAATCGGATTGAGGCTTTATTGCTGGAACCTGAATATAATATGAGCAAAATCCGAGAAATTTGCAGAAATTCATGTTCACCGCGAAAAATCCTTATGGAACTTTTTTCACTCACTTTCATTGATTGCCCCAAGAATGTCATCAAGTGTCTTGACGCTGGCTGCATCGGTCACGGTTACGTTAGTTACCGCCGAAATGGGAACGAATAAGCCAAGGAAAGCAGGTGTAACAAAGAAAAGCAGCATTTCCGAAGCGTTGGTGGTCGCCTTATTATGATCTGGCGGCCGTTGTTGGCGTTCTCGGCATCGGGTTACCTTTGAGAAGAGTAATTTACTCGAAAAGGTTCTCAGGTTCGAATAACCCAGGTTTTTTTTTTCTGTTTTTCATTTTGCAATGATCGTTCAAAAATACTTTCTCTGCGAAAACGATACTTTTAGAAACATGAATTTGAGTCATTCTGCCGAAATGAGCCAAAAATCCACGAAGGACAGATTCGGTTCAGTTTTGAAAACTATTGTAAAAAAATTTTATCCCATCCAATTTTGCTACATTATTTTTGATTTGCTCTGCAGTAACAATAATTTATGGGTAAAATAAACTTTTGAAAGTTATTTCCCGGCTTCAAACTTTTATCGCTATGAAATAATTAGACTTTTTCGCAGTTTCTCTATAAGTTTGTTTGCCTCTATTTAAGAGATTTCGAACCTTTTGGATCTTATTTTTTAAAACTATTTGATCCCCTCTTAAAAAGCGTTTTTTCTTGTTTACTTTTTTGAAGTTAACTCTAACTTCATTTAATGTAGCTTCCCTCGTTATTCACAGCTCAAACCAAAGAAAAGCCGACTCCCGCGTGAGGGCGAACTTTATGGCCTTCTTCGAAAAAAAAGCCCTCACTTTTCTTTGCAATTGATAATCGAGTTGATTTATGGCGTTTTCCCTGATACTAAGAACAAAAGTACAACGCAAATTTCTTTGACCCCGGAGAAACTTATGTTATCAAAGTGCACATCTGTATTGCATCAGCTGACGGAATTGCGTGAAGAATGCTCAACTATTGGTTTTTTTCTCTCTCTTTGTCCTTTTCGTTGACAGCTAAGTAGTGTACTAAGTTTAATAAAGGCGCTTAGGATGTCTAGACTTCATGCAAAACTTTGTGGCGAGACTTTTTGGTATTTATCTTGTTTAATAGTGACTTCAAAGTTCTTGTTTGCAGAAATAAAAAAAAGAAAGGCTGATCATTCCTTATTGACGTCTAAAAAGAATTCTTTTTGAAAGGTTTTTTTCTCAATCGAGTGATGCCTTTCAATTTTTTTCATCATGTTTCCCTTTGCTGCTGAAAAAAATGTTCTTAACACTTATTTATTTCCAAAAAAATCATTTTTTTATCGAATTTTTAAGTTTCTTCTACTTTATTTACGCCGCTAACTTCGAAACTGCCGCAAAATATGGAATACGACACGTTTTTTTCACAAGAAAAAAATGCTTCATTATTCAGAATTTATCTCAATTTTTGAATAAAATGCTTGAACCAACTGACTGTTAGAAAATTCTATTCAAAAAGCCGAACCAACTCTTCCAGCGAAACTAGTTTTTTTCTTAATGCGGTCCAGGTTTTATGTTTCCTTTACGAGAGAAATCCTTCAGAACTCCGGAATTTCATAATTTTTTTGAAGAAAATTGCATTTCTATTTATTTGTTCTCATGAATCCGTCTAGGGAACTTTTTTTCACAAATAAACATATCAGAAACATTAATATCCTTTCTAATTCTTCAATGGAAATTGCATTAGTGATTCATTGTTGTCTTTGAATAACAATCTTTGAATAAAGTGACATTCCCAAACGATCCTATAAAAGGCCAATTCTCGACGGAATGCTTCAATTTTTTTCTTTCCTTCTAGATTCTTCTAGAATTTTTGTTTTTTTTTCTTTCTTTTTTTACTATGTTTTCCTTTTCATTTCTCGTTTTAAAGAATGTATTATATGAAGAAGTTCCAAATTTGAAGTGCACTAACTCGAAGATTTTTTTCCAGTTTTTGTAAAAAAATTGTTTGAAATTGTTTATTCCCTCAGAAAAAAATAGTCAAAATTGAAAAAAATATTCTTACTGATCTCAATTGAAAAAAATTTGCGCGGCAAATTCTTAAATTTTTCGGAAAGGTCAAACTCACGCGAAAGGTCACGCCAAAGACGCAAATCAGGGATGAGTGGCGTTTTTTTCTCGTGCATAAATTACTTCCACTAGCAAATGAGTCGCGCAGGTTTGTCTCATTGTTCTTAGATAATCTTCAAAGCATTTGAAGAATATTTTTTTGTTTTTAATTCTGCAGTAGAGATGAACTTCAGGTCCCTTTGCCCCAACGTTCCATTTTTGCTTTTTTACACACAGTTTACCTTTTTTCTTCGTAATTTTTCTTTTTTGGCCACCTAAACCAACGAAAATGGAATTATAAAAATTTCTCATTTTGTTTTTATTGCCAAATTCGTGTGTTTATTCAAATAAAAAGATCTGTTGGCTCTCTGTGATTCATTGTTTATCAAACACAAATATCCCGTCATTTTTTTCCTTGCTCCATTTTGTCGTTTTTGGCATTTTCTTCTCTCAATGTTCAAATTTTCAGCATGACAGCGGGTAAAACTAAACCGGCTGAAATAGAAATTGGCGTGATGAGGAAACGTCAATCACAAAACAGCGGTCAGTTTTTTTAAAATGTAATTTCAAAGTTTTTCGAGGATTTTTTGGTTCCATAAAAGTGAAAAAAGAACAATACCAATATCATAACAAAATTTTTTGAGTTTTCAAACAGATTTTATAGTGACACACATTTTTTTAAACCTGGTATCTTCAGAAACAGTAGAAAAAGCTCCTTCCGAAGATTCGCTCACAGATCAACATCCTTTGATGCCGAAAGGTTGGTGTTTCATCCTAGAAAAAGTATTATTCAAAAAGTTTTTTTCTATGAAAAACAACAAAAAAATTTTTTTGTAAGAAAGTATCTTTTTGGTTTGCTGATGGAAAATGCGCTCTAAGGAGACGACCAAATATTTTTTTAAAATAGATTTTTCAAAAAGAAGTGTATGCGAAGATTATTTCGTAAAAATTTTGAGGTTTGGAAAATAATGACCAAATTAGTTATTTATCTCGTTTTATTTTTTTAAAACTCATTCGATTGATCATAAAAAAACTGCACAAATTTCAAATTTCAAATTTTTCGATAGAGATTTTAATTCTCAAATTTTTTTGAAAAATAGATCTAGTTATATGCCGTAAAACTTTTTCAGACAAAGAAAACCATGTGTCAGACGTGAAACCGCAGCCGGATCGCCTTGACAGGCAGCAAATAAATCCGAAAACGCCGGAAATCGCCGTCGTTTCTGTAGTTTCGGCCAACCAGGTTTCTAATTTTTGCCTTTTTTTTTGCTTTGTTTTTGTTTTCTGGCAAAGACTTTGATATGTTTCTCATGATGTTTTGGGCTTTTTCGACAAATATTTTTAAGACGCTAAACTTTCGAACTTTTTTTCAAATTTTTAAATTTTCATTTCCCAAAGTACTGAATTTAAAAAAATTTGCGAAGCGAAGTTTTTTTCATCAAAAAGGTTTGCCTAACTAGTGAGAAAACTACCAAAGCTCTAAAAACCGAAAAACCTCGTGTTCCTAGCTGAACTTTGTGTGTTCGGGTTGCCTAATAAGGTGTGCCAGTTCAAAAAAATTAGCTTTATTAATTTGATTGCTTTTTTTATTTGGTCCTTGTCTGAGTTTATAATTATTTTTATTTTTATAATCATTTGAAACTTTCGTTTTCATGAGACATCAAACACTGAAAAAAATATTTTTTTCATGTACTTTCATTAGATATGAAACGATTTTTTTCACATTACCTGCAAAACTTTCAAATTTTTTTATGAGCTTTATCTTATAACAAAGACACTTCACAACTTTTAATACTTATTAAATTGGGTTCCTCTCACTTTTAAGTGGACAGTTGAAAAAGCTTTTTATTTATTATTATTTTTTTGTTTTGAGGTCAAAGTTTTTTTCTCTCACTGATTTGCCAGGAAACGAGAAAGAAAAAGAAATGCGAATTTATGTGCTGTCAAATGCTGTCAAACCGGAGACTACTAAATATCAACTGAATTTATGGCTTTTTTGATAAAAAAACTGCAGAAAAAAAGCTGTCATCTTATGACGGCAACCGTTATCTTTGCATTGCCAACGCAATTAACTAAGACAAAAAAAGTGTAGGCACGTGAATGAAGCCTTTTCTGAGGTTCGGCGCCGAAGTTTGGACGACGACCTGACGTTATCGTCTTATCGGCGTCTCCACACTTATCTGCGCGGTTCTCAACGCCTTATTTCGTTTTTTCGAGGCTCGGCCTGTCGAGACACCTAACCTAGGCTCAGCATTCAATTCTAATTTTTTGACGTATTAACTATCAAAAAGCTTAGAAGAAGACCATTTTCAGACTTTTTTAATCATCCGTTTCCTTTTTTGTTTCATAATTCCTCTGAATCGCCTATTTAACATGTAAAATGATATCTTCCGGCCGAAAGGCGTCCAAAACCAGAGGTTAAAAGAAAATGTCGAGAAGTGAGTCATGTTTCGCCTTCGTTCTTGAAGAGCAAACTGTCGTATTCTTATAAATTTCAGTACGTATCTCGGAAAATAACGTCTTATTTGATGAAAAAAATTTTAGGATCTTTTTAAAAGGTTTTTTTGTTCTGTTTTGAGTATGCATTACACTGACTTTTCCATAAGCTGCAAATAAAATACAATGCTTCTAATACTAACCTTTTTCAGTTTTTTTAAAAAAACTTTTTAGTTTATTAAAAAAATAAAAGTAAATTTCCAAAAGTAAATTATTTGAACCACATTTGCGATTTTTTTGAATGCCTAAGTTCTGTAAGATTTAGTTGAATTTTTTTACAAGAATTCTGTTCAATTACAAGTGACTATTCGAACAAATTGAAAAAATTCTCTCTTAGCGATTTCAAAGAGAGAAAAACGCCCGAGGTAAAGAAATGATTTTTGAACGCCCTTCTGAACGTTTTTTTCACATGCAAAGTTCCAACCAACCCAGACTAGACCCCCAAAGAAAAAACCAAAATAAACATCGCCGTGCTCTTTGTCGTACTTTGAAGTCTACAGAGTGAACAGAATCTTCTCTGTTATTTTGCAACGGCTCCATCTGTTGTGTTGTACTTCATTGCAAAATTTTTTTCACAGTGCTCAAGTTCTTACCTATCTTTGCCCTCTTTCGATTTAAAAGTGTTCAAAACAAACCTAACCTGACATTTCATGTTCGTCTTTGCTTTGGACTACCGTTTCTTGCGCTTCCTAAGTTGGATTTCAAATTTTTAACTTGTCCGTTGGTTGAATTTTTTGATGCTGATTGTGGTGTCGTAACTTCTGAGCAGACGTGAAAGAACGGTGAAAGTGTAGGTTGCTCCAATGATTTCCGACGTCGCAATTATCGAAGAGGATTCTGAAGAAGGAACTTCTCAGCAGAACTCGCCGATTTCCGAAGATTCAACTCTCAACGACTCGTCTCGATCTTCCAAAGTCAAATATGTGGTAATGCGCTACAGTGCGATCAGCGACAGCTTGTCGGGTTGTTTGGTGGAGCTTCGGAAAACACAGGCCTTAGGTTTCTATGCAACTCGTTTTTTAGCGACAGGCCTACTTTCAGTTCATTGTAACTTTGTGATAGACAGTTTTTCTTGTGCAGATTAGTTTAATCTGTGTTGGAAAATGAGTTTTTACAATTTCTTTATGTTTGAATAGAGTAGTTAGTAAACTTTGTCGAAGCTCGCTTTAATTTCCGTTAACTAGTCAAGAAACGTACTCAAAATTGGAAAAAAAGACATTTTTCAGGATCCTTTGAACAACGAGAGTTTTTTTCAAAATAATTTTTTTAGTTTTTTTCCAAACAGTATCAAGCACCCTCTTTTTGGGGGCGTATTTTACCGTCTTCAAAAACGGCAGGACGCCCCCAAATTCGCAAAAGCAAAAAAGCGCAATTTCAACTTTATCTTTTTTTCAGAGGGGAATTTACATCTCCCGTAGTGTAGCCTTGATTTCATGATTTGAACTAAAATATGAGTCCATTTTCATTTGTGCAAGATGAAAACTCCCTTCACTTCACATTGAATTGGACCGCATCCATTTATCAAAGTACTCCGAGACCGTTACAACTGAATAAATCAATGAAAAGTCGGAAAAGTGGTCATAGTCTTCTCAGACACGAAATACGGAGTACTGATAACAACCAAAGAGTGAAACTTGAGATATTTAATGACCTAGTATATCAAAGAGTTTCCAGATAGTGTCGGACCGATGCGCTCACTGCAATCAGCCAGAGGAGTTGCTGAAGTTGAAGGGGACGCCCATCGAAGATCCCAAGCATGACATCTCGTTCGTTTATTTTCATTTTTGAAGGGTTTGGAAAATGATACAACGATAAAATCTATTGAAAAGCTTCAAAAACACAAGAAAATTTCAAAAATACTAAAGTTTTACGCAGAGCATCACGAAAAGACACGTTTCGCAAATTTTTAAAAAGTTTGATCAAATGTACTTTGGTCACCCCTGGACATAGTTTGAAAAAAATGTTTCGCTTTTTGGTTTTTTTAGTAAAGTTATAAGACCTCAAATATGTCCAATTTTTTTCCAATGCAATGATGGAATTCAGATTTTAGAGTTAAATCAAAAAGTTGAAAACGTGATAATCATTTTTTTGAAGCTTGATCAAAGTTCAAAGTACAAAGTTTGTGTTTGAAAATTTAAATTTTTCTTTAAAACTTTTTTTCTCGACATCTCAAGTCTAATATAAATGAATTTTTTCAGCCGCTACCAGAAACGACTCTTGGTTCAAATCCTCATTTCGATCGTCTACTTCCTGATTGAGCTGATCGTCGGACTCATCCGTGGTTCCATCGCTCTTCTGGCCGACAGTTATCACATGATGGCTGATGTGATGGCTTTGATCGTTGCTTACACATGTATCCGGGTCAGTTACACTCCAGAAAAAGGTCATCTAAAAAAAGTTCAGATGGCAAAGCGTCCTTCTACTTCCAATACTTACGGGCTGGTCCGCGCTGAGGCTGTTGGAGGCTTCGCCAACGGAATTTTTCTCACTTCCGTTTCACTGAGCATTCTCCAAGAAGCTTCTGGTCGTTTAATGCATCCCATTCAGATTCAGGAACCGATGCAGGTAAAATCATGAAAATTTCGAAAATTTAGTTTGAGAGAAATTGAAAATCCGTTTTGAAGATTTTTTTGGAAGCTCAAAATAAATTCTTCTGACTAAATAATAATATTTTTTTTTAAACGCCTAACCTAACCACTAGACCACATGGGAATATATTCCATGATTCAGCAGATACATGATTACTCTGAGGACTGAATAAATGTTAAATGTTAAACGCCGAAGTTTCAGTAGACTAAAACTTTAAAATCAGTTTTGACAGTTTTTCCGCTTTTCTGAACTCTTTAAATCAAAAGCAAGACTGTAAAAATGGATTTTTTAAATTTAAAATCTCCAGGTTTTCGTTGTTGGAGCTTTTGGATTGCTGATCAACGTCATCGGTCTGATCATGCTGAAAGGCCAGGGACACGGTCACAGTCACGCTGGTGGCGGTCATGGACATTCTCACGATGACTCTCATTCCCATAGCCATGGACATAGTCACGACCATGAACATGGCCATGGACACGGCCATTCCCACTCCAACGGAAAGAAGAAGGTGGCTCAATTTCTTTTTTTTTCCATACAACTCAAAAATTTCTAGAAACACGACCATTGCAAGCCGGATCAGACAGCGCTTCTCCTTGAGAAGTATCCGCATGTTGAAGATGTTGAGGTCAACGAGAAGAACAGCATCGCGTTGAAGAACAAGTACTCGAGATCTAGTACGTTGGAGTCGAGAAAAATGACCGGAGGAGCGCCTGGAATTCCTTATGCTCTTGTAAGTTACTTGAACCAATTTTTCACGAAGTCAGGTGGACCATTTTGACATTTCAATTCCAGTTTTTTAGGGTTACGCCACCGAAATACTTGACAATTCCAGCGTTACTGATGAGAGCTTGGCTAACTTGGAAGATGGTAACATTTTCTGACTTTTTTTTGGTTTTAGGAGCTCAAAATTCTAGGTAAAGGCACCCACAGAGTCCTGAGAAAGAAACACGCCAATGTCAACGCACATGGCGTCTACCTGCATCTGTTGTCGGATGCTATAGGCTCCATCATTGTCATCGTTACGGCTGCTCTTCTATTCTTCTTCCCTGGAGCCCCTTGGACGCTTTATCTCGACCCCGCTTTAAGGTTTGGCTACTACTTCATGTTTAATGATAGATTTGATGAAGATAAAAAAATAAAACTTGTTTACAAAGCTATACGAGCATTAGAAAGGTCACTATCTATTTTTAAAAAGCAAAGATAGGCGAAACTCCAAAATTTCCATAAGCTTTTTACTGACAGTTTATGTGCGAGAAAAACACTAAAAAATACGCGAAAAACACGGCTGAAAGATTCGGCAAGGTTCCGAAGTTTTTTTGTGTTTTTAGTTGGAAAAGTCTGGTGGCTGTTAAACAAAAGGTCAAATTTATTTAAAAAAATCGAAGACCTCACTTGATTCTTTTAAAACAAATTGGACGAATTCGTAGGAGTTTCGAATTCCAAAGTAAATAAATCGCTTCCTGAGCGATCGTTTTTGAAAAACGGTTTAGGCACACAAAAAAATGTAGTTGGAACAAATTTCAAACTTCTAATAACTTTCATTTGATTTTTCAGTCTTTTCCTCGCTTCGCTCATCGGCGTCTCGGCCTCCAAGCTCATATATTCCTCTGCCTTGATCCTTCTCATGGACAAGCCGGCCGACGTTGATTGCGACCATATCAGCAGGGACTTGAACAAGGTCTTTCTCAAAAAAAACTTTTCATCCATGATAAACAAAATTTTCAGATCAACGGCGTCGCAAAAGTTGGAAAGCTCGAAGTTTTGTCTTTGACAGGAACTCGTTTGATGGCTACCGCGGAGGTGAATTTTTTTGTCATAAATAGAAAAAGAAATTCTTCGTATCTTAAAATAGATCTGAAAAACTTGTTCAATTGCATTATCAATATTTATAAATAGGAAAAACATGCAGAAAATGAAAGAAATTTGTCCGAACCTTCTTATGAAAAACAAGAATATCGTTATATTGAATTTTCAAAAGGATTCGTTCAAAATGTCTACCTGAGTGTGCAAAAAACCGTATAAATTGGCAAAAGAAGATATTTTCCTAATGAAAAGATCGGAAAACTAAACTGAGCTTTTCACTATCCTAGATTTTTGTGTTAACTTCAAAATTTCCAGGTCACTTTCTGTCATCCTGCCGTTCTTACCACAGCCGTTTACAACGTCCGCAAATACTTCCACGATCTTGGTATCCATTCTCTCACGGTCGATGCGGAATTCATGGTAAATCCTCTTCTGAACCTTCCCAGCCAATCATTGACTTTTTCAGGATGAATGTATGGATTCCTTGGTTATGTTACCAACTACAGTCGATGATTCAGTGGCTGGCCACTCAAAACTCGAATAATCTATTTTATTTTTAGTTTTCTCGCTTTTATCATTTTATTTCGTCTTTTAATATACTTCCTTTGTTTGCAGAGTTTATATATACAGAGTTTTTATTTGTAAATATTGCTACTGTGATATTTCAATATTCTAGTTCCACTCTTCTCAGACCAGATTGTAGCTCAATACGTGTTTCCTTGTTTGTGAAAAAAAATAATTGCTAGTCATTTTCTCAACAAAAAATACTACACTCATGGGTAATGCAATTACTGTGAGAAACATTTCAAAAGTCCTATCTTTCAGTTCCGAAAAATTTTCGGCTCTTTTTGAGCCTCGCGAAAGGGTCGTTCCAATTTTTCATGTTCACACGTGATTCCATTTTCTGGGGGCCATAAAGGCCTGTCATCCTTTTATTCTTTTTTTTCATTTAATGTTTGTCATACCCTTTGGCCATACTTTCCTTCCCAAATGATCGTGACCCTAATTCACTTATTTTTTTCTATTATTTTATTTTAGTATTTTCAATCCTGGTTGACCAAAAGCTTTAGCATTCCTCATGCTTAACCGGTCGCATTGATTATAAATTAATAAAGGTTAATAAAAAAAAAGTCTTTGAGAGGTTCTTGTAACGTAGAAGCGTTAATAACTATTTATGAAAGAATGAAGGTTAGGTGCAAAATGAAAATTATTACAAGCGGAGAAAACTTGCCTGAGTATCAAACTCTTATCATATCTTCCGCGTGCAGGGAACTTCATCATGGAGGGAACAATGAAATTTGAATAAGAACCTTATCTTTTCAAAAAACTGTCAACCAAAAAAGAAAGTGAATGGAACTTCATACTACACAAAGTGAAATAAAAGGTTTTAGGAGAAAATTGGAAAAGTTTTATCAGGGCAAATGAAGTTGATAACTTTCATGTTGAGTAAGAGTTTTTGTAGTGTCAAAAGGCTTATTAAATGTTTTTAATTAACTACTACTTAAAGATCAACAAAGATTTATTCTTTTTTGGAACCATTAATAACCAACTTTGAAACAAACATTGAATTTAATTTTTTAAGGATGAAGAAAGCTAAAAAAATTTGGGTTATTCAGAGTCTCTGAGTTCATCTCAACAAAAAAATTTACTTCTTTCAGATTTTTTTCGAAATGTCGACCGAGGACTTAGAAGCACAGGAATTAAATACAGTCGATGTCACAATAGAAGTCGATGATGATTATCTTGACGATGATTGTGATTTGCAGGTAATCTTTACTTCTTCTTTAAAAATGAGAAAAAACCCTTACTGCATCTAGCAAAGTCTAATGATGCTAAGAAAAAGCGAAAAAAAAAATTATCATCTTTACCAATTTATAAAGTCTTTTTGAAATTTATTTTTGAATGATTCAAAGCTTGTTGATTTTTTTTTTCGTCTCATTTTACAATTTTCAAAACAGAAATATTTTTTGCAATTTTTTGATACCGTAATGACAAGAATTGATTGAAAACCGTGAAAGTTTGTATACAATTTATCAAACCTTTTACTAAAGCCAAAGCAAATTAATTTCTAGGCAAGAGCGGCAGATCGGCCTAAAAACATATTGGAGCACAAAATCGAAATCGATGAGCCCATTTCTCTTCAAGCTGTTCGAATTTCAGTAGATCCTCGAGTCAGGTGATTTTTCGAGCGTTTTCAGGAAAGTCCCAAAGTTGCGTGAATTGCGAAAAAAAAAAGTTCAATCATTTTTTTCCGCTGAACTTATATTAAAAGCACCAGTCTATCCTTTTGGACAGAAAGTGAGTAAGTTCTTCCAAATTTGTTAATGATAATAATAATAATGGTTTATTCCCAGCCATACTCAGCATTAGAAAAAAAATTTTACCACCAATTTCCGTTTTATTTTTCAGTATTCCAAACTTTAGTTGTTTTTCAGGGTCCGGGATCTTAGCAATGAAGTTATGGAAACGCTTTGTATCCATCTCAACCATCCTTCTTTCCTTTCGATGTTGAATTGGAGGGCAATCGCGAGGTTTTTCAAATTGGATTCTCTGGCAATCGAGGTGAATTTGTAGTTTTTCTCGTTGTTTTGTAGTCCACAGAGCTGTCTCGTGAGACAAATACTTTTTTGTAAAGACGGAAAATTGTTTCCGTTGTTTCGCAGAGAAAAAAAAAGTTGTTCTGAGGAAATGGAGGAAAAAGTGAACTTCCTGACTTTATGAGAAAATGTTATGACAAGCTGATCCTTGGCTTTTGAAGCAAAGATGCTGATTCTTTATATTTCAAACGGAAAAATTACGAAAAAAAGTCGGTGCGAAATTTTCAGTCCAATCATTTCAGAAAATCGATGCTAGCGAAAGACCAACCGAAATGATGCTCAGTTTCCTCGAAAATCACTCGGCACAAAAGTTTTTTGATTCTCTGATAGAGTCTCATCGGATAGACACTCTATATGCAATTCTGAAACTCAAGCGCGTTGGAAAACTTCTGAAAAACACAGAATTCAGAGGTACCTATAATCAAAAGAAATAATGAAAAATTAGTGTTTCAGGCTATCACTCCGTTTCCACAACTCAAGCGTTTTCCGGTCCACACGTTCCTCAAGAAGATTACGGGAAATGTAACAAATTCGCCGCTTTTGTCTACTTATTTTCATGAATTCAGATATCCTGGTCACGCACTTTGAGAAGGAAAAATCGGAACGGAGCGACTATAAATGGTTTCGCAAAAACATCGAGTAAGACTTCAAATATTTCTCAAAATTCATTCGACTGCTGCATCGCTTTCGGCTCAAACTATCTCTTAAACCATTTTTACTTTCAAATAATTATATTTTTCTTACTGATCGAACTTTATAATTTCAGTGATTTCCTGAAAAGAAGAAGCAATATGACTGTTATCGACGTGAATTCTTTAAATGCCGAAGATCATGGAAATCAAATGGAAATTATCGACCGGGTTTTCAAGCAGGTCATCTTGAAAAAAAGTTTTTCTATTTTTCTAGATAAAACTGTTTTTCAGGTTCCTCATATTGTTGTTTGCTACTCGGTTTCCTACATAAATGCGGTAAAGTATCCGGATTCTTCTCCTCAAGCTCGAACTCAACAGTACATCCACAACTTGATGGGTGCTGAATTTCTACAGAACAACATGAGAAATGAACGATTTCGAGCTGTTTTGTTTCCGGTGGGTTTTGAAAACAATGTGATAAATTTATTGGCATTTTAAGAGAAATATTCAAAACTTTTCGGGGTGTTAAAAAGATAATCGAAAGAGATTTTTCTGTGTATATTTTTTTCAAGCAATTATTCAAACAAAAAGGTGAAATAAGGTGTTCATAATCATAATCCAAATTATGAAATCGAAATCTCAATTTTTCAATGAGATAAGCTATCACAACCTACCCAAATTTCCACTTCAATCAAAACCAGCAGCTTCTGAAATAAATTCCTTACCAACATATTCTTTGAGTTTTCAACTTCTTTACCTTTCTCAGGGGGTTCAATCGAAAGACCTGATCGGCTGGGCGCTCCTCACTATCCAGTACGAGTTTCCTGGTCCCAACATTGGAAAATTCTTCGAGCGGCTCGTCAAAAACCGCGACAGTCTTATCAGCTAACGACTTGACAACGACAACAAGCTGCCAGTCAATAAACCAAAAGAACATCTCTTTTTTGTAGGAAATCCATTATTTCCTGTCCCCTTCAGCCTGGAAGTAAAAAAAAGAGAGGCGGGGCTCATTCCACTGAGAAATCGGTCGGCCTACCACAAACACGGGTGTTATTCTCCTATAAAGGTTACCTGGTCTTTCAGCTCTGAGCTTTCATTTTCTGTATTTTTCGCCGTTAATTATTTGAAATCAAATGAATCATTTCATTATTCTGTTGTTTTTGTTGTTGCGCCAATTGGGAAACAGTAAGGTTTTTTACGAAGATGCCTCTAATAAATGAATAGCAAAACAAAGTCAAACATCAGAAAGTAAAAAACACAGTAAAAAATCCAAAATCTGATAGTTTTTCCAGACAGTGTTCCACTGAAAAACTTCAGTAGGTCCTGGTCCAAATCTTGTGAAATTTTATCAGTTATTTTTTGCATTGCTGGAACGGTTGAGTCATAAGAAAAGCTGAAAATTTTCAAGTTTATGCTAAAGAAAAGTGAGTGTTCAGGTAGCTTTAGTTTCAACAAAAAAAAAAGAAACAAACTGCAAAGAATTCCCGGAGTTCATTTTTCTCGTATAGAAAATTTTTATCCATAGCACGAGGAAAACCTCGAGATGCACTTTTAACATTCTAAAACTACTTCTAAATGGCTTCTAAGATCACTGCCATTTACTCTCAACAAAAAGGTTGCTCGTAATTAAAATTCTCATCCTGTTCCACAAATAAACGTTCTTTCTAATGAGAAAATTAGAAGAACCTTTGACGTATATAGCTAATTGGAGAAAAAACTTCCAACCAACTAATGAGCTTCATTAACTGCTCTAAAAATATTGTAAACAGCGAAACTTTAAATGTCATTCTTCTATACTTTCTGAGTAATACGCGAGCTTTACTCTTTCGACGTAATTAATTAGTTCAAAGGCCAAGAATCACTAACATCGTTCGTAGCCGGTGAGTATAAAACGGAACCTCCTGATTGACAGCAGCACTTTTCGTTGAAGCTGAACTCATATATTCTTTAATTTTTTCCGAATAGTAAGTTCAAATCAAAGCAAAATACCGTAGGAAAGTTTTAAGAAAGTATGCTCCATTGGACCCATGATCCAAAAAATACAAAACTTTCTGCATGTTTTTTTTAACGCTATTTTGATAAGAAAATTTACGAAATTGAATGATTCTGGCAGATGACCTCCGACACATACTGTCAAGTTAGTTTTTTTACAATGCAAAAAGTCCCAACACACCTTATAATAATTAGTCGAAAAGTGACGCTATTTTTCTCTGTGCATACACGCTTGACCAAAACGACACCAAGCTTTATCCTGCACTTTGATCGGTTTGACCAATGTTTACCCGTTTTTCGACAATTCACAATTCTCGCACAAACTTTTTTTCCGGTTCCACGTTTCGGTTACCTCTGAAGATTGACGTCCCTGGAAATTTTCGCGTTGGAACTAAGCGTTTGTGCCTTTCTTTTTGTTGTTATTCTTCGCTTCCCCACTCAACCTTATCTTTTATCAACGCGTCTGCGTATCAGTTTGCGCATCGTTATGATTGACATTCGTGTGGTCCTGTTCGTCCCGACGTTGCTCGTCTTTTTATTTTATTTTACTATCTTGCTTTTTTCCAAAGTTTTCCGAGAAAATGTCTCGATTTAAAAAAAAAATTAAATTCGTGTGGTGGCCTGAACATATGGGGTCAATTTTTTTACACTTTTATTGATTTACAATAACAGCAATATTATGAATTTTTAAAAGCAGCAGTGAATAAAGAAATCAGAATTTTTTTGAAACAAATTGCGTAGGAACTGGTTTTTTTCCAGTTCATTGTAACGCCAACCAATTATTACTATTATATTTGACTTTTTGCTGGTTTTTTTTTTTGAAAGATATCCTTCTTTTTTCAAATCTATGAACTTTTAACGACAGAAAAGTTCACAGCATTCTAGTTCTTGTTGGTACTTCTTCAAAAAAATCATAATTTTTGAAAGTTATAACGAATTTTTACCGGTTAAAAAAATTTTTTTGTTATAACTTTCAGATAATTCATAGACAAACTCGTGGAACTTCAATGGATTGAATGCTGTCATGCGACTCAAAAACCTCAAAAAGAATTTTTGAGCCGACTATTGGTCTAATTTCCACCATTGTTTCCTTTCTTATAATTAACCGTTTTCGCGTAAAAAACACGTATAACTTTTAACAAATTTCAATTCTTGCAGATGCGCTTGTGTCTCATCTTCCTGCTATTTTTCCTAATATGCGTGGTAGCTTTTGAACCAAGGAAGAGTGCGGACGGAAGAAGGCCTGAAAAAAGCGATAAAGCGGCCGCTATCAAGGAAAAGAAGGCTAAAAAAGGCGAGACCGAGGTGACTACAGTGAGTTTTCGAATTTCCCAATGGAGTTCAGATAAAAAACTTTAGGGAGAAGATGAAAACAATGAGGACTATGATTACGAAAGCAAGCCGGAAAAAGTGAAGAAGGAGAAGAAAAACCAAAAGGTAGACATTATCTGGTTTTGGGATGAGTCATTGATTTTTCAATACATATTTCAAAAGCCTTGATGCCATCGGAAATAACAGTTTAGTTTGTTTTTATGATAATAATCATCTTTTCAAACTCTGCTTTACTTTTTGCAGAACGTCAATCGTATCAAATCTAAAAAAAAAGATCAAAACAATTAGTGCAACGACGCGCTCAATTAAACCTTTATCATCGTCAATTAAAAATTAGTGACGAAAGCGTTTTAATTGTCAGAGTACAAGTTTTCAGAATCAAACGTGCAAAAAGATCAACTGAACCAAATGAAAAACAATTTCATTCAAAAAAATAATTGTAATGCAATTTTACAGAAGAAGCAAAAGCCTACCGACGAGGAAGAAGTGTTTCGGGATGAAGACGACGGAGACGATGACGATACCACTGCTTATGAGGTTTCTTCTAAAATATTAATTTTTGAAAAAAACTTCAATTTTTTTAGGCGTGTTCTGGTGGCCGCCAGGAGCTCTGCCATTGCGACCTGAATGAGTTGAATTGTGGAAGCGTTAGTCATCTTTTTTTATGCTTAATAAACTACAAAAAAATTCAGATCGTGATGGACAGTGATGATCCGCACCTGAGAACGACCAACCTCAAAAATTATGAAAGAAGATTTTGTAGTTTACACGGCCAACTTTTCGTCCAACTCCATTGTCCACTTGCATGAGGTTCAGACATAGCAATACTGCTTCAAATAGAGAGTTTCAGGGATTAATCGTCCCGGCCATCGAAAAATCGGTCTCTATCTTGGATTTCTCCTACAACAAAATCCAGTTCATCGATGTCCAGACTTTCGGAAAGTTCAAGAACTTGACAAAACTCAATCTCAGCAGCAACAAGATCTCTTCTTTGAAACCGTGAGGAAAATCCAGCACTCTCTGATTAGAAAAGTTTTTTCAGAAGCCATTTCGCTAATCTTGGTGACACTCTCCACAAGCTGGATCTTAGCAACAATGCTATTACCAAGATTTCTGATGGCCTTTTCGATGAGCTCAAGAATTTGAAAAAGCTGATTCTTGATGGAAATAAGATCATCAAATGGAGGTCCGTTTTTTTTTCAACTCTCCTATGTAGGAATCGTATAAAAAGCAAAAATTTGATGTGAGCGTGACAAAAATTTTTTTTTGTTTTTGTATTTTTAGTGCAAACATACTACAAACTTCTGACGAACTTCAAAAAAAAAAAAATTTCAGGAAAACTATGTTCCGTGGACTGAAAAACTTGAAAGAGTTGAGCTTGGATAACTGCAACATCGAAGAGCTGCCGGCTGACATTTTCGATGAATTGCCGTAAGTGTCAGGTTTTTCGAAAGTTTCCATTAAAATCGAAATTACAGAGCATTGACGGAAATTTCCCTCCGGAACAATCCGTTGACAGTTTTGCCGACAGCCGTCCTCAATCTGGAACTACTTGAAGACCTCGATATCAGGTACGTTTTGAAGCATTTTTCCTATGATTCTGAGTATTTCAGTGAAACGAAGATTGCTGAACTTCATGAGTACGCCTTTGGAGAAGATCTGGTGAAGCTGGAAGAGCTGTACATGCAGAACATGCCCGACTTGTACACTGTCAGAAGCCATGCGTTCTGCGGATTATCCAGCTTAAAGGTGAGCTAGAAGACAAAGTCATTAAAGAGATTTTAGTTAGATTGAACAGAAGAAAAAACTACCAGAACGCCGATTTTGTATATTTTGTAGTTTTAGAGGTCCACTACAAATATTGTACTTTTTATTCAATTTGTAGCTGAGTTTATAATCTTTCAGCTTCTCGATATCTCCAATAGCAGCGAGCTTTATGAGTTTGACATAAACGCTTTTGGATCGCTGGGAGCAGATCCGGGCAAAAAGGTTCTTCTGTGATCGCACAAAAATTAAAAAAAATTTATACATTCAGGTCACCGAATTGAAAACTTTGAAACTTCACAACTGCAACATCTCGACTTTGAATGAAGAATTGATTGACTGGGAGAAGGTTGAAAAAAACTTATTGCTTTTGATCATTTCCGGAGTTTCAGCTGGAAATTTTCACGATTGGAGGAAACCCGATTGATTGCACCTGCGAGACGGCCTTCTTGATGGATTCGCCAAAGTTCACGTTCAAAAATGATGCTTCGTTCCCAAGGTATTCTGAATGATTTTCTGAATGGCCAAAATCCTTCTCCAAAGAGATTGAAGTTGAATTTAAAGTAAACTATTGCGTCCTTAAATTCCTTCGAAGTTAAAGGGAATATATGAATTTGAATTTCAGATGCGCTTCACCCAAGGAACTGGAAGGAAAAAACGTCGCTACGCTGAAGCCTTACGAGGCATGTGCTGCAAAGAAAACCGAAGGAAAGCAAAAGAGAATGACGACGGTTAGAGAGAAATCAATATTTGCCTAGTTGATCAGAACATTTTCAGGTGTTCATGATGTCAATGATCATGGTGTTTGCGTGTGTGGGCGCTTACTTTGCTTACTCAACCGGACGCTGCTCGAGAATCGTTACCAAGGTTGGGGAAAGTGGGGAAAAAGAATAGATTTCGAAAAACAAGCTCACAAAAACTTTTTTCTCTGAATCGATTTGGAAGATTTATTTTTTTAAATTCAAAACTTATTTTTCATCATGATATAGCTGATTCACGGCTGGCTTGAGCCATCGAAAAAAATGGTCCTGTCACGATAATGCACGAGATAGCGCCTGGTTCATGGAGAGCGCAGACAGGACACGCCCCAAGCTGGCCTTGAATCAGCTATAAGATAAAAAAATGAAAAATTTCTGAGGCTTGAACATTTCTTTGGTTACATATAAGAATCATGGTTAAATCATGTTCTTTTTTAATTATTGAATTTTCAGCTCAGAGTCCAAGTTCCCCAGATGTCCTACTCCAACCTCAACAATCGCCAGGAAGACACGGTAATTTTATATCTGAGAATCTTTCTCCAAGCAACAATTTTCAGCTCAACTTGGACAACGATTTCGAGCCTCGTCCAGCTGAAGTTTAGATCTGAAACTCTACGAGTAATCAACCTTTTGAATCAAAGAGAACTGAAAAATAATGGACCGAGTCTCGGTCAAAACCGGTACATTTGTAGTCAACTATCATGATTGTTAAGCTTTTTGATTCATAGATTTCCAATTTCGTTTACCAAATATTACTCATCTTTTGTTTTGATTCCTCGCCTTTACGTGATGTGATTGTTCTTCTTTCCGAGTCTTAGCCCATATCTTGCACGGTTTTAACTTGCTCCGAATCTTGCTTGTTATCAACGTTGTATTTGTTTTCTATTGAATCCAACCACCATATACTTCTCGTGTAGATAGTATTTATTTTAATAAATTGTCGTGAAAAATTGCAAATTGCAGAGCGGATATTGTCGATTGAGGCGGGAAAGTTGAAGCAGGATTCGGTGATAAGATGATTAGTTAACAGCAAGGACAAATTCTGAAAAAAATCATACAGTTTCGGAAAAAGATCCCATCAAAAAAACAATTTGAGATCAATGAACCGCTTTTTACGGACAACCTCTTTTGGAGCGTGTTTTAAACAGCAGTAAAATGCATAAAAAAAGGGAACAATGTTCACAAATTTTTTTTCAAGTTTAAAGCTAGTTTAAGCTGTGAAAATGTGCCATTTTATCGAGTAATTATTTAAAATAAATCAAAAAAAAAAACCGAGTATTCAATTTAGTCTAGTGAAAAAAAGATTATTTTTCATTCTTTTTTTCTGAAATAAGTTGAAAAAAAGGCGAGTGATTGCTATGAGAATCGTCCAATTGAAATTCGAGCTCTGTCCACTCCAAATATGCATTATGAAAGCGTTTCCTTGTGCTCTATTTTTTTCGAAAAGTGGATTTTTGACCGGAAAGGAGAAAGAAAGTGGAATAATAATGAAATAGAAAAGTTTTTTTCTATTCGCCATTAGCTTGACGAAGATTTCAAAGAGTTTTCATTATCGGAAGTATCGCCTATCTGTAGTAATTTTTCACAAATTCGGCTAAAAAGAAGCTCATTTCTTCTGATATAAAAAAATTTTTTTAGTTGAAAGTCCTTAAAAAAATTTGCTTCGAAAGATTTTGTCTTCTTTGGCTCCATAAATTTATGAAAGATAAGAACCATTAGAACGAAAAATTTGAAGTCAATTCAAAAAAAGTTCGAGAAAAACTTCTTGAAAAAAATAGAAAGATTCTATACCGTCAAAGGAGATTTTGCCGTCTCCGTCAATGTCAGCTTCCGTGAAAAGCTGCTCAATGACAGCTCGAGGGAACGAATGTTGCAGAGAAAGTTCGCGGACGCAGCTGATCATCTCGGCTTTCTCAATGAAGCCGTCTTTGTCCTGAATGTCATTTCATCAATAATCATATTTGTTAGAGCTTGTTTTTTCAAAAACTCAACTTTCAACTATCAAAACGTTTGGAGGAATAACTAGTTTTCTATGGGATGGAAGTTCTGATCAAAGCGCGATTTATTTCGTGAGTGTAATCAAGTTTCTACGAAAAGCAATCAAATCTCCTTCGAGTACTAAGAAAATTTTATCATTGTTCTGTTTCATGAAATTGGATAGCGTCAAAATTTTCTTTGTTCGAATGTCGAATTTTCGCAGAAAAGGTCATTCTCCTCTGTTTCAGGGAAATTTTGAAAAATGTCCCACTAGGGAAAACTGCGCGCGCTCGGGTTTAGGATTGATATAAATCTTTTCCATAGTGCGAGCACAGGTGGAAACTTGTGATCGAAGAAGAAGATATGGTAATATGCATGAAGCACAAGCAAAATACATTTCCGCTTTTTCTTGGCATTTAATTCAATCCATCAAATCAATCTAAAAATTGTCAACTAACTTTTACGCAGTTCTGCCAGTACCAAAATTTGCGAAGTGATGAAAAAAAATTTTCTCTTTTTCTCTCATTTCCTTGTGGAGGTTCAAAAAAGGCTTCGTTGAGTCTTCACAAGGGTTTCAATCGAAACTATTATTTGCAAAGTTAATCCCGGAAGCCTCTTTTCATTTCCGAAAATTCAATTGACGTCAAAGCGAAATCATTTCTCCTTTCTTTCTGCAAACTTTGCCCTTTCTCTGTAGTTCTTCTCAAACGTCATTTGTGAAATCATCCCACATTATCCTTTTTTTTACAATTTAGAGATGCATAGGCTTAATGATAATAATGGCATTTGGTTTGAAAGAGAAGGATTACACTTTTAGAGAATGATTAATACCTTGTCGAACATGTTGAATTGGTCGCGGAGTTGTTCAAAAGTGTAGCGACTCATAGGAGACGTACCGTTCATCAAATGGGCGAACTCATCGAAAGTTATCACGCCATTTTCTGTATGAAAAAATATGTATGTAGATACATTTGAAAGTTTAAAAAAAGGAAAAGCTCAGCGACAAACTTTTTGAAAAAAATCAGTTTGATGAAAAATAGTGAGTTTTTGAGTTTTTTTCTGAGCTGCTTGATATTTATTATATAAATTGAGTTTTTAATTTCGAAACATGTTTGACCTCCAGACTATTCGATCTTTTTCTCTCTTCATTTTTATTCCGAAAATTTGTTTTCATGGACGAGTAGGTCGTGATTTTCAATAAGCGCACGCGTACTAGTTTGATTCACTTTGCGACGCGTTCTCTGAACATTCCGAAGACCAAACCCGAAATTACATACTAGCTTCTAGCCAAAAATCCTGCGAAAAAACCAGATTCATCAATTTTTCAAGAAAAATAACCTTCAATAATGCCCGAGTCGGTGCGCCAGAAGAATATTTTATAGTTTTTGCCTTTTTTTCTCAGTTTTTTTTTGGCACAACGGCCAAAGATTTGAAGAAGAGAAGAGACTAGAACGAAAAAAGAGTGAAATTTGAATATTTAGGATTGATCGGGAACTCACGATCGTTGTCTCCGTGGTACATGATGAGCCGGACTTCAAGTTTTGTAGGCCTCTGACCACACCGAATCATGGCTTTCTCAAGTTCTTCTGTCGTAATTTTTCCGTCGTTATTGGCGTCAAAAAAGCTGAAGGCTTTCCGATATTCTGAAATTCGAACCATGAGTTTTTACTGTAAAGCTAACAAAACCTTCGATTTTGTTCTTGCAGCTTCCGCCATTCTGTGTCTGAAAAAAGCAATAAGTTATCGTCGAAAATATCAATAAATTTGATTTTCTCTTCTCTAGATTACTTTGCAGATAATCATTTCAGAGCATGAAAAGTCAGAGATTTACGCTCTTTCACTCAAATAAATATGCAAGTTATTGGTTTTGTTATTTTTTCCAATTTTCGGTTTTCATTATAATTCCGATGATTCCGAGTGTTTCTAGATCTCATAAAGTACAATTTCAGATTATTATGATAAATATTTCTATTGAGATTAATATTTGCTTCTAAACTAAGGCTTCTGGAAAGAAAAACGTTCCTAGTAGTTTCGAGTCGTGAAGGACATGAACAGTTCTTCCTTTCGTTTGAAAAAATCCAAACATAAATAACAAAGGAACACCCAAGAGAGCTAATTTAATTACAGCAACAACTTCGTAGCTTCGCAGGGTTAAAAAAATGCAATCGAGTCCTTCTTTTTCCTTTCTTTGTGCGGTCATTGAAGTTCTGGGTGTGAAGGAAGAAATCTGATGGCTTTTCTTTTAGAGTGAAACGTTTTTTGGAATGATAATAGCTAATTTTCTTGGAGTCAGAGTATGAGGAAAAAAAAAATTAAATCCATTTCCAGCCATTTGAAGTGGCGCCGTGTAGCTTCCAAGTTTTGAATTCATCTCTTCATACTTTTTTTAATAATTTCAAAAGAAAACTTTGATAAATCTACTTCAAACGCCTTCAAACATTTATAACTTTTTGAACTTTTGAAAAAGTTTTGATCTCAGACGCTATTTGAGGCTTTAAGTAAAAAAACGCAACCGGAGGAGGATTAGGTGAAGTTTTGTGGCGACTCTGATGCATTCCGAGACGTGACAAGCTGCAGCCGGACAGGAAATCGAAGGATAAGGTAGGCGGGGACCGACTACGAGAATTGGACGTGTCACAAAAGGTGCGTAATTTTATGCTCTTAGCGCATAAGCCGTAAGTCGGAGCTGGCTGGAATCACGACGAAAAAGAAGTGGGCGGAGAAATTGTGTGGGGGATGTTTTTAAGGCTTCTTCTACTGCTGCCAAAAATGGCTGCAACCTTCAAATCCATGAAGATATTCAACCCCGAAGATGTCCCCGTTCGCAATCCGATAGCCGTGGGCTCTCTCACAATCTTATCGGACACGCTTTTGTTCTTGAACGCCGTGATGGTTTTTTGAGGGAAGAAAGAGAAAAATAGCTTTCTTGGGGGCGTGTGAAGTAAAATTAGAAAGAAAATGAAAGTGATGTGTGGGTGGATGATTTGATTCTTGCTCTAAAAGTTCAAATATCTACTGAGAAGCAAGAACTTCAATGTCTTATCTTTATCATCGAATAAATTTCTGAAGCAAAAGTGTGACTTTTTTTCTTTTTTCAAAAGTCTTGATAGTTTTTTTTTCCTAATCGTAAGTCATAATATTTGAAAACACCGAGTGAGATTTTTTTCAAAAAAAGCAAGAATATTCGAATCTTTGAGGTTTTTTTGTTCCAACTTTTACTTCTGCAGATGGCTATCAAGTTTATCAAAAAAATTACAAAAAAACTGAATGATAAAAAAACTTACTCCTTAGTCATCGCACTTTTTAGGTTACTTTTTTTCCTTAATAAAATTTTTTGAAGTCTCAAAGCACGTCAATCCGAGCGGAACTCAATTAATGTCGTGGGTTTGGTCAGAAGTCAAGTCTCGAGAATACATTTATAATAGGAATATATTCAGCTTTACTTTTAAGTAATGAAGCAGTCGATTATGAAAAGGAAAATTTGTTCAAACATTTCTTTGCTGTAATTATAAGAAGGAGATAGTTTATTTATAAATAAAAAATATATTACTTAAGAACGCGAGAGTGGTCCCTATAGGAGTTGAAAAGAAAAAGGTAAGGGAAAAAAGTGCCTATTTAGGGAGAAGTAGTCTCTGTAGGGGTTCAGGGTCTGACTTCCAAAGCTGAAGGGGTTCATATAGGAATCTTCAAATTTTTGCAAACAATCATTTGCAACTTAAAAAGGCGTTCTGATAAAATTCGATCTTTTTTCGATATTCTTTCATTTATGAAGACGCCGATTTCGTGAGTTTGTTGCATGGAAATGCTTCTTCTTATAGGCTTATATCAATAAAATACAAGCCTGCACCCCTATAGTTATCCCTAATTGGAATTTCTATAGATTTCCTTTTTGCATCCATTAATGCCCCCGTTGGAAAGCCAAAGTGCTCCCTAGAAAGGAAATTTAAAAAGCTACAAAGGTTGCTTCTACTTCTACACTGCGGCTTTCCCAAGTAGTTTGTAGCTTCATGACGTCTCCCACACACCTGGATTGAGTTTATTTCTATCCGCTCCCAAATTTCAAGCTAAACCGCCATTAGCTAATCCTACCTTGGTTTGCTCGACAACGGCTTTAAGCGATTCCATCAGAAGCTTTAGTCGATTTTCGTCCGGAAGCAATCTCTGAAATCCTTGCAATAACGCCATAATTTTTCGAGAATGTCGATTCGCATTTGCGTGAGGTGTTGGTATTGGGGACTTTTCAAATAAAAAAAAAGGTGAACTTTCAATAACTTCAGAAGAATTGTTGATTGGTGGTAGACACGAAAATCTTAGAGTAATTTCATTTGACGTGAGCTTAAAAACGAAAAAATCGAAAATGTCATTTTACATTTGCGTGAGATGTAGTAATTAGGAAGGCTTTGGGAGGAAAAAGTGAACTTGAAAATGTCTGACAACGGCCGATCATTTCATTTTTCAGAAAAGAAAAAATGGAGTAAATGAAAGTAAAAATCTGAGAAGGGTGCATATTCCAGGGAAAAAAAAACAGCCAGAGGAATTTGATTTCCTGGAAAAGCCCATTTCCTGCTCAATTTTCGAATTTTTCAAAGCTGCCGATGGAAGTCCGCAGAATATAAAAGAAGGTTTCAAAAGGCGCTTTCTACGACATCAAAAAGGGTTTTTTCGATTCAGATTACGTGAAAATTCTTTTAGCTTAATTATTTGAAAGTAATCCTGTTATTGTAGCCATTTGTGAGATTAATGAGAACGTAGGGGCAAGGTCAGAAATGTATGAAAATGTTGCTCTTAATCCGGCCAAGCTGTACTGTTACTTCATTGAATGACGTAAAAAGATTAGTTCTGAAATTAATAAGGATCAAAAAAATTCTTTGTATGGGTTTTTTTAAGCGCAAAATTTGAAAAAAAGTTGACCAAAAAAATTTTTATATTTTTTTAAAATTTAAAAAGCTTGAACAATCACTTGAATTTCAGAGATAAACTGAATTTAAAGACGGGATTGTCAGAGAAATCGTGCTATTTTGAAATTTTTTTGTTAAATACTTTCATCAATATTACTGTTATGTATCATTCCTTACTATTAATGTTTACTGTTGATATTCTATGATATTTTTGAATTTTGCGTAAGAAGTAAAAAGAAGAAAAGACGTCAAGAAGGTTCTTCGTGAATTTTCCAACTTAGTGATTTCAAAATACTAGAATCATGCTTTTTGAAGCTCCATTCATATCCAAACCTTCCGGAACTTCACTTATTTTTCGAATCGACATTGAATGTTGGATCCTAGAAAAACCGCACGAAACAAACAAAAAACCAACTCCGGTATTTTAATGTTATGACCTGTGATAACTCATAGTGTTCTTAGACAACACTTCGAAGACATATTCGAAAATTTAAGGAAAGACCACAAAAAAGAACGCCCAGAAGGAGCACCGAGGCACCAGAATGAACTCCGTTTTTGGGCGTTTCGCTGTTCCGAATGCATGGCGAGCTTTTACCTCAGGTCGCATAAACGAATTGAGCGAAGAATACATTAAAAGATTAGGTTCGGCTGGAATTCAAGTTCTGAGAGTTTATTTTTATCGCGAAACGTTGTAATTCGTTTTTCTAGCAAAGTATAGTTTGTCGTTTCGGCACGTGAAATTGTCGGATGAAATTTTTCATAGAGGTTGTAAGAAAAAAACCAGGGTTTTCAGTCATTTATGCAACTCTTTGATCCCACAAAGAAGGGTTGATCAAGCTAAAAAGTTTGAAAACGTTTCATTGGAAATCGGAAAGTCATCGACTTTTCGGAAACTTTCTGGGATACTAAACCAAACAGGAACTAGTCCTGGAAGCTTATAAAGGTCCTGAAAATTAATTAGCAAAGGTTCCACCCGAACTGAACCCAACAGTATTATGGAAGAAAAAAAAACTAGTTTCTCAATCAAAGTTTAACCCTAGTCTGTGGATAGCTACTCAAAGAATTGCTAGTAATATGAGTAGTGAATATCTATCAAAAACAAAAGGGAAAAAGTTTTTGAGAGCCATGAAGCTCATTAGAAAAACGATGGAAAACGAAGCAATGAATGGGATGTCGTCGAAGATGGGCAATGGCCCAAAAAGCTTTTTATTTTTCTTGTGATTCTCATACTCCAGCACTTAGCCTCTGTTAGCCGCAAGTTCCGCGTCTCCCAAAAATCATGAAGTAAGTATTTATTTTAGAAAAATATGAAACCTGGTGTTATTAAAATCATGCATGCAATTATATCACAAGGAAAAGAAACCAGTATACTGATAAAAGAAGATGAACCGATATGATGTTGGGAGTCTGAGCAAGGTAGGTTATAATGGGATCCGATAGAAACTTGAAAAGAAGGAGAAAAGTTGAATAATTAGGAAATGGGAAGTCAAGAGCCTATTATATACTCTAATGGAATGCAATATGCCCGATTAATTCAATGACTTAAATTGCTCATAACAATCCAGGGAGTCTGGATTCCGAAGCGACGAAGCTTTCTTCGGCTGAAAAACTTCATTTTCTACTGGAAAGCTTGATTTTTCGTACCGTTTCACCATTGATAATCTGCTTGACGGCGATCTCAACCTTTTTTCCACTGTTGGTGTACTGAAAATGTCCGGTTTATTGCGAAACCCGACATCAAAAACCAACCGGGACTTGCTCGACTTCCAAAATTTTATTAGGGACATGTCGGGGGGACATTTCATTGCGAATTCTGGTGCATATCTTCTTTCTGAGTTCATCATTCAACTCGTATCCGGCGTTCATTTTGAGGAACAAGATGACGAGCTCATCGCTTCCCTCGTCGCTGAAAATAGATAGATATCAGAATTAGAAAAAGTTTGGAGGGTTGAGTTTTGAAACACATAATGAAAACCCTCAAAGCGTCAACCTGCGCAATTTCTTATTTTTCAAAAAGTTAATTATTCATTCAGACAGATAGAGAAGTTTTCTTTAATTCTGAAGCTTTAAAATGTATCACGGTCTTCATGAAAGGGAAAAATGATTTTCAACTTACTGATAGGAAATAAAGGATAGTGTCAGAAATTTTATAATGACGTAGAAGATTTTTTCAACTTTTCATAAAAAGAAGCATGGCTATAGTTTAATCTGAAAAAAACATCGCAACCATGATCGAAATCGACATTTTTTTCGAAAATGCCATTTTGAAAAGAGCCGAGTTTCAAGAAATTTAAAACCAAGTATATAAGACTCGGCCAATTTAAAACGGACGTATTTTACCAATTTGGGGAACTTATCATCTGTTACATTGAATCCAAACTTTTTTCCATGACTTCAAAGGTGATCTTTTTTTCTGACTTTCTCAGCTCAACAACTGGAACTATTTGTCCACAAAATCAAGAACATACACTGTTTTGCCTGCTACAATACTGTCCGAAACTTCGAGGAAAGTTTCAACGACGGCATAAATTTCAGCAGTCCCAATGCGAACACCGCCTCGGTTCAATGTCGCGTCACTCCTGAGCTCTATTTTTACCACGAAAATAACTGTTATCACACCTTCCTAACATGACGACGCCTCCAGTCCGACTGTTAATTTTGCAATAATCTCCATGAGCCCAAATCCCGTCGTATTTTTCAAAATAGGCCTTCTTGTACTTTGAGCGGTCTTTGTCGCCCAAAAAGTGCGATGGCATTGATGGGAACGGCTTCAGGCATACTAATTCGCCTTGTTCGTTTTCCACAGGCTTTCCTAGAATTTTCCTTTTGAATTTATCTCCAACAAAAGGGTTCCTGGTTTTGAAATGAATAACTCAGAAAAATAAAAAGTTGAAAATCTTGAACCTCTTTTTCGGAGTCATGAATTTCAGATGGCGAGAAAAATAAAAAAAGCCGCTTAAAAATGAATCAGCTCTTTCTCCAGGAAATAAAAGAACCGGAAAAACCATGTTTTTGAGAAAGAGCTAGATAAGACTCTGGTTAGAAAACTGGTACCTCGTGAGAAAACTTCATGTTTCAAATTTTCCTTCAATTGTAAAAATTGACTCTTTTCTTTTAAGTTCTTGCTTCTTCGAACCTTTTTTGAGGTATTTTCCTGGAATTCTAACCTTCTTCATCATAAGCCGCAATATCCATTCCAAGGAAAAAGCATTGACATTCTCCAGAATTGACTGGAAGTGAATGAACGCCTCCCATGAAGCATCCAATGATATCTGTGCCTCCGGAAATTGAAGCAATCAAAGCCTGGAAAGCCGAAAAATTTAATATTCTTGTGGAAAATGGAGCAAACCGCAGGATTGATATGGGTGTTGATGAAGTCGAAAGTCTCATGCTTCAATGGGGATCCAGTAGAGTAAACAGTTCGAACTTGGGCGAGCGAGTAGGAATCGCCTGCAGAATGGGAAATCCGTAAAACTTTTATTTTGAAGGTAGAGTAATTTTCTCTCGATGAGAAGGAATAGAAAAAAAACTGAAGTTTTCAAATTGATAACTTTTTTTTAAACTTTGAGATGGAAAATCTGAGATCTTTTCGGAGAACCCATAGTTTAATTTAAAAGCTCTTAACCCAAAAAAATGTATGTGAGAACTTCTCATCAAACTCACAAAAACGGTAGTTCATTTTGACGAATTCGTCGTAAAGCTTGGCGCCCATTCCAATCATCGTAGCCTTGTTCCGGCTGATTATCTGGAAATTTAAAATGGATTCACAAAAACTGGAAAAAGTCGACCTTCATGAGAATGTGGTTGTCCGGTTCCAGAGGACTCTCATCATAAAGAACTAGAGAACCGCCGCAGTAAAGGAAACTGACCATCCTGAAAATGTTGTATAAGAAGACGTAGTTTTCACAGAAATCTAGCTCCAAATCTTTCATGAGATTTAATATTCAAAATTTAAAGGCATAGGGGCAGTTAAAAATGGGGTTTCAGGTGAAAGCAGTATCTTATACAGTTTTTCTTTGCGAATCGAATGGTGTACTCAAAAAAATTACAGATGTGACAACTTTAGAAGAAAAACGCGACTTTACTTTCCCGCCTTTAATTTTGAAAAAAGCTTTGGATCGGCCTACGGACAAATGTTTACAGTAGCCGTGCACGCGATGTTGCGGACGTCTTATTAGACTTGCATTTTTTGTGAAATAAACTGATATCTGCTTCAAATTAAGGGTTCTTTCTCTGAAAAAAACGAACAAAAAAACAGGAAACACTCATTGATGATAAAGAAAACACAAATAATCGCAATCCCAATCAAAACCTGGGTAAAATCATCATTTTTCACGAAAAACGCTTTTTTGCGACCAAAGTTTGCAAATTATACATGCATAGAAAGCTTTTGTGACGAAAAGAACTTTGGTGACAACAGAAAAAATTGAAAATTGAAAGAAACGAAGAAAAAAGCGAAAATCCGGAAGATGGCGAAGCCTGTTGTCCATAGAGCAACTTTACTGCAAAGCGCCCTTTTCGCGGGAACTCAAACTTTCCTCTCTCCGACTTTGAATTATTTTTTCTCCAAAACTAGGAAGTTCTGTACTTTTCCAAATTCACCGTTCGATTCGCAATGAAAAGCTCTACAAAGTACTGCTTTGAACTGAAACACCGTTTTTTTACTGCCCCTATGCCTTTAAAATCCGAGAAGTCTGAGAAAAATTTTTAGGAGTGATTTGTCGCACCTTGAATGAATATTTTTTTGTTTTCTCTGTCCCTCAAGTCATTTTTTTTGACTCGGACCTAGTAGCTACTAAAAAAATACGTAAAAACTTACCAATTCCACATCATCCATCCACAAGTAGTGTAGAAGAACATTCGGTCATAAGACCGAGAATCGCCTTGAAGAATGTGTTCCTCGACGTGTTTCAACAAAGTTCCCTGAAAGTAGTGAGCAAGGCGATAGTATTACATCTCTTAAAGCTTACTCCAACAGTATGAACCATCGCTTTGGGAATACCCGTGGTTCCACTGGAAAACATGACAAAAAGCGGTTGGGAGAATGGAACCTAAAAAGCCAGTTATGAATTCCGTTATATGAAGTTCATCACCATAGTATATTCAAACTTTTCAGGGACTTTGTCGAAAGGAACTTTAAAATCGTCAACCGCTTGGAATTTCGAGGCCTCCTTGTAGTTTTCCAGGTTGAGCGGCTCATTGGTGAATTTGGTCATCACGACGACTTTTTCGAGTGAGGGGAGGCCTGAAGTAGAAGTTTTGAGATCCGGTCTCTTCTTGACAGAATTCCAGAAGATCATTTATATTCGAAAAGCTTTATTCAATATCTGAAACCTGACCTGCCACGATTTCATTCAGCTTTGGCGATAAGTCATGATGCTTGCGCTTGTAGGTTACGCTGTTTACGGTAAACAATATCTTGGGATTCACCTGCAAACTTTTCTTTTGAGGTTGTACAAATGAATGTTGAAACCTGTTTGAACCGGTCAAGAACACCAGCAGGCCCAAAATCAACTGAAGCACTGCACCAAGAAGCGCCGACCGCAGCTGTAGCAAACATGGCGACGGCCGTTTCATAGTTATTGGGCAAGAAACCGCAGACAGTATCCTCTTTGCCGATTCCTGGAAGAAAAACCATTTAAAAAAATAAATAGTTAAGCTTTTCTCGGAAACCTGCTTCGTGAGGTTTCAAGATTTTTTTCTGGGAATATGATTTGAAAATGTTTGTTGAATTGTTAGTTTTTGAATGGATTCTGTTGGAAGTTGTCCTTTTCGAAAAACCGGTAGGAATTCTCTGACCGAAATTTCGCAGCGATGTGGCGACGCGATAGACATCTTCTCGTAGCTGTTCATATGTGTAACTCGTAGAAACACCGTTGTTTTCTGAAAAATGACCATTTATTTTAGAAATGTCTGTGGTTTGAAGCTCCTCATCAGAAAAGAAAACTCACTTTCGTCAATAATAGCTATATTTTCTTTGAAACCGCGTTCAATGACATTCTCGGTGTAGTTTAACGTGGCACCTTCGAACCATTTGGGGAAGTCGGCGATGGTTTGCGATTTATCGATTACCTTAACAATAAAGAAGTTACAAAAAAGAAAGAGAACGCACTTGATCATAATCGTCATGGAACTTGATCTCTGCGAATTTGACAACGGCTTCCCAGAATTCGGCGTAATTGTCACAGCTCCAACGGTGCAACTCTCGGTAATTGGCTGAAGTTCAATATAAAATCAGGATCTTGAGTTTTTTTCGAACTCACCAAGCTTAACGCGATGCTTGCGCTCGACAAATTCCCGAAACTGCAACTCTTTCGACTTGAGATTTGCTGATGGCCTGTAATGGCTGGGTTTAGGACCGTGTCCGTTCAGCTCCATGGCTGATGTGATAGTACCTGAAATGGTGATAAAATGTGTACAGTAACCAATATGAACATTAACGAACCGATCAAAAAAGAAGTATGGAAGAAAATTCGGAGTCTTTAGAGAAAAAGTAGACTTCGAAATAAGGTCGTAACTTTTTGATCTACGGACTACGCGCTTCTAAAAATTCTAACAGGCACAACTTTTCACTTCACAAAAATTTGCCAAACACGTTTTTTTCGACAGAGAGAAATAGCGAAAACAAACTTGGAGGTTACCTTTATCAAATAAATCAAAAACTACACAGATTGAGGCAATGATAATTCTTTCCAAAAACGATTTTGAACGGATTATAAACAGCTCGGAGAATATGAATGAGATTACTCGACTAGAGAAATGGCTTCACAAAAATGGTATTTATAATTAGAGATTATAATCAACCTATCCATCAAGAAAGTGAGAACAACTTCACTCTCTGCCAGGACCAGTTTTCTGGCTGCAAAGTGAAAAGTTTCCGAGAAAAAAATTGAAGAGACATTTTTATAATTTCCACGTGTAGGCTAGGCATCTGATCTGTTGGGATAGCGTTACACTATTTTTGTGTATTTTAAAGCAACATTAAAAATAGCGAAAGGTGTGTAGTTTGACAATTTATTCTTGGAATCAATTAATGTTTGAAAACTGATCTTTGGATATTTTTGGATATTTTTTTTTCAGACAATTGGGGTAAAAAAAGTTAGGAAAATGACAAAAAAAAAAGCGAAAATCAACAAAGATATTCTTTTCGAAATATTTTTTCCTACCTACAAAAGCTCAAAAGACTAACGGAAAAAATTGTGAAAAAATTGCAACAAATGAGAAAGAGGCCACGTGTGGCGGACGAAGGCATCTTTGACCAGTCAGCGCCTCGTTACGCGAACTACTTTCAAGATTTATTGAGCGACATTTGAACTTTAAAAAAATCTATTTTTTTCTGAATGAAATTTGTAAGAAAAAAACTGTTTCTACATAAAAAAATATAGAAAAACCTGAATTTCGAAAAAAATATCAGTCATTTGGACGCTTTTTTTCAACAACCAAAAAAATACATTTGAAGTTAAAATCTTGAAGTTGAGCAAATATAGAAACTCAAAAACTTGAAAAAATTCGCGCTTGAAAAAGGAAGTAAAAAAAACGGAAGAAATCGCAGCCACGTGGTGAAATACTCCCCTAGTCCTGTTTCTATTTTAATCAATTCCAAGAGAAAAAAAAAATGATAGACCGGAAGGCTTGGAGGTTCTTTCTGAGTGTAAAGTTTAGTGAGAGACCAGCGGCCTTCGACGGGCGAAAGGCGAGAAAAGCGATGTCCTCCACGCGGGTGCAAGGTCAGGAAGAAACGTGAAACATGTCAAAGAGGAGTAGATCAAATTGTTTTCTGATCAGACTCGTGAAAATAGGCCTTTTCACTTTTTTTGCAACAAGTTGATTGCAAATTTAATTTTATTCTTTTGAGAAAATTCTACTCCATGATTTTAATTTCAATTTTTTTTAATGACTATTAAACTCATGAAACAAGCTTCTTAACATTTTGAAGTGATAACAAGAAAAATATTGATCAGTTTGAATAATATTCAAAACTCCAACCCAAACAAAGTTTTTTGAAAAAACTCCAAAACGTAAAAAATGAAAAAAAGTGTGAGATAACATTCAATTAAAAAAACGCCTGTAACAGCTTTTTCCTGAGTTTTCCTCCAAATTCCAGTGTCTATATAGAAAACTGTGTTATCGGCATTTTAACACGTCTAGTCGATGAGAGAATCGTGGTGTGATTGCAAAAATCACCAGATTCTGAACGTTTCGAGACGACGAGGCACATTTTCATATGTCGTGGGAGAATTATAGCTTTTCATGTGAAATTGATTTTCCGCTTGGGAATCGTACAGGATGGTTTATGGCTTCGAGAACGTATTTCCCTGAGATTTTCGTGAAATTGAAAAACGTCAAAAAAATTCAAAAAAAAAAAGCTCGATCGCTTTTTGTTTACAAAAAACAACTACAGCGGATGATTATCAAACAATTTTTCTCAATTTTTTTAGAATGATTTTGTCGTGAAAGAAACATTTTCAATTTTTTTCAGAGCAAAAAAACCTTTCAAAAATTCACCAAAAAACTACGATCAGGGGTCAAACGTCGACGGGGTTGCAAAATAAATCAATAAAATAAACACAAAGGACAGGCTCGAAAGAGCGAGCAACACGTTTAACACATGAAAAAGTCATGCTATTTTGTCGTCTCGTCTTTCTTTTGCAGTGATAACCGAGCAAACTATAGAAGACCTCCGAACTTCTTTCCTATGTTTTCCTTTCGACATCTCAGAGGACATTCCAAAAATAAATAAAATGTTTTTGATGAGAAAAAATGAAAAAAATCTTATTATCATTTCTCTTCGTAAACAATAAAGTAGGCCCCGAATTTAGAGTATTCAAAATGTCTTATTGATAATAAAGTGATTATTTCTAGGCGAAAAAGCCTTTTTTTGAGTTTTTTTCAATATTTTTTTGAACTAGTTCTGATAGATAAAATGAAAAAAATAATAGGAAGACCGGCCAAACAAGAGAGAGAATAAAGGAAAAAAGCGAAATACGGGGCTTCATCTTGAAAAAAGCGAGCAGTGATGCAATTTTTCCAGCAGTCCAGCAAGTGGGCGAGAAATTGAAACAGAGAAGAATGTCGAAATGACAAGAGAAAATGAATAAGAGCTAGAAGTAATCTATTTTTAACTGATGTACTTTGTTTCTTCATTCAGGAAACCGGAAAAAAATGTCAGGCTCAAAATAATCATAAATATGAGCATTTCATAAGGATTTTTTTCGAAAGGTGAGAGTAAAACTTTGGAACCCGTTAAATGTTTGAAGCCGTTTTGGACTTCTTCATTCTGAATCGACAGAATGTGATATATTATAAAACCTGCTTTTGCATGTCCAGCTGGCTCGCACTTGCGCAAGAAAATGAGTTAAGAGTTTCTTTCCATCTTTTCCCACTCAACTTCCTCTCAGAATCAATGCGAAAACTTCTCTATTTCTCCCCCAAACTCCCTGATTTTCATTCATTTAACAAACTCTGCTCTCTATTTCGCCTTTTTCTAGTGTTCAAAAACCTGACTCCTTCCTTACCTCAGAGACTGTTTTGTGTATTCAACTCGGCGATTTTGAAGATAAGATGCAGGTTTTTTGTTTTTGCGTAGTGGAAAGAAAAATTCAAGAAAAATTGAAATTTGGAATTCTTCACTTACACCAGAGAGTTTAAAATTAAATAAGTTATGCCATAGTAAAACTTTAACTTTTATTCAATTTCCGATTTTTAGAGTTCCGTGTCGGACGCTCGAAGGATGGCTCTGTGCGAGGAGGACGATTTTTCAGGGATTCCTGTTTCAATATCTTCTGAGCCTTCAGTTCAAAGACAATCGGGTATCAAGGCTCTCGTAATGCTGGATGATCAAGTAAAATATTCGTTTCCAAACATTTTCGAAGATAGACTTCAGGTTCAAAAGCTTTTTTGGAACTCGATGTTTTTTTACCTTTTTTTTTCAAAGTCCAAGACAAAATTCAGTAATTTGGAAGCTGCCTGTAATTTTCAAAAACAAGGGGCAAGATGAAATTTTTTCATTTCGATGAAATCTCACTTGGATTTAGTAGCCCGTCATCGGAAAGGATCGATAACTTTGAAAAATTTCTTCTAATTTCAAAATCAAATTTTTCAAGGGACGTATTCTGAGAGTTGAACTATGTGAGATTTGCTCGACGACCTGAAATTTTTCAAGATGGTTTTTTTAGGCTCATTTTTTTCACAGAACGCTCTTCTAACTTTTTTTGCGGAATAGACTTCAATTTTTTTATTAAATTTTTTTGCTCGTCATTTGTGAAACACGTTCACTTTCATTAACTGCAGGCTCATTTTTCTTGAGCTTTGTTTTTTTAAACTCTTAACGCCCTCAGTTCCATTTTGATGCAGGTATAGAAATGAATAGAATGTATTTCTTAGCATAATCTGCTTTCTATCCAGATCTGTGGTACTTTTCAGCTCTTTTTTCGTTTTCTGGAGGAACCTAATCAACTTTTCATTCTTAAACGTCTTGTTTTCTTTTTCTAAATTCAAGCTCATAGTTATCAACTAAATCAGAAATTCTACAACTCCAGTCTTTATAATTTGCTTGTCCAAGCTTGTCAAAAAAATAATTTTTAAAAAAACTAATAACACTATTTAAGAAACGCTAATAGTCAAGATCATCTGCACTTTGGCGACTGCGAAAAAACCGGGGGATTACTTTTTCAATAATATAAAATTGTTTAAATTCTAGTCTACATCGAAATAGAGCCTCAGCATGCACAGCTTCTCGACTCCCAGACAATTTAATGATTTTCAAATAACTATAGCGAACCTGAATGGCGAGAGAGTAGAAATTGCCCGTGACGACGTTTCCGGCACCAAGAAATGCCTATAGAGTATTGACAGTGAGGCACGAGAACGGACTTCCCGTCTCATTCAGACACCATACGTTGATGATTGGGGAATGGGGTTTCCGAATAAGTTGGAAGGCCGAAGAGGTCCTGAACCTGTAGTTCTGCCCATGAAAAAATTCACACACAGGGAACGCGGGTCGGAAAACGTTTTTCGGCTCAAATACTTCACATCCTGTACTTTCGCGATCTATAATAACGTTTTTTAAAAGCCTATTGTTGAGAAAAGACTTTTGCTGCACGATATCGAAGTTTTTATGAAGCATGGCCAACAGCCCAAAAAAAAATACAAGAAAACTTGATCTGATTTATTAAATAAACGGGTAAATAAAGTATGTTCCATTCTTCTTTAAGTTGCGGAATTATTCAGCCACATTCGAGGCTTTTTTGTTGACCAGTCATCTCTTCAGTCTTTCCTACATGTTTTCGATGATGTTGAGGTCCGAACTTTGGCTTGTCGAGACCTAGATAGGTCATCTGAACTAGTTTGCTACTTACTGTTATTCCTCAGACAACTGCGGACTTACTCCATTTGGTCCGCCTCTTCACGGTGACGTCCCCGAATGTTACTTTATTTGATGCTTCGAATTTTGACCCTTATGTTGTTTTTTTCAAGAATTCAGATAATACAAAGATAATATTTTTTTGGAGATATCAAAGTGAATGCCTTTATTTTATGATTGTACATTTTTTTATTGTTTGTTGAGGCGTTCTATTTCTATATTTCTATGCTCTTGAGCAATTTGACGTTTCATCATTACAAGATCAGTCTGAAATGAAGGAAAATTCCAAGAAAAAAATAGAGATTTTTTCGTTGAAGGACCGATTCTGTTTTTATAGCTTTCTCACAGTTAACTGCTCAATTTTTTGTAAGAATATTGTTGATAAGGAGAATACAAAAATATAACAAAGAGATAATTGAACTGGACATCAAGATTTCATGATCGAAAAATTCGATTATCGGAGTCTCGAACCGCATGCTTCCTCTTTTTTTCATTTTTCAAATTACGTTGCTTTTATTTTTGAAGAGAATATATTGGAAGAAAGCATCGAATTGCGTATAACAAAAAAATGGAAATTGAGCTAGAAAAAGAACAAAAAAAGCTGAGAAAAACATCAAGGAAGAAATTTAGGATTTTAATTTTTATTTTTTTGATGTTAATTTTTCAGAAATCTTCTATTCGGCTTTGAAAAAGTCGAAACAAAGACTTTTCGGTTCTTCTGCAAAGTTATATTTAGGCAGAGCTGTCTAGTTTTGCGATTATCGTCTTTGATAAGCGCCCGAGTGGAAAAACACGCCGAATTCTCCTTTTTTATTCCATTTCCCCTCTTCTTGCTGTTTCAATGAGTTGGAACTCATCATCAAAGTTTTATTCTCGAAGAAATGAATGATCGAAATATTAGCACATGGAAAGTTTCGTACAGACGTCCTTGGGAGCCGTTCCGTTCTCGAGTTCGTGGATGATGGGGTCCAGCTTTTCGTCGATAAACTTCTTGCATTCCTGGGTACCAAAGGGAACAGACTTGAATTCCTTCTTGCATTCAGCATCAACAGCCTGAAAATTTGAACTTTTTGAAAAAATAAACTATTTACAGCTAACATGAAAAAATATTCCTGATTAATCCAGTAAAATAAAATTTTCGAACTTTACTATTGTATAGTTTATTCTTTTAAAAAGTTTTAAGGAAGCCCGATTTAATGATATATCTTTTCCTGAGTTTTCATATCTTTTTCAATTGAAGTAACTGCAAAATTAGCTTGTTTTTCGATACTTTTGGCTGAGGTTTCGAGACGTCACTTTTCAAAAATAAAAATTCAAGAAACGTAAAACTCTTACTATAACAAGATTTACAACGGAATTTGGAACATTTTTTTCGAAATCGAAAACTCAAACTCTTGATGCTTTTTTGAAAATTTTAATTGGATGTATCGCAAATTAAAACTTTGTTTTTTTTTGTGAATATTTGAGAAAAACACGATGTCCAAAATTATTTTGAGCCGTTCGGTTTTTCGTGAAACGCGTTTAATTATGGTGAGTTACCAGTATACCATCGAAAAGGAGGTGATCGCTCGGACCGCTCAAAAACTCGTCTTCTATTAACTCAAGAAGGAAGAGATGGTCTACGCGATGTTCTCAATCAAAAAAACAGTTTTGCAAACCGACAAAAAAATTATATAATTGTTCTAAGATTCAGCAATGAATCTTCTCTGAAGTATATACCAATGTATACACGAGTAAAATGGCTAACAGTCTACCGAATAAAATGATAAGGCTTCGTTTTGATTGACATTGCTTGAAATTTCTTTATGGAAAAAAAGAAACTGACGCTCTTGATGTCCTCAACGTCGCCTCCGAGCATGGGAACCACGACCTGCACCGCCATCTTGCACATTTCGCATTCCAAGAAGCTGTCGTGCGAAACGACCACTTTTTCCTTGGCAGGAATCGCCGCCGACATAGCGCAGAAATAGTAAAAAGCGATGCCCATAGAAACCCACTTCAACATTGCCCTGAAAAGATCACAAGCTTGTAGAAAAAAATAAAATGATTGTTTTTTTCTCACATAAATATGAGAAAATTATCGTTTAGGATGAATAATTCGTTCTCTTCAGGTCTATTTCGATTCATAGCTCTCAGAATACAGAAAACGCGGGTGACACTATCGAATCCAGTTGCGAATTGGAGGGTCTCCTTTTATACTTTTTCTGCTCATTGCATCAAACACAGCCACTTTTATCTCAAGGGCAATATCAGTTCAGAAACTGTCAGCACAACAAACAGACAGGAAAAAAACCGTTTGTTCGCTGTATTTTCATCTTTCACCGTTAATCAAGCTCTTTTTTGAGTCTCTGATAAGAAAAGTCACCAGATTCTTAAGAAAAGTCTCTCGAAAGCTTAGGAAAGAATCAAACTTTGGACTCTTTTTAACTTGAAAAACTTCTATTGCAAAATTGAGTGCCTTAAAAAAATGAGGAAAAGTTCTAGAGTCAGTTCCCGAGGTTAGAGAATATTAGGTACGTTCAGTACATGCAAAAACGTCTTATTTTAATTTCAAAATATCAATTATTACGGCCTGTCTTGTTTAGAGTATTATTAAATTCGAGCATCTCATCACCAAAAAGTTTCCAAATAAGTTTATAAGTTTTTTTAATGGTTTTTTTCTAAGAAGCTTCAGAGTGTAAAATTTCATGATTTTGTGAAGAAAAATGGGAGATTATAACATTCAAAAAAAGTAGCAAAATCGTTATCGACGAGGTAGTTTCAGCTTTTATCATCCAACTTTTTCGCGACAACGTGCCATTTTCTAGTCAACCGGACTTGCAAGCTAATAAAAGTCGATGATTTCTGTTTCAAAGGTTGAGATTGGTTGTTTTCCAATTTACGTTCTGCAGTCGGTGCCTATCAGAAAGAATACACTAGAGTTTTCGAGATGAAGATCAGAAGGAGAACATCAAGTTTCCGAGGACTTTGTTTTCAAAACAACGTCCGTCACATTTTCAGCTCATAGCCGTTATGGATCTGTCCTTATTTTTCAAAAAAAACAATCCAGCAGTTAGTTTTGAAAACATTCCTTCAAACTGTTGAACGAACGAGGTAAAAGAATATTTAGTTCAAAGTCTTAGGCGTATTTCATCCTGCAAAATGATGTGTATATATTATTTTCTTTTTTTACGTATACTTAACGGAATTCAAATTTTGGGAATATTGAGGGAAGCATTGATGTTAGATTTTCTGTCACGGGTTGAGCACCTCAAAGTCAAAAAGCTCGTCATTCTCGACAAAAATCAAGACTTCAAGTTAGATTTTTCAACCTTTCTATTTCGAACCGATCTTTTCATAATACTGCTGTATTTTTACAGCTACCAAAAGTCGAGATCATGATTGAAAATGCATTCATTGCTGAATTCGAAAGCTCTTTGTAAGAAATTCGTTGAAACCCAATTTCCAATCAAAAAAGCGTCTAAAGCTTAACTGTTTCTTTGTGAAAGTTACCTTTATTGTTATCTTTTGCCAGACTATTCCTCTTCTTATCAGTGCTATTATCATCCCAAAAAAGTTTCCACGTAAAGAAAAGATAAAATCCCCATGACTTTGTGCACCACATGACTGATAAAATATTCACCCGTCATATTGCTTAACAACCACTTTGAGATAACAAATGACAAAAAGCATCCATAAGGAAAAGTTTATTCATCAGAAAAATCGGAATGTACAAAATGAAGTTAACATTCGCCAATCTTGGTGCAGACTTCTTCTGGAGCAGTTCCGCTTTCCAGTTCCTTGATGATGACGTCGAGCTTCTGGTCAGCATATCTTAACAGAATGAAGATTTATAAAATGGGAAACAACGGGTAGCTGTACTTCTCGCAGTCCTTCTCGATGAAAGGCAGCTTTCCGAACTCAGCTTTGCACTCCGCGTTCCATGTCTTAATATACGGATTTTTAAATGCCCATGGCCAAAGTCCATAATATTTTACGGATGATTTGAAAGTTTGTTCTTGGGAAAAAAAATATCATCAAATCAGCAATCAGGTAAAAAAATCGAAAATGCTCCCGGAAGGAAGTTTTTCCAACTTCGATCTGTTTTTTTTTCCTATAGTTGCAAAAAAAAACTGTGGAATCTTGAAAAAAAATTTTAAAAATTTCAAAATAAATGTTTTCATGCCACCACGAAGCCAAAGCCCTCCCTGTGTATCGCTCAAAAAAAAAGTTAAATAAAAAGCTTCACAAACGTTTAAGGGTTTTTTTTCAACTTTTTTTTGGGGTTTAATCAAGACTGTAAAAAAGTGTTGACCATGGATACTCACAGCCTCGATCTTCTTGGCATCTCTGTCGGCAGGATCCTTGGCAAGCTCAACCATCAGTTCACACATGATGCAGCCGACTCCAGCAGCTACTTCTGGCTTCTGAATGTGTCTCTTTGGCATGACGAAGGCTGAGGCTCCGACAGCCAGAACCAGAAGGATGGCGATTTTTTGCATTCTGAATCAAGAACAAAATTTTTAGGTAAAAGTCATCGAATTGAAAAAAAAGTGGCCTTGAAGCATTGAAATTGCTTTAAGTACAGTCTCACCAAAAAAATTTGATAAATGAAAGAGCTCTTATCAGAGATTCTTTGACCAAATGTCAAACAGCGACCAAACAACGGATTCTAAATTTTTTTTTTTTGAAAAATCCAATGTGAAAAAAGTTTTTCGATTTCTCTATACTTTAAAAAGAGAAAAAAATCAGTTTTGAATGAGAAAGTACCTGAATAACTTTCTCCTTCTCTCTTTTGGGTATAAGGACAGCTATGATTTATATAGTTTGACAAAATGAATTATCAAATGTAAACCGAAAGGTTCTTTTAACGTTTATTGGTTGAGCTAGGTGCAATTAGCAATATCTGAATAATCCAAAATCTTGTTTTTAGTTTGAGAACCCAGTCTTTTTTCATCATCTCACCAATTTCGTCTTAACTTATCAATTTTTTACTGGAAAACACTTTAATCCTTCCAATTCTGTCAACGAAATAGACCGATAGATCAAGTATTTATTGTATAAGCTCATTGGTTTGATTGTTTGATAAGACATTGCGAAGGACGTCAATGGATCTAGCATTCCTTCAGTTTGGTGCAGACGTCCTGCGGAGCTGTGCCTCCCTCGAGCTCCTGAAATGAAAATATATAGAAAGTGTGTATATTACACGATTACCTTGATGATAGGGTCGATCTTGGAGTTTCCATAAGCTTCACATTCCTTGTCGACAAATGGCAGGTGCTTGAAGGTGGCCTTGCATTCAGCGTCAAATTTCTGGAGAATAATAACTCGAAAAATTTTTTTTACACATCATTCGAAGGAATAAGGAACGTTAAAAGGTCTAAATCTGAACTAAAACGCTGAAAGTCCTACGGAAATCGCTCCCTGCAGCTTTTGAGAAAAAAAATTCAATGTCATAAAACAGCCGAGTATAGCGGCCTTTTACCTCAAAATGTGACTAAAGTTTCACTAAAAAAGGAAAAATACCACATGATACAAATTCATCAGTTTGACCGGCAACCGTAAAAAAGTTATATGACAAAAAATGTATACATTCTAAGAATTTTAGAGAAAACTCACGTTCTCAACAACATGCGCGTCGCGGTCAGCCGGGTCCTCAGCAACCTTCACGACAATCTCGCACATGAGACATCCGATGGCAGAGGTCTTCAGGGGGGGAAGGACAAGGGCCGTCGAAACGGCGATCAAAGCGAAAAGACACAAGAGAGTCTTCATTCTTCTACAATTCGATCAGTAACTTTTGCTCAAAGTGAATCGGCGAACGGCTGGATTCGATCACAATGAATCCATCAAGAAATATATTTTGTGTAATTCTGGAATTTAGTCCCAAAAAAACTTTGACCTGTCTACTTTTCAAGTTCTCGTTTGTCAGAAAACTTTTTTTCAGTGATGAAGAGATAATTTAATCCCATTAGCTTGAATCTCATTTTGTAGTAGAAGAATGATCCAAAGTTTTCTACAACATTTCGTGAAACAAGTATTTCCAGAAAACGGACCTAGTTAGTGTGCGGAAAAGATTTTTTGGAACAACCTTATTTCCCTTCCTAACTCATAATATAATTTTCAAAACTTAGCCAAACTGAAATCGGTTTTAAGATGATTCCAAGCGGTCATTATTTTTTCTTTGGTACTATTGAATCTGTGAGAAAAAAAGGAAAAAAAAGCAAAATATCTGTACGGAAACCGTTATTTGACAATCCACTTGACTTTTTATAGCTCCAGACAAAAGCGGAACAGCCTCATCGAGATTGTCACGCCTTTTCGAAATTGATAACCATTCCTGACGTCAGATATTTTTACGACTTTTTTTTTCTTGTCTGTCATCGAAAATCATTTATCAAACAAACACAAAAGTTGTAAACGGATCCAATAAATCGAATAAAATGCATTTGGGAGATTTTCAGAGAAATTCAATACTATGTAGTACCCGATTCATTGCGGGAGTTACAAGTTCGTCGGCAAAAAGCTGGATGAAGTAGGGAGTTCGGAATAATCGGGGGAGGGTTGGGGAAATCAAACAAATCAACAGAAATCATACATAACAAAAGAAGGAATTATGGAGCACCGAGGGTCACGATTTGGCTTCAGATTCAAACGAAGAGGTTCTGGGCGGACGTCGTCTGACGAAAATAATTTTATGACAGTTAGGCAAGGATTATGCGGAAGTGTATGTATTGTTAAGAAAATTCCAGCATTTTGTGAAAAAAGCTTTTCAATTTGTTTCAAAACACGGTATTGTCGGGGAAAGTGCAAACTCTTCGGACTTTAAAGAAACCTTAGTTATCAGAAAAATGAGCATTCGAATCTGGGCTCAAAAAAAAATAACTTTTTCTTCCTTGCTAACAGGCTCTTTTTTTGAAAATATCAATTGCGACTTTTGAACGATAATTTCATACATTTCGTCGAATCTGCACAATTTTTGATAAATTGGGTTTCACACCTTGAATAGTTTCTTTCGACGTTTTTTTTTCATTAATCTCCGACGATACTGTACTTCCATCACATTTACATACAATGATCAAAAGCTCAAACATTGCGACACAAGCAGGTTAAACAGTGAGGTTAGACAATGCTGGTTGCGAAATCGTTCTGATTAGCCGCCGATTGTCGGCCAGTGTTGCCAGCGCTCGAAAGGCTGAAGTTGGCCGAATCATCTCGTCCGTTAATCTTGACGGCGTGTCGGATAGAAGTATTACCGGTCGAAACGGTAGTCTGCTCGATTGGGTTCTTCTGGAGAGTTCTGTCCGAGTAGGGAGCTTTGTCGGCGATGTTTCCATAGAATCCAGAGCTTGAGCCGTTGATCCTTCCATACAAGGGAGTGGCAGCCTGTGGCGATCCTGGCGTCGGTGTGTAGTTGCTCTCGTGGCTGGTTAGCGTTGAAGTTGGTGTGAAACACTGTTCATCTGGTTGCGATGAGCCTGTCGGCGTTTGCTGAAATAAGCAAGGTTAGCGGTGCTTCGGCCATTTTTTCATTTATTTTCAAATCGTGGATGTAAGCTTCACACTTTAAGACACATTACATAAACTTCGTGAAAACGAAAAAAAAAGTTGAAAATTGAGTTTTTGTTTACATTGAATTTAAACCTAGTTCACAGGAAGATTTGAACTTCATCGAAGAACTCTGCCAATGTTCCCAAAAATTTTTCTTTGAATGTGCAATTTTTTTTGCAAATATAGGCTATCCTCATCTCAAATATCTTTTTCAACCGTCGATGTGCTTTTTTTGAGTTCATTCTCACTTCATTATCATACTGTTAGAGACACGCCACACCAGACTGATAATCAGCAACAAAACCAAACCTTCTGGCTCCACAAAAGTTGAGAAGCTTGTCCTGGTGGCGCTCTTTGTGCGCTCCATTGAGAACTTCCGTAAACGCCGCCGTTTATCGGTTTATTGTCGAGATTGTTAAAGGACGACAACTTGATAACAGATCGCTGGTAAGGCTGCTCTCTGCAATATAATTACGTTGAGAATAAATGGTGTAAGAAGTTCTACCTTTGGTTTGAAGCAGCCGATGGAGCTGGACCAACTGAAGATCTCTCGGAAAGAAGAGGAGATTGTCGGACAGAGTTCATTTGAGTCGGTGGTTGTTGCTCTATTGAACGTTTCTGGAGCGTGTTCTGAAATTCGAGTTTTATATTATTCGAGAGTTCCTCTTCCGAGATTTTTCCCCATCATTGACTTAAACTTTGGATCTCTTGAGAAATAGGGAGACGAAAAGATTGAGATGAAACTGGTGAGTTCCATCATTAAACTTCAATTACTTGTTTATAAAAAAACTTCTATCAGTTTTAAAATCTTGGTCGACTCTCGCAAATCTAACCTGTTGAGAAGCCGTGTACTGAGGCCCGCCATTCAAACGAATCGTACCTCCTTGAGGGGTCACTTGAACTCGTGACTAAAAATCACATTTGTTAAAAAAACATAAAAAAGTATTCATAAAAGATTACCACTTGAGGGACTCTTGCATAAGTGCCGTAATTGGCGTAGACGTTCTCAATCTGTCCATATTGACCTTCAGTGCTTCCCCTGAAAAGCGAACTATTTTTGAATATTATTATAGAAATCTTCGCACCTTCGTTGATAAAGTGGCTGTTCTTTGGGTTTGTGAATCGAAGCGTATGATTCTTGAGGCTGAAAATTCTTTTGTTAAAGCTGCTGAGAATGGAAAAAAGTCAAACCGAGTTCCAGATCTGACCATGAACGGATCGCTGCAGATTCTCTTGCTGAACTCTTGTTAGAGTACTCATTCCGGAGTATGGTTGGTTCCTCTGGAAAATGGTTCATTTGGAAAGCAAAGAATGCTTCGAATTAGAGTAAAATCTCTAGAGATACTGAGAAAAGGTTTTTTTTCTTGTATCTTTTTTGGACACCTCAATTTTCATCTCGATAATAGTTTTTAATGAGCAAAACACCAATCATTGAATGAATTAGAAAAACTTCTATGGAAGTTTTATCAATCTTCATTTCCCACCTGCAACGTTCCATAAGCAGCATGAGCTCCATCTGGGGGAGAGCTATTTCCTCTGGAAATAACTTGTGAATTGGACATCTGCCCAGAATTATGCAGTTGACCTCGATTTACCTACAAAAGGAAAATCTCCAACAAAAACGCAAAAAAAATCTCACGGTTTGGTAGGAAACCGCCTGTTGATTGTCTTCTGGTCGTCTATGAAGCAGTCTTCCCAAGTCGGGACTGTTTTTGACGGCTTCTTCTCCAGTCAGCCTTCTGAAAGGTTTTTTGAAAATTTTGGAATTCCGCATTTGTATTCTACTTATTGAAAAAAATAATTTTTTTTTTCGAACCAAATTCGTTAAAGAAACTTGATAATACTTCTGAAGCGCTGTAAAAGAGGTTATGAGAAAAACTTTTTTTTCATTACAGAGCCGGAACAAATTCCACAAGGCAATTAAAACAACGAAACTTACCTTGCATTAGGACTGGAATTTTGCTTCCAATAAACTTCTTCAGTTTGAGCCAGGTCAAACTTTCCAGTTTGAATTGCTCGTAGCAACGATTGCTTTGCCATTTGGTCATCTGTCACGTACATCTGAAAATATTTTAACAAAGTGAGGGTCGGAATGGAAAAAGTAGTACCTGATCTCTGTGGACTAATAAAATTGAGTTTTTGAGCTGCGAAGGGTTCTCGTTTCCTCGAATCGCACCGGTCGCTATTCCTTTCTGAAAAAAACTTTTCACAGAATATTTTTTTGATTAAATCATTGGATTCAATGCTTTCAATTTTTTCTCATGGGGCTTAAGATTCAAAAGACTCATAACCGCAAAAAAAAAGGGCTACGGATCCAAAACCCAACCTGCAAGGCGTAAAGTTGATGAACTTTGTGAGTGACATGGAAATTCCAATTTCTGGCCGTGACAGCCAAAACAAGGAGCAGAATCAGCCAAGAAATGAAGTAAACGCCGTCGATTACAATGCATGTCACGAAAAGCGGTTTTATCTCGTGCTGAAAAGATTTAATGAACTAGGATAGCTTCTAAGAAATGTATAAGCTTAGAAAAAGAACTCCATTTTACCTGGTTCAGAAGAGAAACCGCATAAAACATGGGCAACGCGGCCGCCAAGGCGATGGATAATAAAATTACACTCATTACATATGGAAGGACCCTGAACTTCTCATCTTGTATTCGAAAAGAAGGTGAAAACTACCTGTCCTGATAATAAACGGGATTCCTGGCTTTGCTGTTTGATCTGCTTCGGAAATCACTGTATTCGCCGTTGGGATTTGTGTTGGTTTGTCTCGAAATTTGCCGGTTTTGCGCATTCTGGACATTCACCTGCAGAAAAGTTCTTTTTATTTTGATTTTATGGAATGAACATACACAATATTGATTGAAGCCCCACGCGTAGATGGTAATCGGAGCCAGAGAAGTCGCGACAACTCTTACAATAAAACATCCCAAAATGACCAAAGGATGGTAGACGTAAAGTCCGAATGGCTTGATCGGCGCCAGATATTGTCCTGAAAGCTTTTCTGACTGTTGAAAATGAAAGTTGAGATATTACCTAGGCCGATGGGTCTTCCACCGTAGCCGGTCGTTTCTTGGATACGATAGAGAACGGAAAATGACAAGTAAGACCAAATGAGTTGAGCGGAGTAGATGAACATGTGTATAGTAAAGAGCAAACTAAAAAATATTCATCGAATGAAAAGTGTTACCTTGGCAAATTCACCTGAATTTCTTGGAAACTCGCCAGAAGACCGATGGGTATACTATAACATAAGCCATGAGGGCGATCACCAAATTCAAAAATTCCAAGGGAATACCAAACAGTTTCAACTGCATCAGAACTGAAATTGAATAATTTTTGAAATAATCCGTTTTTAGTCCTCACGAGGCAGAAGATTTGGAGACAGAGGCATCGCAGCAAGTTCTTCAGTTGTCAGCCGGAATCCGGTCAGTCGGGTCTCTCCGAACGGAAGATTCGTGACGAGAAGTCTGGTCCGCTGGTAGATGAAGTCCATCTCAGTGTTGAGGAAGTCGCCTGAAAGAAAAGTGTTAGTTCCAAACGCTATGCTCAGTTTCGAATTTCATATTTTTTGAATTTCTTTCCAAATTAATTCTTGACTTTTCAGCTATTTCTCAATGATGGGGAGCTAGATTCGCTAAAAATCACGTGGAATATGCTTTTTTTTATTGCTTTGAACTAAAAAAAATCTCCAGATCTACGAAGGGAATTTTGAAAGTCTTTGAAGTTTCCGCCGAGTCATCAAAAGCTCTATTTCTTAAAAATTTTCCAAGTCATTTACAGTTTTTTTTCAGTTTCATAGGGAATTTCCACTTTGAAACATCCAAACGCAACATTTGCAAGCTCTTTTTCTGCAGGAAGTTCCAAAGATGCATAAATCACGGGCATCCGGAGCCTTTCATCTTCCGTTTGGAAACTTCTGGAATTGCAACATGTGCGGACATATGGCTGGTGAGCAAAAAAACTTCACTTGGGTTATCTTATTCTGAAAAAAAGATGTAAATGAGAAATTTCAGTGAGAGACAAAACTATGCCAAACCAGTGTGAAAAATTTTTTCAAGACAAAAAATTTTTTCAGGTTAATTTTCAATTCCAGAAGTTCAGTAGCGTCTGAAATGTACAAGTTTTATGAAAAATATCTTCCGCTGAAAATTTGAAGATCGTACAAGGGGAAGTTTTTTTTCCCCTCGTTAAGCGAAAATTATGATTATTCGTTTAAGGTTTCCCGAGTTTCTCATGAAGGTCCGAATATCTAGTCCTTCATTGTAAAAATGATTTATTTTCTGTTACCTTCATTGATTTTTTATCTTCTGCACAGATTTTTTCATCTTTGATTTTATAAAAACCGTTTCCTCTTCTCAAGGTTATTATGAACCCCTGATCCTTGCTACTCATTTTGTTGGACCATTCCGGTGACCTTCTGTAGGAAGTCCAGAAAAGAGCACGGCTGCCCGGTTTTTCCGTGGGGCTAATCTGCACCATACGACACGGCCGGCCGGTGTTGTTGGTCACACTTGCGCGCATGTCACGCCGTGCCGTTGTAATACGAGATGTCATTCATTGAATGTCTATTGGCAGTCCGGACGTCGCACAATTCACGCCAGGATAATCATAGGCATCAAAACCTATTGTTCTAACGCAAACTCAAAGCGGATCCGTGTTGTATATTTTTTATTTCTTCGAAAATGAATAATTAATGTTTTACTTCCGTTTCAGATGAAAACAAGAGGAAAAAACCCCCGGTGATTTACTGGTAGATCGAAAACTTCTTTTCCTACAATTCTCGGTATGGCTTGAACTTCTAACATTTAAAAGTATCCCACTCCCCCAGACTTCAGGAGTTTACAATTATTCTTTTCTCCGGCAATTCAGAATGAAATTGTAGTCAGTGGTTGCTTGAATTGTAGGCTTGGCTTCTTATATTTTTGCAAAAACGCGGTGCTTAGAACTAAACAGTCAATTCGTAGGATTCTCAAAATAGCCTTGAGTAGTTGGAAAAAAAATTGTGATTCTGAATGCTTTCTACAGTAAAACATGCCTCAATTGATTTTCGAACTGATTATTCATAAGAGTTCTTCAATTTTCAATCAAATTCCCAAAGAAGTTGAGAAAATAACTATTTCAAATAGATGCATGAATTGTAGATTTTATTATATCGAAATTCAATTAACCCCTCACGAAAATATTTCAATCTTCCCGAACTGGTGGAAGAATCTCTCAAGTTTTTTTCTCAAGAATTTCTCGACCAGGTGCCGACGCAGCTGCAGCATAATCCAGAGAACGAAGAGCTTTTTTCAAAAAGCTTTCCAATTTTGGAAAAAAAAAAACAGTTCTCGCATTCTTTTTCACCCATTTCGCGATCAGGCGCTAACCCAGGTGCAGGAGATTCGGGAAAGCTGCGATACTTTTTTGGAAAAAAATTTCAAGTTTTTACTCCATCCATTTCTCGACCAGGCACGAACCCAGGTGCAGCATAATCCAGATGAAAAAAAAACGAAGGAAAAGAAGAAACGGACCGGAATTGATGAAACCGTTGCGGTACAGCTGTGCGATCATCAATTGCTGGCCGACCAGCTGGCAAAGTGCAACGAAGATGTGGATTTGCTGCGGAAGAGGAGGAAGATGCTGCCAGATGATCTTCAGCCGGTGAACGCATCCTGTAAGATTATGAATGCATTAGGAAAGCTCCATATCAGAAAAATGGTAATTATAGACACCGTTAGAGGTTTATGGTGAAAAAAATTCAAAAATCAGTCTCAGTCAGAAAAATTCGAAATCTTATCAGTTTTCTCTCGATAAGCTTCTCTTTTTTTATTCCATCAAAATTTTACTCCAACAGAACAACCAAAAGGAGAAGTTCTACTCTAATAAGGCCTGGAATTACGGAGCTGGACGCCAATTCCCTGGAGTCTCAATAATTACCGATTTTAATCTCCTTTTCCTCTTCTGTCTTCTTTGAAAAAGGGCACGACTATCGCACATAAATTCCATTGGCCCCGGAATGAGAATTCGAGACTTTTCGAATAACTTTTGAAAATAGAAAAAATTTTTTGTGTGGCATGAAAAGCGCTAGAAAAGCCGATTTTTGAGTATTTTCTCTTTCTCTCTCTCTTGTTCTCCCTGTATCAAAATTTTTGTTGAGAGAATTGTTAAAATTAATAACAGAAAAACTTGGTAAAACACTCCTCACAGTACAAAATTGATGAAATATTGTTAAAAATTGATACCCGAACGACTTATTCAAAAAAAATTGTTTCTCAAGAAATGAACTCCTGGGAATCTTAGATAAAAAAATTTATTTCAAAGAAACTAGCAAATTTACCTGTTTTTCTCTCCATTTCTGTTTCTGGACACCTCCAAGACTCTCTCCTCTCTGTCGGCCAGCTTTTCATTGTCTCCAGGAATGTTCCCGGATTTGAAGACTCCAAACGCCAGAAAGAGAAGAAGACATGGAATACAAACAGAATACAGAATAATGTACACGGAGAGCCAAGTTTGAGGGTACCCGGCGGTCGGCCATTTGATCTCGTTGTAGAGCCGGTACCTGCAATTTGAAAGATTTATTGCTTGACAGATTCAGCTTTTCGAATTGAGTGGAATAGAGTGGTTTGAAGCAGGTGAAACCTATTAATTTGAGAAATGGCTCATTGGGAATTGAAATCAAGAGAAAAAGAGCCCAGATAGGCAAAAATTCAGAACACAAATGTAAAGGAAATTATTAATTAAAAGAAAGTGAACTTTTTTTTTTTTTTTATGATGTAATATCGAAATTTGATTGATCAGTAGTCATTATTTTTTTGGGCATTTTTTTATCAAATAGGCCCTGCAATACTTCTATTTTTTTCTCCATCATAAAAAAATTCTCGTGATACACCTTTAAGATTTTCAGTAAAATAGTCAATAAAATAAAATAACTGAAAAGGGAACAATAGAACAGTCCTAAATTTTCGAGTTCGGTGTAATGAAAGCCTTCTATGAAATTCAGATAAAAAAAACTCAAAAAAGAAAAAAGTATTCAGAAGAGGATCAAATAACGCTCACCTCTCGAAACCCAGGTAGAGCAGGTATGCTTGTAGAGCGACGGCCAACAGAGTGTACCAAATGGAGCAAAGATGGTTGAGACCGGCTCTGTAGGTGCAGCCCATGTTGTCGTGGCGGTCGTAGTCTAAATCCTTCTCACAAACTCGACCGACGCATCTTTCTGGAAAAAAAATCCGATTCTTGACGTTGAGCCAAATTGACAAGGCGGACGGCAATTGGGTGGCGGCGAGGTTTTTCCAGGGCCGAGCAATTACTCGCCGCCTGGCTGTTTTTACGGAAATCCCATCGGATTGTTGCGTTTTATCCGAGTGCACACTTTCGCAGAGTTGGGTAAAGATGTGGAAAAGGGAGAAGAGATAAGAAAAACATAATTAGAGAGCTCAGCTTCACCGGCAAGGGGAAGAAAGGGATGAAAAACAAAAGGGCAAGCTATACTTTTATTTCCGAATTCTTCTGATGTACTTGAATTCTTTTCCTTCTTTTTTTGTTTCATGAATAGATCTCTGTCCGAATAATTTTATTTCTATAGAGAAGATTTTTTTGAATTTATTACGGTAGTTTAAAAAAAGTCGCCTGAAATTATTGAAACCAGCAGTTTTTTTAAATCTTATAAAAAAAATGCGAAAAAAATCATCACTAACAAGTATCAAAAAAACAAAGAAAATAGCTGAAAGTCTTTAAATCCGATAGAAAAAAATAGGATTTCTGTCTTAAAAATTTTTTTCTTTTCTCTAATGATTTTTTTAGGCAAAAAAATCTTGAAAATATTAGTTTTTTTAAACCGATTCTTCCAATAAATCGAAAGACTTTTTTTCAACGTCTTCAAAAAAAGTGAATGAAACAAAAAAAACTATTTCGGCTCGCCTTAAAACTCCACAATAAACTATCCTAACCTGCAATCTCTATAGAAACGACTTGACCAAAAAAAGAAAATCAGAAAAAAACATAAAATATGAAAGCAATAGAACAAAAATACGCGGGTGGCCGCTGAAAAAAATTGTATACTTTGTGGATATTTTTTTGTCCTGCGAGTGACATAGTGGTTACACTATGAATCATTGAAGCTGATATTTTTAAAGAAGAAACATGGTGGTAGAAATGAAAAAGAGGGAAACGCGGGGGGTTATGTACATATTTAACCCGTAGCTCAACAGCATGTGGGCCTGTCTACGGGCCACAGGGTCCCTAGAGAGATTCCGAAACTGTCCCAAAAAAGAATTAGGGCTCACGTGAATCAACTAAAAAAACATCCAAGTCAGCAGTCACCTTGAGAGTCAGCCGGCAGAAACGAAACACGACGAAGAAACAAAAAATATGGGGGCAAAGGAGAAAAAGGCATGTTTGACCGCTGGGAAAAGTGGCATACTTAATCAATCTGGCCGTTGGAGCTGTCGCCGAGCACCGAGATTCCGTATGTAAAGTGGGCGGGGCCAGGAAAAGGACAATAACGCTGGAGGGTTCGATTCCACGGCGGCTATCAATCTTCCAGAAGTTAATTGACTCATTGCCCAAAAAAATAATGTTCTTTTTAAAGTTTATAATAATCTGACGACACTTTTTTTCCACTGGTATCGAAAAAAACGAAAAATTTTTCAAATATCATATATTTTTGAATTCAAATTCCATTGGCACACACTCAAGGATTTTTGATAGTTTTTTTGTATTCTGTCGATTTTTTTCAAAAAAAGTATTCTCATTGATTAGAACCTTCAAAAAAATTTTTTTCGCGCTACATTTTAAGCATCATTTTGATGGAATTTGGATAGAAAGCTCAATGTTCTACGCCTCTTTAATCAAGGCTAGAAGAAGGAATAATTTATTTGAATTTTCGAAAGAACTGCCTGAAAAACTTCTGACAATAAAAATGGTCAGTTTTTGATGAAAGTACACAAAAACATGACGAAAATATGAGAAAGGTATTTATTCCGAAATTCTCACTGAAATTTCCAAGCAAAAACGCTAGGAGCCCGTTTGACATGATTGAAAGGAAGAAATGAAGGAACGGCGTCTGAAGTTGACAGATAGGAAAAAAAAACTCAGGATAAGGCGCCAATTTCAAACTTTGAGCCGGTGAAGAGCGAGGTTATAAAAGGAGAGAAAGATGGAATGAAACGACAAAAGGGGGCAAAAGCAGAAGACGGACGACGCCATTGCATCTTCGCTCCAAAAAGGGAATCATCCCCGAGATTAGTCACGGCGCCACACCCGATGGGAACAAAACAACCTCCAATTGTACTGACTGTGCATGGCAGCTTCGCTTGTTTTGACACTTTGGATTGTTTTTGAATCTTCTGGCAGTTTTCTTAAGAGATTCAATCAAGTTTTTAAAATTGTCCTGAAGTTTTATTAGAACCAGTGATATTTATAGTCAATTTCACTCGATTTTTAAGGCGGAATGAGTAGATTTGTGGGACTGAAGCGTTGTGGGCGCGACTTAGCTTCATGGCGGAGAACTCGAAATTGAAAGCAGCAATAAAAACATTTAGAAAAAGTAAGCTTTTGATTATTTTCATATTTTATAGTGTGAAAAACTGTTTCAAAAAGTAAAAACTAAACAAAAAAGGAACCCGCGTTTGCCTTCGAATCTCTAAACCAGAAAACCGCTTCGCGTACGCAACGCTTGATCCTTGGCAATATTCTTATCTTGCTTTTCAAGTCGAGAAAAACGGCTATAACTTGAAAAAAAAAATGAAATGCGACATTTTTTAGGAGTTTCCTCACATTTTGCGAATAAGGCCATTATATTTTCGAGAGTGAGGAAATTTTGAGGGCTCTTTTCGCATCGGAATACATAAATATTGATTTGAAAAATGTTTAATAGAAAATTGAATCTCAGCTTCATATCCGAAATCAAGAACATCGTCTTTTTTTCGTCATGTATATTTGTCCATAGATTATAATTTCTTTGCCAGAGTGCATTTACTCGATTTTCTCATCCTATAGTCCCCATATTTAGAACTTCTGCACAGAGGATTAACGAAAAGCTGTCCGAGATAGCAGGCAAAGAGAAAAAGTTAATTCCAAGGGGTCAGGAGAGCACTAAAAAGGACAAATGAGGTCGAGAAAGGCTGAGAAAGGCTCTCTTTTGAATCTCAAGCGTATTTTGGTAACCGAAAAACGTTTACTCGAAAAGTTCAATTTTTTCAGTTCTGAGAAAAAGTAACTAAGCTCTCGGGAAAAAATAAACTTGAGATTACTATCAGACAACTGGAAATGTTTTTCTTAATGCACTGTCTTGAGTGTTAAATTTGATCTGAAAAAGAATACACCGAAATTTTAAATAGTTGTTATAGTTTGGAACCCGCTGGAACTATGTTTAGAAACATCAAAAAGATCGAACCTATGTAGGGAGCGCATAAAAAAAAAATTTCAGTCGTTGTAACTGTGCAAATCTTCTGAACAAATAGGACTATCTCTGCATTTAAAAAAGAACAGAGCGATGTAAGCTTTGTATAAACTTTTTTTGATGGATTTGATTTTCAAAGAGCTGAAAATGGTTTTAGATTTAACAAAACCCAACTCGCAAAAAACTTTCTAGCCGACTAAAGTTTTTTTTTAAGATGGACAGTGCATTTTCCGGAGTACTGCAAAATATATAAGCTTCGAATACGATACTCCTTTATTTTGAGCGGCTTCAACCTATAAAACTGAGTCCGCCCTTTCCAAATCCATAAAACTTGCTAGTCCGATTCAAATGACCGAAAGGTCTTCGCTGGCGCAATGAAATGCGTTCTTTTTTTCGCGCAGCTGGCTCCAACTTGTCTTATTAGCGGTTGTAAAACCCAAGAACTTGCGGTACACGTCCGTCCGTTTATTGTGGCCTTTGTCCGAGGCTCTCAGGCGGAACGCAAAGTCTCGCTATTGCTCATGATTGAGGAAACGTTCGCGAAAAGTGCCACACTCAGAAGATACTTGAAGGCGGGAATATCCACTTCCCATTGAGATTTGGACGGAAAAGACGCTGGTTGGAAAATTAGGTAGAAATATGAAACGTCTTCATTTACCAGTAAACATTTCTACGAGAAAGCGGAAAGTTATCGAAAATTCCAAATAACTAAAAAATGAAAAAAAAAACTTGAAACAGGAATCCCAGAAAAGAGTGAGTGACTAAGACTTACGTAAAGCGGAAATCATTGAAAAAAAGTCAATACTGACTGAATATCAAACTGAAAAAAAGCGAGACGACCTGGAGTGGGATTCTACTGAAGAAATCCCACTTCGAAAGAAAACTTTTTTTCAAATCAAGCGGGAAAGTGTTTCTAAAAGTGTTCTTTTTCCAAAAAAATTATTAAATTGATATAGCAGTTACTATAAAAAAAATTTCTTTGGGTAAGTGGATCTCTTTTTAAACTTTAATCAAGACTCAGTTTCACGACTTCGATTTTTTTGATGAATTTTTAAAATTCTAAAAAAAGGAAGTATTAGTGAAATTGTCTAAAAGTGTGGAAAAGGCTTGTCCGCAGAGGTCAGAAAGCTATGAAGAATGAAAAGTTGGCTGGAAAAGGTTAATTCCAGAGCGAAAGCGAATGTCCAGCACGTTTGAATTGAGCATTTCCCTGCGCAATTGACCGAAAAAAGGAGGGAAAAGCTTTCAAATGTGGGAATTTTTCAACTAATTACGTCTTCTTCTCAATTTACTCCGAAGCGAACGAAACCATTAGACTAAGAGTTCCTGGAGTTGAGTTGCGAATGGAGTGCGGCCGGCACAAGATAAACGTAATTAGACTTGCAGACAAGATTGGCTGTCCACCTTGTCAAAAAAAAGGAAGAAAAAAAGACGATGTCCGTGGGCAGGCATACGAAATTCCTCATTCTCTCACATTTCGAGGAGAAATGGGCGGAGACACGGGCGGAGTAGTCATTTGGCAGAAGGCCAGCCGTCCTCCAAAAATTGAACTGATGTATCTCGCCGCACAGACACACACACACGCCAATTGCTCAGGGCAAGTGGGCTCACGGCCTAATAATTGACTCCCCAGCACTTTGCTGACCAATGTTCGCTACGAATTGTTGCCAACAAATTGAGCGAAACCGAGTTTTTTGGAAGAAATTCTAAGAAAATGGTACAAAATTCAATGGGACTAAAACTGGCTGGCTCTAGACG